CCACCCTGTTATCTTGAAAAAAAATCATCATTTCTTTAAGACTTATTGGACATTGTCATGGTATCGCGACTGTTTGGTCACCTTGTGTGTACACGTCACCTGCTCCCCTGTCGTACGTCACCGTCTGTCTGTACAATGATGTGCCTAAGTGGTGTTCAGCCCCAAGGCCATGGGATGAAGGATGAGGAGGGCACTGCCCAACCCAGATCCTATTGCCTGTTGCGCACACTTTTCCCCCAACCCCTCCCAAACCCACAGCCGAGATAGGGCAACTCCGAGCGGGCTGGGGCTGAAACCAACAGCACGGTTGGTGAATTTAATGGCTCAGTTGTTTGCAACCTCCCTCCCTGAGCCTCGCATTAAATATCCCTCTCCATCTTCCACTGAAGCTTACCTTTAAAACTAGATAGAAACCCTCCCTTAGTCCCCGTTCCCCCCCACTCCCAACACTCTCCCCTAATACACAACCAAACAACCTTCTTTCTCCTCCTTCCCAAACCCCAACAAAAACAACACACAAACCAAAATGGATAAATGCCTTTTACTTTATAATTTTTTTTATTGAAGAAAAAAAATTGAATCGATCACGGTGCTGTTGAGGTGCTTGGAGTAACCAGATACACATCCATCAACTACCTCAGATTTTTCCATTTTTTTTTCGAGGGGTGGCGGGGTGGTGGTGGTGGTGGGGTATGGGGGGGAAGAGGGGGAGAGAAAGAAATCGAATTTGTGGGTTTAAAGAAAAAACTCCCTTTAAATCGTTTTAATTTGACGCGGAAATCCTGACCCTTTTACGAACCTTGGATTTTTAATTTTATTTTTTTTTGGTGTGTGTTTCATGCGCTGATTTGATATTTGCACTGCAGTTCAAATCAAAGGGCAAGACTTTGTTTAATAACTGTTTTAATTTTTTTTGATCTACCTCTTAGTAATTAGGAAATTTAATACAAAAAATTAAAATGGATAGTGGCATCCCTTCAACCTATCTGTAGTTTAGGCTAAGTCTTTTCTTTCTTTCCAAAGATTTTTTTTACACACATACACACACACACACACACACACACGCACACACATTAGGAATTGTGAACAGTAAAACTTGGTGTTTTTTTTTTTCTTTCTTCCCTCCCTTCCTCCACTTTGTTCTTCACTTAGATGACGAGTTTTTAGAAAAAAAATCAGGAAAACGAACTTGACTTTTTTTTTAATTAAATCTTCTCTTACCCCCCCTCCACACTTCCCCACCTCACTCCCTTCAATCAGTCTTATCGGTGAGGTTGAACGGAGGTGCCTGCAAGTGTGTGTCAAAATTGGAGCCCTCGGGATGTAAGGGAACGGAAAGCTTTTGGGTGCAATTCTTAGTCTGTGAGTGAGGCCAACATCAGTATTACACAGGCCTTCGAATACCCGTCAAGTATTGTATTTCACGTCCTCTCGTGCAGCGTAATTATAAAATAATAATAGTAATCCTTGCGTTTGATGTGGCGCCTTATCACGTCTTCGAGACGTCTCAAAGCGCTTCACGGAGTCTACTGTAAAGTGAATTGACTGTATTTTGTGGGCGAAACGCAGCAGCAGCCAATTGTGCATGTATGTTGTCTTAACTTTTTTTTTACAGGTTTATTACCCCCTTCCTGCCCCCCACCCCCCCCCCCCCCGCCCTGCCCCTAACCCGCAGCCCCCAAGACTGTCTCGGCCTTCCCTTACGAGGGCGTGTGCCGTTTCTCTGCCCAAACCTGATGCATACCGTTTTGGGATTGCTTTCAGAATGGGTGACGAGACGACGAGCACATCATCAACATCATCAGAGAGGAGGAGATGCTCTCCCCACCCCTACTCCTTCCCCCCCCCCCCTCCCTTGGGCCCATTGAGACTGTACTGGTGTGGGTGGGTGGGTTGGGGGGGGGGGTGTTTGGAATTGTTGATCGCTCAGCGTAATGTCATAGAGGGCAGACGGTTTGGCTCATTCAGTATTTTATTATCTTTTAGGAGGGTTTAATACACAAAGGTACCGTTGCTGAGCCTGTTCTTCTACCCACCCCCCCCCACCCCACCCACCACCACCAACCCCACCCAATACTCGCTCCTGCCTCCTTGAGAAAAGGAATTTAATCCCCAAACACAGTTACTGCAGCTTCACAATAAATCCTCTAGCGAGCTTTGAGACATCCTCCCGATATGAATAAAAGGTGCTGTATCACAATACAAGGATTATTATTATTATTATTATTTCTAGGGCTCATCACAATTTACAGGATGAAGTTATAAAGTCCTCTTTTTTTTTCCTGCAACATAAAGTGAAGCAAAATTTAAACGATCGCCCCCAGTCTCCAGAATAAGCTGCTCCCAAAATGTTAAAACTATTTCTTCTTCCTCCCGACGACACCCAAAGATAAATCGCCTGTTGATAAAATGGTGGAAAGGGGCATTCCCAAGACCCTACAGAATGTATGGGACGTACAGCATCAAGGTGTGATGACCCTAATCAGCAATCTGTGGGGTCCTGTAGCTCAGTGGTTAGAGCACTCGCCTCGCAAGCGAGAGACCTGGGTTCGATTCCCGGGCCGGGCGAACGTTTCCTTACCCCACACGCCTCTGTCTACCCAGCAGTAAGTAGCGACCCAGTTGTTAGTCGATTGGCGGATTCGCTTTTCTGGGGATAACAATCCCTTCAAAAATAATAATAATAATAATAATTTGATCACTCAATCCACAACTGTTTGTGGGACACTGCTGTGCTCAAGTGGCTGCCGGATTTTGCCCACAAAATATACAGTAAAATCACGTTACAGTATAATCTGAAGCGCCTTGAGACGCCTCGAAGACATGATAAGGGGCCATATCAAATGGAAGGATTATTATTATAATCTCTTGACTAAATGCCTGCAGGTACTCGCCTCAACTCCCACCCAACCACTCACCCACCTCGATGACTGACGTGACTTAATTGCTTTCTAAATATTGACCTTGGATTGTAATTTTTATCCTGTTGTCTTAGAACTTTTCCATTTCCTATGTAAACGATGGAACTAACTGCATGAGAATCTCGACAGCCTTTTGGTAAAGTAGGTTTCAAGGGAGCAAACGAGAGATAGTCATCGTTTTTGGGAGGGTTCTACACCGTTAAAAGCATGGGAGCATTTTTTAAGAAGAAATATATAGGGGGAAAATCTCTTGAGCAAGACTTTCAAGGTAGGTTTTAAAAAGTGGCTGGTGGTTGTTATAGTGTTTTTATTCCTCCCCGACCCATCCCAATATTTGATTTAATGGATTTAATGCAACGGTGGGATGAGGAATCAATAGTAAGGCTACAATCTCAGAGGAGCTTTCTCCTGTACAGAGATGGCTCTACTGTTGCTCACATCTCCTGCTATCTATTCTACGCAAATATCGCGCGCACACACACACCCCTCCCTGTTTGTAACGTAACCTCTGCCAACAGTCTTTCCTGGGACTCTTGGCGACTCTAAATCACCCATCATCTCTTTTTGTCCTCTTCCCACCCCCCCACCCCACCAATCTATAATTGGGGGGAATCTATAATTGCCTCTCTGGAAGATGGACAACTGATGGGAGCCTACTGGCCGGGTGTGAAGGGGAGGGAGAAGGCAGGCGAGGAGAAATGCTGTGATGTTAGCACTGGTGTTAATGCTCACATCAACCACGCAGGGCCGTCGGTTAAAAGCCATGGTGCGTGCGGTCATCACCGACCAGCAAACCAGTCGTGGCTATTTGTTACGTTTAAGCCCTTTGGTCTGTGTTGAGAATTGTCACCAGCGCTCTTTATTGCTGTGCGTTATCTCTACAACCTCTTCTCTTCCACCCCAGCCGACCCCCACCCACCCACCCACCGCCACAAACACCCAGAGGGAAATGGGAATCTCTGGAGGTTGGAAATAACAGTACCTTGAAAGTCAGAAAAAAAATGCTCGACCTTGAAGAATGAATTCACTTATTCCGTAGTTCCATTGGATGAATTGCTGCTGTTATTTTAGGCTAGTACTGTTTAAGATGTTTTATTTCCCATGCTAGTTTGTGTTTTGAATCCTGTATTACTTCGAGACCGCTGCAAAGAAATAACCTTTTTTCTTCCCCTACCGACCCCCGACCCCCCTCCCCACCCCCACCTTTTCCGTTAACAAACTTCCATTGAACCGTGGTGAACGGTTGCTAGAAAAACCAATTGTCATTTCAGCAACAGCTCGGCTCAATTCTCATCCAACTAATTTTTTTTTGCCACAAAAGCAGCTTTACTCAAAGGTTTTGTTATGAAATAAATTTATTTCCTGTATTGATAGCCTGTGTGTCGGCTTTCCTTTGTGTGTGGCTCGGAGGAGTGGGCTGGGGCGACGGGTAGGCGCGCGGGGACAGGAGGAGGCCATTCAGCCCCTCGAGCCCGTCCCACCATTCTTCTCGATCGTGGCTGAGCTGTACCTCAGCCGCAATTACACACCCTCGCCCGGTCTGCCTTGATGTGCTGACCTGACACTTACCTGTCCACCTCAGTCTTGAAAATTTGAATGGAGCCCAAATCCACAGCCTTTTTGGGGAAAGAGAGTCCCAGATTTGGTGCAACAAACTGCCTTCTGATTGCACTCACCGTCTCCTAAACGGCCCAGCACTAATTTTAAGGTAATGCCGCCTTATACTGGATTCCCCCACCAGAGGGAATAGTTTCTCTGCAGCTTCCCCATCGAATCCCTTTACCGTTTTAAACCCCTCAATCAGGTCACCCCTCAAGCTCAAGGTTTAGGCCGCCCGTCATAATTGTGTGTTGCCCGCGTGATCAATTGGCTGCTGTGGTTTGCCCCTAAAATACAATCAATCCATTTTTAACCTCAACTGCAGCGTCTTGGGCCATCTCAATGACACAAGACGTTGTACCAAATGCAAGTATTATTTTATGTTTATCCCTCGTGTCTGAATAAAGGGTTCATTCACACAAAGCGTCCACCAACTTGTGTGACCCAGATAAATGATTTAATCTTTTCTGAAGCCAAAAGCTACACACAATGACCACTTTATTACCAGGAAATGAATAATAAAAACACCACCTTTTACACCAAAAGTGTACAATTGAGGGACAAACACACACATGCATATATACAAGATCCACATTATTACAGGCTTCGACTTATTCCTTTAAGCTTGAAACGGAGTTGAGATGTTCCAGCCAGTCACAGAGGGTGGGTTGGGCTGAAGATGGCTGTGGGGACACAATACGGCAGAGGGTGATATTGAATGTCGTGCATTTAACGTAATAATAATCCTTGCATTTGACATAGCGCCTTATCACGTCTTCAGGACGTCTCAAAGAACTGTACAGCATACAACGCAACACTAAATTGCATTTGTAAAGCGGCTTTCACGTCGGGAGGACGCCCCAAGGTGCTGAGCAGGGATTAGGGGGTGGTGTGGGGGCAGAGATGGTGGCCTAGTTGAAGAGAAAGATCTTGAGGCGTGCCTTCAAGGAGGCAAGGAAGGGGGTGAGGAAAAGGGAACTTGTGACGGAGTTCCAGAGAGGATGAAGGCCAGACCGGAGCCTGCTGAGCGGAGGGAGTGGACAGGTTGATAAGGGCTTAGCAGGTCGGATAGAGGGGGAAAGACAGGGGAGGCCTTTGAGGATGAGCACGAGGATTTTGAACTCGATCCTCTGAGGGATGGGCAACCAATTGAGTTGGCATAGTCGAGCCTAGACGTAATGAAGGCGTGGATGAGGGTTTCGACGGCCTGAGGAGTGAGGCAGTGGCGGAGTCGGGCAATGTTGCGGAGGTGGGGGAAGGCAGAGCGGGTCATGACACGGATGTGGGGGAGAAAGGACAGTTGAGGGTTGAACAGGACGCCAAGGTTCCTGATGGCTCTGTGAGGTGGAGTGTGCATCCGCGGCTGCTGATGCCAGGATACACTGTAAAATCAATGGACCGTATATTTTGTGGGCGAAACGCAGCAGCCGATTGCGCACAGCGGAGTCCCACAAACAGCCGTGGGTTGAGTGACCAAATTATTACTTTTTTCAATATAGTTTTTTAAGGGATTATTAACCCCGGAAAAGCGACTAACAACTGGGTTCCTGCTCACTGCGAGGGGAACAGAGCTGCGTGGCGTAAGGAAACTTTCTTAAGGATTCGCCCGAGTCCTCTCGCTTACGAGGCGAGCGCACAAACCACTGAGCTACAGGGACTCTCGTCGGTTAATGTCGGGGGCTTTTCAATGCGCTCATACCTGCACGACCGTATCAAAGGCTCCGTTCTGGCCCTGAACGGAGCAGAGGCGAACCCCACCGTTTGCGGGGTAACCGGGCTCCACGAGGAACGTGTAAAGCACATGAGAGGAGCTGCCTGCGGGCAAGTGTAGAAAGGTCAGAGTCCTCCTCTCCTCCAGCCAATCTATCGCGAACCTGAGGGAGAGGCAAGACAACCATCAGCGGGACGGACACGGGCGAGGGAGGCACCAGCCTGACTCAGCTGGTCTCACCTCCGGGACAGACGGACGTGACTTCAACACTGACCCTCCAGCAAAGTAATGGGGGAAACGCTGCATTCTCGAAGGTGCTGTCCTCCAGCTGAGACGTTAAAGGTCTTGAGATCCCTCCCCCACCCCTCCCCTCACCCCACCCACCCCATCCCTCCACCCTCCCCAACCCCTCCAATCTGTTCGCAAGTGAGAGGACTGTGGGTTCGATTCCGGAGCGGGATGAAACTTTGGATAAAACCTAAGGCAAGTTTCCTTCCTCCCCACGTCTCTGTTTACCTCGCGGCAAGTTGGAACCCTTGTCGATCCATGGATCGCTTTTCCGGGGGTAATAAACCCTTCGGAAAAATAAGCTTAAAAATGTAATAATTTGGTCACTCAATCGAAGAACTGTCTGTGGGACGCTGCTGTGCGCAATTGGCTGCCGTGTTTCGCCCACAGAATATAGTCAATTCACTTCACAGTATATTCCGTGAAGCGCTTTGAGACGTAAGGCGCTGTATCAAATGCAAGGATTATTATTATTATTATTATTAATATCCCACATGATCGGTCAGCGGCACGTTTGAGGGAAAGCCTCACCCACCTCTGTTGCAAACACTGGATTTCACTCCACAGTTCAGCTTGGCTGATGTAACGTTTGGAAACCTCGGCTATCATCTCGGGCAGATCCACAGTCGCCATATCCAACAGGTCAAGAAAAGAGCAGTTAGTCTGAGAAAGAAAACAGCACAATATCACGTCAGCCCTCGCACAGGAGCGGCAGATAGCGGCGGTGCAGATTATAAGCAATACAGTTGGTTATCTACACGTCAATTACTCAGCTGTTTGTTTATCCAACACAGGCAGCGCGTCAGCCTGGCTCAGTTGGGAGCAAACCGCACCTTTGAGTCAGAAGGTGTGGGTTCGAGCCCCGACGTCGATACTTTGACCATATATAGTCTGTCGCTAAGAATATCATTGCATTGCTCTGACCCACAACATCACATTCCTAGTTAACTTCACGTGCATTCTTTTTTGCTCCTAATAATAATGTTTGCATTTGATATAGTGCCTTATCACTTTGTTGAAATAACTCAAAGTGTTTCACGGATTATACTGTGTGTAATAGCAATAACGCTTGCATTTGATATAGCGTCTTATCGCGTCTTAGCGACGTCTCAAAGTGCTTCACAGAATAGATTGTAAAGTGTGGTGACTGTACATTTTGTGGGCAAAATATCATGTGCAATATATATATATCATATAATATATACATCTTATGTTTATATATATATGTTAGATAATATAATCAGTGTTTGTGTGTGTAGGAAGGAGAGTGTGTATGTGAGTGTGTGGGTGAGTGAGTGTGTGGAGGGGTTGGGGGGGGGGGGTGTGGAGAAGGAGAAAGTGGGGGAAAGAGAGAGAAATGATTTACGCACCTCAATTTTCACCCTTCCGTCTGCAGTCCAACTCACAGTTATCAGCAACGGCAGCAGCTTAGTGACTGGGTTCAACACTCGGGCATCAAAGTTGAGAATCATGTCATTGCCGGAGACCGAAAGGACCTTAATACCCGACTGGGTTTCCAACGTCTGGGACAGTCGCGACAGCCTGTGAACAACAGCAGCAGCAGCGACTTGCATTGATACACCATCCCTCAGGCCAGGGCAGGGCCCCGGAGCACCTAACAAGGCCTTCAGAGGCGACGTGCAGATGGGGCAGGGAAGGTGGGGGTAGGGAGGGTGGGGGTAGGAGGGTGACCGAAGATGCGGTCGAAGAGGAAGGTCTCGAGACGGGCCTTGAAGGACGCGAGGGCCGAGGCCAGGTGAAGGAACTGTGGGACGGAGTTCGAATTCTCCCGCTATATGTACACCGTTACACGACGGACTACTGATAATCCTTGCGTTTGGTTCAGCGCCTCATCACGTCTTCGAGACGCTTCAAAGCTCTTCACAGGATACAGTGTGAAGTGTAGTGACTGTATATTTTGTGGGCGAAATGGGGCAGCCAATCGCGCGCAGCAGCGTCCCCACAAACAGCCGTGGATTGAGCGACCAGATTATTATTGCTGTATGTCTTTGCTGCTCTGGAATGGTTTAATGTGATGCTCTTTACCAGTGATTGAGGTTTCCTCTCTCAGCCAAGGACTGGATCACAGGCTCCAACTCGCGTATGGCAACACGACACTTGGTGATACACGAGGAGCATTCCTCGATGGCTCTCTCCAGCCTCCTCACCTCCTTCTCCAGCCACAACTTGTGCTCCTGGACACAGAGTTAAAGAGATGCAAACGCCACGGTGATTGTAAAAACACAGGCAATGCACAAAGGGTGGGAGACAGACCAACCATAACCGGTTGGGGGAAGGGAGGGAGGGGGGGGGAGATCACTCCTTTCTAAAAGAAGAGTTTCTTGACCGAACGCTGCTTACACACCTGTTGAAGTCGGATCTTCTTCTGCTTAAGAGCCTCTTCCAGCTGGTGTTGCTGTTTTTTGGGGGAGGAAGGAAGACCATCGATTAGCCTCTCTGGCTGACGAGTGAGTGGAAGCACATCAGGCAAGGCAGGCACCCTGACCTCCCTCCCTCTCTCCTTCTGTCTCTCTTTCCCTCCCTCCCTCTGTCTCTCTCTCCGTCCGCCTCCCTCAGTCTCTCTCTCTCTCTCCCTCCCTCAATCTCTCTCCTGCCCTACGTGCGTGCGTGTGTGAGGGAGAGAGAGAGTGAGAGAGCGGATTCTCTTAGCTCTCTATCATCGATGGCTGGACTTTCAGCCATTAAGCTCCCCCTCCTCTCTCCAGCTCCATCCAAGGAAAGCCAATTCGGCCAATTGCCGAACCCACTTCCCACGTACGACGAGGGATACAGAGGCGTGTGTGTGGCATAAGAAAAATCGCCTAAGGTTTTGGAATGCCCAGGAATCAAATCCGGGTCCTCTCGCTTGCGAGGCGAGTGCTCTCGCCAATAACCTACTGAGCTGAGCTGCTCACCTTGGCCTCATACAGTTGGATGGCATCTCCCAGCGCCCGCTTTTTGGTCTCCAGAGTCTCCAGTTTGTCCAGGAGCTCGGAGATGTCCTGCAGCTCCTCCTCCTCCTGCAGCCGACACTCGGCTTTCAGGCTCTTCCACTTCTGGGTGGTCTCTTTCAGTTTTGCTTCTGCGGAAAGAAAATAACTGGCGTCAATTGTATTCCAGGTTCGTTCCTTGCCTCATCCACAGAAACCTACAACAAAGCAGGAGGGCGTTCAACCCAGAATCAACTCTAACTCACTGATGTCCCGTTGCTGGACACTTTTATCGAGGTCTTTCACTTCGATGCTCTTCACAGCTTCCAGGAGAAGAGCAAAGGTATTCTGCTGCCGGAAAATCATCTTCTGATTCCTTCTTTGCCCCTGAAAGAAGACAACAAGGTGAGCAACTCACAGTTAGTAAGTAAAGGGCTGCCCTGTACTAAATTCCTCTCACCTGAGCCACCCAAGTTCCGTTTGTTTTGTTAAAACATTTCTCTGATCTTTTGTCAGTCTTCGCTTGCAGGGATGGCCAATTGGGGGAAGGGTTTATTAGAGAGCAGGAGACCTGTTGGTTGGAGCTCTCGCCTCGCAAGTGAGAGGACCTGGATTTGATTCCCAAGCAGGGCGAAACCTTGGTTTCCTTACCCCACACCCTCTGTTTGCCTAGCAGTAAGGTTATTAATCGATTGGCGGATTGCTTTCTGGGGTCAATAACCCCTCCAAATACATAAATAATTTGGTCACTCAATCCACGACTGTTGGTGGGACACTTCTGTGCGTCGTATACACTGCGAAGTTATAATTCTAACCTTCGTCCCGTTTCGCCCACAAAATACACAGTCTGTTCTGTGAAGCGCTTTGAGAAGTTCTCAAAGGATTTTTATCATTACTGAGCCACAGTTTCTGTTTATACCCACAACTGCGTGCTGAACAACTGCAGCTTCCTCCTGCACCGTGCGCTCATCTTCCTCACACCCGATCAGCAGGTTCCTTGCGACCTCCACTTCCTTGAGAAGCCTGAAATGAGGAATTTATATTTACGTGAGAAACGTTGCCAACGCTGCTATCAGCACTAACTGCGGGTTCACAGACAACCATTTCCTCTCTCTCTCTCTCTCTCTCCCCTCCCGAGTTCTGCGATACATTTGCTGATCTTGAAAACACAATGAGGCAAAACGTGAGAATATTGTGCCGTCCGCACCTTTCAAGACAGCAAACCTGGCTCACCCTTCGGAGGAGACGCTCAGCTAAAGCGAGGTCCTGTCGCTCTCTGTTCGGGTACACGTTACTATTGGCACTACTCCCTGGTCCAACAATTTCCCCCCCAATAAAATTTGCCATTCACTCCACGGTGCAAACCTTGGACTGTTCAGTGTCTTAATAATCCTCGCATTTGATACAGCGCCTTATCAGGTCTTCAAGACGTCTCAAAGCGCTTCACAGTATATAATGTAAAGTGAATTGCCTGGATATCTTGTGGGGGAAAACGGGGCATCTCCCCCGACATGAAAGGTTATAATTATTATGACTTTACAGTGTATTCTGTGAAGCGGTTGGAGACGACAGCGACTTGCATTTATGCAGCGCCCCTCCTGTGGGGTAGTGTCCCAGAGGGGGGGTGAGCTGGTGTGTGTGGGGTGTGTGTGGGTGGGGGGGGGGGGGGTGGTGGGTGGGGGTGTGTGTGTGTGTGTGTGTGAGGGTGTGTGTGTGTGGGTGTGTGTGTGTGTGTGTGTGTGGGGTGTGTGTGTGGGGGGGGGGGGGGTGTGTGGGGGGGGGTGTGTGTGTGTGTGGGGGTGTGTGTGTGTGGGGGGGGGGGGTGTGTGTGTGTGGGGGCGTTCCCTGTGTCCCCGGAAGTGAACCCCTCTACCGGGCGGCTTTCCCCCCCGAGACCGCCCCCTCCCCCCCGAGACCCCCCACTCACCCCCGGATCGCCTCCACCGCCATTTCCCGATTCAAATCAGCCGCCAACAACCGTCTCTCCGCCGATTGGTCAACGCGTGGACACGCCCACACGCGACGTCAGAGGAAGGCGATTATCTCTTAAAGGGGCCGCCGCCGCCGGAGCGTCCAGGGTGGTTGGGGGGGGGCGGGCAGGTTGCTGGGGGGGTGATGGGGGGTGGGGGTGAACCCCGTGTCTGCGGACGACGCCATCCGGAGGGAGTGTGTGTGGATGAGGAAGGGAAAGGGTGGGGTGGGGGGGGGTCAAGGATGGGATCCCTGGGGTATCTCCCCACCCCCCCCCCCACCGCCCCGAGCAGAAGCGCAAAGAAACAGCCATCTGCAGAAATAATAATAATAATAATAATAATCCTGGAAGTTGATGCCGCGCCCCATCCCGAGCCATTCTTATTTTGAGGGCGAAACGTGGCGGCCAATTGCGCGCAGCGGTGTTCCCCCCACAAACAATCACAGGTTATCGGTGACCGCACCATTATGGGTTTATTTTTGATTGAAGGGGGATTATTAGCCCCACGTTCCCTCCCCCTACCCCCCCCCCTCCGACCCCACCCCAGACAAGCGATCAACCGGAGTGTGGGGCGTAAGGAAACTTGCAGAGCATTTCTCGCCGCCCGGCAATCAAACCCAAAGTCCTTCTCGCTCGCTCGGCCGCTCGGCCGCTCGGCGAGCGCTCTCGCCTCTGATCGACAGCCCTCGTGCACTGCTTCTGTGCTGCGGATCGCTGTGGGGCGGTCGGCGCGGTGGGCAGATTTGTCCGGTTTGCTACGCGAACAGAGAGCCTAAGCTGGAAATTGATCGGCGTGCGTGAAGTAACGAGATGATGGAACGGGCAGCNAAAAATAGTTCGGCGCAGTATTTTGCAACGAGCTTTTCGGCCCCGGAGGCAATTTGACAGTAACGGAACACAACATCCTTTCAACAACTCCCATTACACATTGTTCGCTCTTTAATCCCCATTTTCGTAAGCAGACGTCCCTCCCTTGCTGGAATTACCCCGTCTTGCCTGTCGTCCAGATCTTTCAAAAGAGGTTGATAATCTACTTTGATCTTAAAGTGGATTGGAGATTACTGCAGTGCAGTGCGACATTACCATGGGTGCTGTTAATTCTGCCTTCATAAACATCCACCGCACTAATTATTTTCTGTGAAGCGCTTTGAGACGTCTGAAAGACGCTGTATCAAATGCAAGGACTATTATAATGTCATTTGAGAATTCTCCTGGTTATAAGCTCTGTATAAAGTGCAACCATTAGAGGTTGTGGGAGACATTAAATGACCAAACTGTACTGTGCGGTGTCAGTAGTTGCGACATAAAGGAGATCCCAAAGCCAGAAAAGTAATGAGAAATGATTTATCCTTAGTACTGAGGGTTGAAGTTAGGAACATTTCCATTGATCAAACTTTGGTTAACTGTTCCAGATCCTCAAAGTGAACAGGAATGTCTTCTTTACTCTTATTAGTTTAGCTCCAGCCCGGATTCCAAGGGGAGCTGTGATTCCTGTTCAGCACTTCAATGAGATCAGCCTCAGAGGATCCTGAACTCCAATGAATGCAACACTTTTACTCAGCTGCTCGTTATAGTTCAGCGTCACGAAGTCAAATACTAATTCCCTCCATTACATCACAAGTCTTTGGATAAACCCACCATCTGGTTTTCAAATATCTCACGAATCCTTGAGTGACCATCTCCACCTGCCCCCCCGTGGGGTCCCACAGGGTAGTGGTTAGCGTTCTCGCTTTGCGAGAGGACCTGGGTTTGATTTCCAGGCAGGGAGAAACGTAAGTTAGGAACCTGGTGGTCAGTGGTGTGACAGATCACTTTCTGGGGGTAAGAACCCCCCCCCCCCAAATAAATAATTTGGGCACTCAATCCAAGACTTGTTTGTGGGACGCAGCTGTGCGCAGTTGGCTGCCATGTTTCACACACAAAATAGTCACTACACTTTACAGTACAATCTGTGAAGCGAATTATTATTTAGCTTGTATTCCCTTTGGCCATTTATACGCGGTCAAGCATATGCTTCACCCGATAAAGCACGTCTTTGTTGTTGTCTTTGTTCCGCCCATTCACTCAATTTCTGTCCTACGATGGGATCACGAAAAAACAAGACAAAGAAAGCAACAAATACTATACTCCGTGTACTTTATTATCCTGTTTTCTACAGCTGAAAGCCCACAGGACAGCAACAGGTAGCACTGAGGAATGATCAGAATTCCCCATCAGTACGATCGCCAAAGTACAAAATAAAGGCATGAAAAGGCCCAAACCTTTCCCAGTATGCAATTATTAACTGGATAAAACACCCTTTTGCCAGTGTAAATACATGGTGCCTCTTCTCTCGGGTCTGCACTGAAGTGGTATAAACTGCACCGATCTGCATTCACCTTCTGACACTAAGGCACATATCCAATACCCTGTATACAGTTGTATTACATTATTGTGTGGAACAGGTATATAGTCATTTCAGCAATCACGTATTGTAAGACTAAGTACAAGTTGTGCTGGGGGGGAATGTTTTTGACACTTTTTAATTCTTCTGGTTTTTTTTTTAAGTTGAAAAATACGCCACTTTTGTTTTAAAAGTGTCTCAGGTTTTAGTTTGTCGATAGCACGTGCAGCGAGACACCCATAGCACAATTTTAACTTTCCAAATCAAATAAAAGCAAAGATCACCGAGCAGTTTGAATGGCATCTCTATATGCCGACTTTCAATATGAAATTTGTTGTTTTTTTCTCTCCTCCAAACTCTTTAGAAATCCAAAGCACGACCTGAATACAATTAATAAATCTTTGGCACACTACGTTGTTTCAGCTGCTACAGTACAAATTGTGTGGAGGGGGTGGGAGGGGAAAGAGAGATAGGATGGGGGGGCGGAGGGGGCGGGGGGGGGGTTCCAAAGTGCTATCCGGCAGATTAGGGCATGATGCATTTCCATTTTGATTCCATGAACCTTTTCAAATCCCTCTGCATCATTTACACTTTTCACAGTTTTATTCTCTTTACAGGGGAAGAAAGGCTTTTTTTTTTAAAGAGACAGTATCCTTCATGATGTGAAGAAAGCGGCAAATCCCTCAGCTAATAATGGCCGAATGGACACCAACTATCTGGCAGGCAAACGCGGTGCCACGGTGGCTGATTGTAAGATTGTATACAGTTGCCACCTTGACCGCCGGCAACTGTATTGGTCATTCTTATGTCATTTTAATGTTACCACTGGCCACCAAGTCTGCTCTACCATGATCCCTTTGTTAGCCTACATGTGCTGAATTTAGAGGTATTGAAAATAAACCTAAACACGCCATTTATTTATTGAATCTATCTATCTACCCCAGCTTTACTGTTAACACACCTGGGTTGGTTTTTTTTTTTCTCAAAGCAAATGCCAGTAACACTGCTAAAAAATAAGTTCTTATTTTTCATTGCAGGCAGGTCTATATAAAAATTTGTTCCGTCCTAGTCGAAAAACTGTATGGTATTTCCAGAATAGGTTAAATGGCATATCGTGTGGACCAGACAATTTAAAATACAGCCGATGCAAGCTATTTAAAAATGGGATACCATCTCTTTAAACTAGGCTGAAGACTAACTGAAAGCTTCGCACAAGGAAGCTCTGAGGATTCATCAGTGTTCCCAATAAGAGCAACTCGCATTCAATTCTTTTGTGCTGCGTCAGTCGATTCAACTCTTCTTTAATGCAAATGCTAACCATTTAAGTAAATTGTAATGAATCCGAAGTAGAGAAAGTGTATGCCTTCTCACTCACACACACTCATCCTTGACCAGAACCTCAACCTCAATATTCATGCACGAATTTCCACATGGTACGATTACATTAGCCAGGCTGAGGATCCAATTTTCCTCCCAGCAGCAATGGTCATAATCCTTTTGAATTTTCTTAAACGCTCCCGCGGTTTGACAGAAGAGGATATCGATCTTCTCCTTGGTGCAGGTTACATTGGCCTTTTTTGTTTCAGCGTTCAATCCCAGATACTGCTGGATCAGATGGTGTGATGCAAACCTCACTCACTCATTCTCACATTCTCAAACATTCAACATCCTAGCACACTCCTCACTTCTGTTCCAAAGATTTGAGAATTCCAGTGGGGTCTCAGGTGTTTTCCTCATCCCAATGCTGTGAGAAATCTGAAACAAAGAATTGCGATGACTTGAAGATTAACGACAGGTACGACAATTTTGCTGTGCTGTAAAGTAGAATATTTTTCAAATCATCAGTTATTGCTAAAAAAAAGTTGCTTTATATCTTGAATGTGACTGAAGTATAGATTACCAAACAGATACAATAATTTACAATTATATAATAATGCTTTTCAAGCTAAGACATCTCAACACATTCACAGCAACTGGCTGGGAAGCCCTGTCTGGAGAGGAAGTGGGAGGAAAGAGCTGAGGAGAGGAAGAGGGAAAGCAGGAGGACTCCAGGCTTGGATACAGACCATTATACAACATGCTCAGTTTAACGTCTCTAAACCGTAGCCTTTCCAGCTTTGCGTGAACACGCAGAAGGATTTTTTTTGATTCCTGTCTACTGGACTGTGCTAAAACTTTATTGAACTGGCCACAAGTTCCCACTTCCTTTGGAACTGAATTATTCACTGAACATGGTGAAGTGGAAGAAATGAAGTTTTGAAGACAAGCCCCCAGCTCTCTTGCGGAGTGAGTGAGATAGAAGAGACATAAAAGGCCACACGGAGACCAGTTGGAGTTATGAACACAGATTGTACAGTGCACTATTTTGAGCGATAAATTCAGGTCATTGAAGAAGGAAGATCTGAACGTTCTACTTTGGAGCAATGCAACACCAGGCAAACTCGAAGTGACACTCCACTACATCAAAGCAGGAGTTAGGCAGACTCTGTTGGCATTCTCACCTTTGGGTTCAAGCCTTACTTGGGGACTTTGTGATCAAAGCCTAGGCAAACGCTGAAGTGCTGGGGGAGCACTACGTGGTACAGGTACCTTTCTCTGGTTTGGACATTAAACCGATGTCCTCCCTGCCTGGTCAAAATACAATAACACTATTTGAAAAGAGAAGGGAGTTTCTCCAAGGGCCCCGCCCGACAATCCTCCAGATATAACCGGTCATTACTTAATGGCTGTTTGTTGAAGCCCACTGTGTGAAAACCGACTGCCACGTGGTCTGCTACAAATAATCAGCACACTTCACAGAAACATGGTGAGGCGCACTGAGACATTAGATGTTACGCTACAACAAATACAAGTATTATTAGTCATGCTTAAGTCACCAGGAAAGCCTTACCAAGCTTGATTTTTCAGTTTTCGAAGCTCTTTCGTAGCCCACGTAGCCAAAGTCTTAGTTTTGCTCGTTTTTGATCGTCTTCCTTCAGTCAACAGTTCATGAATCATAGGCCTGGCTTCAACCAGCTTCAGTACATCTCGCCCAAATGCTGTACACAAATCACTGAAGAGACAATTATTTTTTAATTTAAATATCGTTGAATTCAATATTTCCACTGAGTTTTTTTTAAAAAAAATGGTACTACTCAACACCCCTTCATGACATCTCCTGAGAAAACTGAGCTCATAGGCAAAGAGCTAGAACAAAGATACAAATGCCTTTATATTAAAACAACAACAACTACTTACATTTATATAGCTCCCACCCTTCATGTGGGGTAGTGTCTCGAGGCACTTTAAACAAACTTTTGCATGCAGTTCACAATCAAATTCTCCTGAAGGTGACAATTCATATTGCTGCTGGAATTTCACAGGCACGAGCCATGGTGTGATACCCCACTCAAACAGCCATTCATCATACATGAACCAATACAGTAGTTGTTGAGAGGGTACCCAAGCCCCGGTACCTGGCCAAGGGGGAGCTTACAGCTGTGATCACTGTGTCCAGATATTCTCCAGCAGGGAGATAGGATACAGACCAAGAGGAGAAAGCCTCGCTGCGTCACCAGAACCAAGAAAATTGCACCTTAACCGGGGACACCCAATTCAACGACAACAAATGACATTTACACAGAGCCTTTCGTGTCGGGAGATGTCTTGTGGTGCAGGATAGTCAGGAATTTGGACCCGAGCTGGGGGTTGGGATCAGGTGGGGTTGGAGGCCACTGTGGGTACCGGCAGGAGGCATGGTTGGAGAAGAGGGTCTTGAGATGTGCTTTGAAGGAGGCAAGGGAGGGACAGAGGAGGCGAAAGGACTGTGGGATGAATAAACGAATGACAATTCAGCACAGAATGAGGGCCAAAACAAGGGCACACATAGTTAGTCATACTAGACAGGGCTTTTAACTACAGATCCATTAGAGGAGTCTTACCCTATCAGTCCAGCGGCACATGCCACAACTCCATCTGTGTGGTCTTCATCTCTTGCGATGTGATCAATAAATGAGAGAATGAATTCGACTCTTGGCTGCACCAACATCACATCGGCTACAGAGAGGGGAAAGTTAGTAAGTTTACAAAGGCACGATCTTCAGAATTGAAAAAAAAGTTTTAAACGAACCACTGAAACTTACGATGCACATTCTCTTGATCACCCTTCAGACCCTGAATAATGCCAGTATAGGCTTCCAGACAGCCTTCTCTTAGTTCGTTCAGGTAATCCACCATATCATAATCTGTCTGAAGATAAATTAAAAACTTAGCACAGATGACTAGGAGATAAAAGGCAAAATACTGCAGGTGCATGAAACTAACTTCTACCCCACAATGGGGTGACTGAGATTACCAGGCATGGACCAGGGATCTGCCCATATATATATATATATATATATATAATAAAGTGTCTTTCACATGGAGAAAGTCCCAAGGCGCTGGACTGTCAGGGATCTGCATCCGAGCTGGTGGTTGGGATCGGGAGGGGTGAGGGTGACTTAAGGCGCGGTCGAAGAGAAGGGTCTTGAGACATGCCTTGAAGGAGGTAAGGGAGGGAGTGAGATGAAACGAATGTGGGATGGAGTTCCAAAGGGTGGGGGCAGAGAGGCTGAAGGCACGACTATCGATGGTGTTTATATTCATGGCTTACAGTAATCACCGGGAGGAACTAGACAGTTTTAATGAGCCACGTTTCCACTTACTTTGTCCACTTGAGCTTGTGAAGCCTGCTGAAGGGTATCCAGTACAATATCTAAGTACTTCTTAAATTCTCCCGCTATAGCAAGGGCAATATCTCCAAAAACAGACAGAATCTGTGGTTTAACGGACCGGTGAACATTTTCATTCTGAGCGGAAAAAGGAAAAATAATTTTACTTGCATCAACTGACAGTGAAATTTAATGATCGGAACAGGAGCAGATTGCCTAAAGGTTGCACGACTACAATGCTTTTCAGGAAACAGCATCACTGCAAATAATTCAAGATAATCCCAACACTAACATTACCAGCCCAAGAGAATTAAGGTTTAACTGTAAACACATATATTAATTTAACATAGAATTGAGAATTCAGGACAAATCTACTCCAGTGAGCGAGTAATAAACTTATGGAACAGGCTCCCTAGGGAGACCGTGAAAGCAAAAAGGGTTGTTTGTTTCAAGAACAAACTAGATATTATTTTCTAGTAGAGATCTTATCTGGGGGATATAGTATATTAGTTTGGAACACAACATGTCAAGTGACTAGAAAGCAAACTCGATGGACCCTGGTTTTCTTTCGCCAGCAAACTCTTATGTTGAAATGAGAAAGTGTTATGAGAAATAATCTATGTACATTAACTCACCCCCAGATTCTCCAGTAAGAGTTGCATCATTTCATCACAGAAAGGCAGCATATTAGATTGTAGAGCTCTGCACAGGTCACCAACTAATCCCACGGCAGCAAGACAAACCTGCGACAGACAAGAGAGGTATTGTCAGGTGTCGCTGAGCAGCTAAATTCCACAATTAGAGCACAAGAGGAAACACCCACCAAGAACATTGTGTATTTGTCATCAAACACTTATCACCAGGGAAAATAGGCCACTGTAATAAGTATCCAAGCAAAACGACCAGATTTAGAATTCTTTACACTCGCATAAGATGTCACAATAATTTACCAGTGAAGTGGCAAGTAATGCCATAATGCCACAGCACATGCCTGAACGGTAATCAGCAGCAACAATTACAAGCTCTCGCATAACCACCACTGTCATACTGTACAAGTTGAGCAGACAATTACATTGGCCAATGTAATTAACACCTTAGATATCTACCCACCGCTCCCATCATAACTGCTACTCAACCTCTGAGGGATCCACCGACTGAAAGCATCATAACTTAAGAGCCCCCGTCACATGGAATTCCGAAGGATTTCAGATTCCAGCAGGGCTTACCTGATACTCGGCATAATTCCTCAGACCAATTACTAAGTATGGCTTGAAGGCATCCATATACTTCAAAAACTCCGAGCCCAGCACTACAGAAAAACACAAATGGACTCATTTAGATCCAGTGGGATAGATGTTACTCCATCCATATTACAGAGCCACAAATGGGAGAGGAAAGGGACGGCCCACTAGGAAGGTGTGTTAGAATCAGAAGTCACTGGGAACACGGAGCAGGTCAGGCAGCATCTATGGAGAGATAACAACCTGAGACGTTAACTCATTTTCCTCTCTCCATAGATGCTGCCTGACCTGCGGTGTGTTCCCAGCAACTGCTGTTTTTATTTCAGATTTCCGGTACCTGTAGTATATTGCTTATTGCATTAGAATCACTTGGGATGGGCGTTCAGAAATTCATAATCACCAAAATGTTTCTGCGTGGTGCATGAAATGTCATCATTACACCTAATCTTCAAGCAACAAATATACACGATCACAAAGATGCTTTTTTTTTTAACGACTCTGCCGCATTTATAACACAAAGGCAACCTGCACTCCAAATTTATACAAAATGTACCTTCGACTAGAGTGCTGACGGCCATTAGCGCATCCTCCTGCACCCCCCCAGAGCCGGCAGTGCTTTGGAACATTCGAAGAAGCGATGCCATCACTACATCTGAAATCTGCAGCGCATCCTGGTGCTGGACCTTCCGCAGAACATTCTGAAAAAAATAAAAATAGGGATTGAACTTCAAATGTAAAGCTCACCACATGGGACTCTCAGGGAGAAGGCAAGCCGGTCAGATATTCATAATCACCATCATGTGTCTGCGTGGTGCATGAAAATGTCATCATTACGGCCAATTTTTAAGCAACGAGTATACAACAACACTGCTATAATGTGCGCGATTGGCTGTGGTGTTTCACCCGCAAAAATAGCCAATTCACTTTATAGCATATTCTGTTACGTCCCAATGATGTGATAAGGGGCTTTATCAAATGCAAGGATTATTTAATTAATCTTATTATAAACAACACTTTATTGGAACTCAAGCACATTCAAAACACAAAGGGAATGTAATCTCCAAAACATTCCCATCTTAAATTCCAAACATCACGCCCTCAAATCCCTCGTTGAAAGCCGAAAGCTTGCAGCACGCCAACGCATTTGAAGCTCTGCAATGCGACGTTCACTGATAGAACCAGACGTATATGCATTGATATCAAACTAACGAACCCCGTTATAGCACTGATTGGGAGTTTACGAAAGTAATGCTTTACTGTACATTCCACATTAGATGTCCAAGTGAATTAAAAAAACTAGTGTAATTTGGGGGCTCAAACAGATGTCCTGCAATTCACTTGAACATTATTTATCTAAACGCTATTTATGTATGATTCACTTATTTGAATAAACCAACTCCAAATAAATGTGTCAAATTTGGAGAGTCGCAGTGTAGGCTGCTATACAAATGTAATTTGTTGTTGTAGGAGGCAAACCTGCCTCCCATGAACACGCCAGAATTAAAAGCTATTTTCAACCGAAGGCTTTGACAAAGCCCAGAAGATTTGCCGACAAAATACAGAACCACAACATTGTACAGCAAATCCCGAGGAGCACTTAGAATTTCCGGCGAAGTGTAATTATACTGGCATTGTAACTGTTTGATTCCCACAATCAGAAGATGCTGAATAAGCCCATCTTCTCCTCACAGGATTCAAACAACCCGAGGCAAAAAGTCGATATCTCTGGCCACTGCGAGGTGGGGGGTCGTCAAGGATATTGCACTTTAGTAGAGTGGGAGTCTGGAATCTACACGCGGCACACAGATTTATTAATTTGTAGGTTTCAGGCCAGGTTTCGCTGGTTTGAATTCTGGATCCCCTGAAACCTGGTAAGGCACAGATTTACTGCATAAACCTGAGCCAAAAAGTTAATATTCAAAAGACATGTCTAGGCAGAAATTTGCTTACAATCAGAGAACTAAACTGAATTCAAACTTTTCTACACGGTTAAAATTAAAATGTAATTCATTTGAGACATGAAATCTCCTGTATCATTTATAATATTTAAAATGATCATTTATAATATTTAAAATCATCATTTCAGGTGTTTATATGAAAAATAAACTTACCTGTAAAGTAGCGCAGAGGAGAGACTGAAGGTCGTTGTATTGAATTCTGTCTGATGTACTTTGAATGTGAGACTGAAAAAAAATTCCCAAAAAAGACAATTTACAAAAACAGTAAATTTTATCAGTTTGCTTTTTTTTAAAAAAATCTTCCCACATAATTTTGGTCTTCAGCAAATTCATAATCACCATTTTGTCTCTGCGTGGTGCATGAACATTTCATCATTACAACCAGACTGTTCAAATATAAACAACAAACAGTGGCGAAGTTTTCTAATGACAAGTTTCCAAATTTCATTATGCAATAATACAAGTCGTCACTCACACACACAAACACACATGGGAAGACATGAAATTTCCAACGAATTTAAAAGTAGATAACCAAATAATAACCAGATATCCAAGATGCTTTTCAAATAATCTCTTCCTCCTACGCTTTTGCATCTTTACTTTTGCAGAATTCCTAGCTACCATTCCTCACTGCCCCGTCTGGAGTGTCTGCTCACAGGTGTCTAATGGATGTCTTATAATACACACTCACATGGTGCTTACATAATGGGAGGACGTCTCAAATCGTTCACCTGTCTGGGCATCCGAGCTAGGGGTGGGAGCCGAAGAGTGGGAAGGGGAAAGATGACCAAAAGCGCAGTCAGAAATACATCTTGACGCACAACTTGAAGGAGGGACTCCGGGATAGAGCTCCAAAGTGTGGGGGTGACTGGGTGCAAAGATTTTTCTACTCAGCTCCCGGCGACCATCATGCCAAATCGTGGGACAATAGGGATATGAAACTGTGCAAAAGGAACAGCTGGGTTTTGGGTGAAATTCTTTAAGTGCCAGGGCAAAAAAAATCTCCTCATCTCCCCTCTGGTTCAATTATCTGAAATCTGCAGTCTCTGATTACCAACTGGTTATGTGGGGGGAAAAGAGGTGATTGTGAATCACCAATCTGCACAGATGTGAAAGGTATATCCAATGTAAGGCTTATTATGAATTACATTAATTAAACACCACAAGTTTCCACCTAGTCTCCCAGTGTAGTCATCACCTGGGGCCAACAGAAAAGTGCGGACACATTTGCCCAAAATTGCAGATTGAAAGTGTCTCAGAAAATTGCGGAGAATTTCCAAAAATTGCAGGGATTGATGGGTGCTATTGAGATATATTTTTACTGCCAACCTACATTTTTTCACTTTATTGATAAAAACTAAACATGAGGAAGTAACACATATTAGATTGTTGCGAAAAAATATGAATTGCTCCTTTAACAAAAACTGTGAGTTATTTTTTCCAGTGAGATGGGGAACAACGGCATCAGCGAGTCTACAGGAGCACATCACCTCCTGCCTCTCAGGGCTGGCACTGCACGCAGACCTGGAGACACGCACTCAGACACAGAGACATACACAGACACACAAACAGAGACAGACTCTCACACAAACACAGAGAAACAGACACTCAGCGCCTTGGGACGTCCTCCTGACGTGAAAGGCGCTTTATAAATGGAATCTTGTTGTTGTCTTGTTGTGTGTACACACACACACACAGTGGCCGGCGGGACTGGAACTACATTATAGCGGGTTCCGTGGAAAAAGTACGGCCATACTTTTCTATTGGCCCAAGTTTTCTATTGACCCTGCTTATTACCCCCTCCGCTCCACCATTGGTGGCCGAGCCTTCAGCCACTGCGCCCCAAAACTTTGTCCCTCAATCCCTCGGCTTTGCCCCCTCCCCCTTCAAATCTGACCCAAAGACCTTCCTTTTCGATCGTACTGAGTCACCTCCTGCCCTCCCTCCTTGGCTCGAGGCCAGATTCCCCCACTGTCGAGCACCGCGGGATGCTACTCTGTGTGATGAGTGCTATAACAGCAAGTTTTGGTACTATACAATAGCTCCATTTGCACACCTCCATCTGCAACACCTGCTGCAGCCTTTCCATGATAACCAGGGTTGTCTTCTGCACTGCTGGGTAACAATCTTTGGCACTGTTCTTCACTATCTCCATCAGTGCCTCATACGCCGCACTTCTCAAGTTGTTCTGGTGACCGTCAGGCCTAAACAGAAACAATTTGGATTTCAGTGGAGCAAGTGCACAATTTGAAAACAAGGCATAAACACAATGAAAATGTAACATCCACCAGAAATTGTACACCGAATAACAATAAACACCAAACACTAATGATTAAATGAAATAACTAGTATACTAAGTCTCAAAAATGTATTGCAATTGATGTTTACAGTTTGTGGCAATATGAATTTAGGTGATTTATGCAAACATTGTGGTAACTGCCTATAGTTCACCAGGAAGAGCCTGGAAACTGGGCCTGTTTTCACTGGAGCAGAGTTGAGGGGGGACCTGATTGAGGTGTATGTAATTATGAGGGGTTTGTTCGGGTAAATAGGGATAAATCATTTCAATTTGAGTTAGTAACTGGAGGCCATAGTTATAATCCCTTTTCTGGGGTTAATAATTCCCTCAAAATAAATAAAAATAATTTGGTCACTCAATCCACGACAACTGGCTGCCGTGTTTCGCCCACAAAATATATACAGTCAATTCACTTTACAGTATATTCCGTGAAGCGCTTTGAGACGTCTCAAAGACGTGATAAGGCACTATATCAAATGCAAGGATTATTATTATAATTATAAAATAGTCGCAAGAATAAAAAAAAAGAACTGCTAAGACTAGTTGGGATGTGGAACTTTGAGTAGGCAGTGGAGGTAGAGTCCACTGTAGCTTTCAAATGGGAAGTAGACAGGCATATGAAGTAGAGCGGCTAGAGGAGGTATGGTGATAAAGTAGGATTAAAGTGAGCTCAGTGCCGGCTTGACAGGCTTAATAGCCTCCTTTGCTCTGTAGATTCCTGTTACCTTGTGCAATGAAAATTACATTCATAATCTCTTTATGGGAGCTGACAAGACACCCATTTATCAAAAGAAGTTCGTAGATTCATTAGAAACTGACACACATTAAAGGAGGGACATGGGGATATTTCCCCTACCTGTCAGTAGTTTCCAGGAGTTTCTGGACTATTAACTCAAATGATGATGACAAGCAATAGGTTCCTGGCTCTTCCTGATTTTCTACCACATCTGCAGCTTCATACGCAGCTTCGGCTAAACTGGAGAATGCCTGAGGGACAAAGAAAGTTCAACTAGTCATTTTGCCACATAAGCCAGGAGTTTATTTAATGAGGGGGGGAAGAGACGTGAGAAGAGTAACAAATGGTAGATGGACATAATGACAGATATCATCAAAATACTAAAGCTGCACTGTAATAAAGATTTCAAACACACAATGCCTGGCAGTAAAGGCAAGATACCCAAAAACATTTGCAAGGACAGACACTTGCCCTCCTGAAATTGCAGTGTTCAAGTTACAGTCACTAGATATCTTGACAGTAAATTCCATGAAGCATTTCAAGATGGCTCAATAATTGGATAAGGCATTATCTCAAACGTAAGGATTATTATTAAGTGTGCAAGCAAGCACCATTCTGCCAGTAAGCTGTACTTTCCCTTCCAAGCACATCCAAAAAAAGACAAAAAATGGGCACTCTGATCTGCAAATGTCAACTGATAATTCTCTTAATGGTTTGTATTTGAAATCAGACAGGAATATGGAATTGCTGTGTTGCTCTTTATAAATCCCAGAAATCCAAACTCGTTAAGTATATAGAGTGCAGTATTGCTGAAAAGGCGCTTCCCCACAGCATCAATTGCACTGTGTACTTTATTCATTGTACACGCCTGGAGATGGCCCCGTTTCTCCCACTAAAATGGCTGACTTCTGGACCATTGGACTCCTATCTACTCTTGGCTGCTTGTGGGGCATCGCTGTGCACCAATTGGCCGCTGCATTCACCCACAAAATATAGTTCCCGACGTGAAAGGCGCAATGTTAAGCGTAGGGATTACTAACATCTATTACAAAAGAAAAAAAAACTGTTTAAATTTAATCGGTTTAGGTTAGTTTTAAGTGCTCGACACAGAAGTGAAAGGATACTTAAATGCCACCCAGTGCTCATCTCGGGAACCTATGGCATCCTGTAGCTTAGTGTGTAAAGCGCTCGCCTTGAAGCGATAGGACCTGGGCTCGATTCCTGGGCAAGTTTCCTTACTCCACATGCCTGTTTACCAAGCACTAAGTAGTAAACCCGGTTGTTAGTCGATTGGAGAATCACTTTTCCAGAGGTTATAATCCCTCCCAAAGATCAAAAAAATAACAACTGTTTGGGGGACACCGCTGTGCAAAATTGACTGCCACACTTTGCCCACAAAATATAGTCAATTCACTTTACAGTATATTGTGTGAAGTGCTTTGAGACCTCTCGAAGATGTGATTAGGCGCTGTATCAAATCAAGGATTATTATTACACTTACCCAGCAAACATTAGAAGCCACTCGAGGTTCAGCTCCCAGGCCTTCAATGAGGCACTGCAGCAGAGGGGCCAGGTACAGGTTATTGATCGCAGCCTCAGGAAGCAACTCACAGATCCTTCCCACAGTCCAGGCTGTAGTATCTCGTACCACCACACTTGGGTCTTTCATTAGGTCGATCAGTGTGGGCATTGCCTGCATTAAAACAAATACAACAGAAGAACTAATCAAGAATTTCTGCACATCATGATCAAACCATTTGCAAATACAATAACAACTCGCATTTATATAGCCCTCTTCACATAGGATAGCATCCCAGAGCACTTGTAATATTTAATGTATGCATCCCAGCTTTTACCAAGGAAAATCCTCCAGGAGTTTAGTTGCTGCTAACATCACTGGATTATGCTGCTGAAATTTACATGAATTAGAATGTGCAGTGAAATATGAATGCAGTGGTTCGTTAAGATTCATCACCGGAGATTAGCATGGAAACTTTAATGGAAACACTAAAGCTTTATAGTCACATTTTGTTTCTGCTGTTTACAATAAGGAAAACTACTCTCTCCAGGCTAATTCCCACCGACACAAGGAGCTATTGTCACTAAGTGGATTGCACGGAAGAAGCAAACATTTAACAGCCTGAAGTATACTCTCCAACTGATAGTCCTGTTGTATTCACAGCAATGATGAACTCAACAGCCACAAGCTTTTTGCAAAAAAAAGTGTGAACTGTGATTTTTGTGTGGACAAGAGGGAAGTGAGAAGGACTAGATTTCCGAATCAAACATCAATAGTTCAGAATAATCTCTTGGAAGCAACTGTATTATCCATTAAACTCTGGTAAAACCACAAAATAATCTCATCAGTTTCTGGTGCTGGAGGGAACACACTACCTATTCGTGTATTCTAATCAACTACCAAGCTAATATTACTCAGAGGTCTTGGGTCCAAGGATATTTGACTAGTCATTTCACGGGTACATTTATGCAACTTACTACAAATGTAAACAGCTTGGACCATCCTCATCATTTTATACCTAAACAGATATGTGCTTGCCTCCTTCAAGACTCGTCTCAAGACCCTCTTCTTCAACCAAGCCTTCGGTCATCCTCCTAACTCTATCCTCCTGATCCCAACCACCAGCTCGAGTGCGGATCCCTGACTGCCCAGCACCTTGGGACGTTCTCCTGATATGAAAGGCGCTATACAAATGTAATTTGTTGTCGTTGTTTTAAATTTCTCTTAACAATGTCAAAGTTGGCTAGGATCGCATCTGGCAATTGCACTGGAACATGCACATGGAAAGAAAATGCTTCAGATAAAACTACCTGTATCACTAGTGGTTTAAGTTGACTGGGTTCAGGTCCTTCCAGGATAGAGCCAAATGCCATCACAGCTGCATCTCTGTACCGCCAATCAGTGTTCTTGATATGTTCCTTAATAAATGGAAGTATGTGTGGAACAATGTCATCCTCACAACAGGTTGCCAGCAGCATGAGACAAACGCCGGCAGCTTTGCATGGATTCCAATCATCGTCATCATCATTTTCATCCTGTAACAAAAGAGAGCATTGACTCCAGCCACTGATGGTCGAGGAGAAACAAAACTTACAGTGCAGCCGCATGAAGAAATCATTTTAAAATTAGTACTTAAAGGGCAGGAAGATTATAGATCTTTTGAAGCCCACCCAATACAAGTCAGAATAACGTTGTTGCTGATTTAAAAACCAAAGACAAGCTCTCAACTTACTCCCCTGATAAAGATGAGCGATTGTGCAGGTTACATTCCACTGATCATCGCAAGTCACTAGTCTGCAAGTGCAAGTTCAGATACTAAGGATCCACCTCGTATGTAAACTTTCCAGCAAGTGCCATGGAATTGTGACCAGAGTAAACATTCTGGTTAATTTTATTCCTGCTTAGCTCAGCTTAATTGTAGTGCTCCATCTGCTCTCTGGACAGAGATTAACTAACAGTACAGAAACTACAACAGTACAAAAAGCAAACTTGGTAAATTTTGCTTAGTCAGCTGGTGGCTTTAGTCACAAGGTCACACCAGCCAATGTCCGTCAACCTTATATACAAAAATGATAAATTACTACACTATTCTTGCTTTTTGCTAATCTGATATAGTGCCTTATTTGCACCAGCAACATCCCACAAATAACTGATATGAATAACCGATATTATCTGAAGTATTGATGGCCGGGACCCTCGAACAGGCAGGTTCACAGCCCAGTGCTCATCTGACCCAAATCAAGCCAGTTACCAACTGAGTCATGTTGACAACTACAATTCATTATCTGAGATCCTGTCTTTTGGAGAAGATCTTTGGGTTCTCAACTGTCAGTTTTTAACTAGCCTTAACAACCCCCAAACTATCCAAAAAAAGGGAGTTTTCTCCCAGGGTCCTGACAAACAATTCTCCAGGTCAGAGATCCCCAAACTGGAGTCTATGGAGCAGGGAGAAACACCGGAGGAGCAAAGGCTACAAGAGCCGAGTTGGCCCAAAGAAGCCCGAGGAGCAGATAAGAAAGGTGTGTTCCCATCTTCTAGTGCAAGGTATTTGAGGACAGCTTTTTGTGGAGGCTGTGGGGTTACAGCCTGAGTGAAGGGTCAGGATCCCAAATGTCCTGGGGGAGCTTGAGGCCTGCTCTAGGTTAACTAGTCTGTCTCCTCATGGCAACCTGTAGAACATCGGAGCAAATCTTTTGTCTAGCTGAAACAGTAGCCTAAATAAAAGCCCCTCCCACGTTGCCGATGCCAAGAAGACGCTTCATATCTCTGAGGTCCTGACAGTTGAATATTGCCACCGTTTATGCAAATGAACTGCACCTTTCACGCACAGCCTCACATGCAGATTCTCTTACCCTGAGAAATTTATGCATAAGACAGCTCCAAGCCCACAGTTCACATACACTCCCAACAACTATAGCTCAGTAATCACTCAACACCCGCTGATAACCAAGGGCCAGGCAATACCTTTAATCCAATCATAATACAGATCTACCTCTGCATCCTGACCAGCTTTTCAACCAACACACAGGACAGAGGAACATTTTAGAAATGTGACTAGGAATATTGCAGCCAGTACCCCAGCAGTGCAAAAGCACAAGCTTGGAATTTGTCCCTGTTCAGTGAGTGCAAATATCATGCACTCTAATAAATTAATTTAAGCATTGCAGTTGTTTCTTGCGTTTACCTGTTTAGTCAGTGTCTGGGTAAGGATAGGCACCAAGTACTGTAGTGCTCCTTTGGCATAGAATTTACTTGTGTGCTCTGGAGGCCTTCCTTGTTCTGCTGCCTGTATAAAAAAAGTGCGATTAGATCATTAGATATTTACACCACTGTTGCATCTGTCCTGACACGAACCTCCCCTCTACAGCCATTTACTATAACCCCATTCACCTGCTGTATTAACAGCACAGTTATATACCTCAATGTCTAACTATTAAAATCCTAAAGCTCGACTAGATCTCAGCTAAATTCCAATACATCCAGTAACTAAACTTCAGAGTGGTTTGTTAACAATTGGAAAAGGATGAGTGTGTCAGACTCAACGGTCACCCCTGCCCTCTGGGTTATATAGGATGACCAAAAAGCCATGATAACTACCCTATTATCTAAAAAATAAAACAAAAATATCATTTCTTTAAGATTCATCAAACCTTGTAATGGTATCACAACTTTTTGGTCACCCTGTACTTCTTCACTTCATCCTATACCACTTGATAAATAATTCACCACTAAACTAAACCAATACAGGTTTAATCCAAGTGGTTTCCATTTTTTGTTTAAAAGCCTAATGGACCAGACCACATGTACTAACCTCCAAATAAAAACAAGCCTTTAAGGTACCATCTTCTGTATATTTTAACATACTTTTTGTTAATTTGAGCTTTGAGACCACTACTAGAACCAAAATTCAAGAAGATACTTCTGCATCAAACACAGGCTCATACAAACCAATTTGGAAGACTTACAAAGGATGTACAACACAGAAACAGGCCACTCAGTCCAACCAGTCTGTGCTCTACACGAGTCTCCACTCACTCATTACTCTCTCCCATACCCTTCTATTCCCTATGGTATTAGGATCAAACCAAAATCAACTTGTGGTTTTGGAAAGATTTTCCCATGAAGTATCAAGTTTTATTTTTAAAAACCTACCTCTGTAGCTTCTATAGCAAGGTCCATCTCCTCATCGCAGACATTGGACCAGAACTCAATTCCTTGCAGGGCCACTTCATCGATATCACTCTTCATAGCTTCAATGGTAATCTGAAAACATACAAAGCTTGTGAGAAATATTCAAGAGCAATAGTATAACAGTTTGTTTATGATGTTGATTGCCAGCGGGCCAGGGAAATGTTTTTTTTCCTGCAGGCACAAATGAATCAATACAAAACTGAAGTGATCAGTATCAAATCTCCACCCTTTCACTGAAGTACAGATTGCTAAGTCACTTGAGCACAAGGTGTAAGAGACCTCCCACTGTCGCCTAAAACAAAATCCTGCTATTGATGGTTGAGATGTAAACCTCAGTACTGCTGCCAAACATGCAAATCCATATTAGATCACTGCCCATAATTTACAGCACTGCCACAGAAGCTAAATGCACTTATGATTATTGGACGAAACATATTACAGCTTCAATCTCCAAAAAACTGCACTGCTTATGAGGCCTTTCCATTTTTGCCTCTTTTATTTAAAATCAAGTACAACAATTCAGCTCAAATTCACAATATAATATAAGATAAAATAAGAACAACTTGCACTCATATAGCGCATGCCACATAGGGTAGTATCTCAGAGTGCTTAACAGTGGTGGAGCCTGACTCCGAGTTGGGGGCAGGGAGATGGCCGCAAGCACAGCCGAAGAGGAAGTTTTTCAGGCAGGATTTGAAAAAGGGGTGAGAGAGGGGGAAAGGCGGAGGGATTGAGGGAGTGTTCTAGAGTTTTGGGGCGTAATGATGGGACGGAGGGTGTGAGGGACAAGCAGGAGGCTGATGCCAGTCGAGCGGAGGCACCGGGTGGTGGATTGGGGAGTGAGGAGGTCGGGAGGTGCAAGAGAGTGAAGGGATTTGAACACAAGTGTGAGGATCTTGAAATCGATCCATTTGGTGATGGGGAGCCAGTGGAGCCTGGGCCAGAACTGATGAGATGTGAGGTAAGGATAAAGGTGTAAATAAAATTCTCGACGGATATCTAACAATCATTGGAAGGAAGGCTGATAACTTGTTTTGTGAAATCATCTAATATCCAAAATACAGCCACCCCCTGGACCAGAATATGGGACCCCCGCCCCACATTAGTCTGGTTAGTTGGGTTTTCAGTGTAGCTGGATTTCAGAAAATAAGCAGTTTTTTGTGCACAATCTAGGACCTGGAAAAATCACTTTGAAGGAGGCAATGGGGAAGCTAGATTTAAAAAAAAACTATTTTAATGCCGATTGCCAGCAATGTGAAGTGGTGCATCATGCCACCCTTAGTATGCATGCGACAAAAAGCTAGCTATAAAGACAGCATTACAGAAACATGCTTACCACTGCCAAAGTTGACCGACAAATTCCAAAGAGATTTTAATTTGCACAGACATTTGCGGACGCGAGGATCAGCTGATGTAAAGCATGAAAGCTGGGAGAGGGTGATGAAGGCCTAATGCATTGTTCAATAACCAGGCAGAATTAGCTAGATTTCAAACGTAAAATATACTTACAGCAAAAAGAGCAGGTCCCATGTATGTCTCCATATATTGATAGTAAAGGGACATAACCTTCACTAAGTTTTGCAAGGCAGCAACTCGAACCTATTAGACAAGAAGTTTTCAATTAATAAACATAATCCACTAAACTAGTACCTAAATCCAGAGATTTTAAATGAGACACAATGCACCGGCACTTACCCGTGTATCTGGACATTGGGTTGCTTCACAGACGACTTGCATAATAAAGTGCCTTTCAGTCTGCAAAGAAAAACAACAACATCTGCAAAGGTGCAATGAATCTTTAGGCCCCCAAAGAAATGGATATACAGGATGGACGTACAGCAATGTTTTGGATGGGGGAGGCTAGAGAAAGAACAGAAGATTTCCCCCTGCAAATACAAAATATTTAAGAACAAATTACATTTACACAGCCTTTCACGTCAGGGGGATGCCCCAAAGTGCTGGACAGTCAAGGTTTTGGACCCGAGCAGGGCGGTTGGGACCAGGAGGGCAGGGAAGGTAGGATTAGGGGGGTGCCCGAAGGCGCAGTAGAAGAGGAGGGTCTTGAGACGTGCCTTGAAGGAGGCAAGGGAAGGGCAGGAGCAAGGCAAAGGGACTGTGGGATGGAGTTCCAAAGGGGGTTATTCGAGTGTCAGTGCTACAGCTGTTTGTCTGAGAACTCGGAAGGTGTGCGTACAATTCAGAAGATTTGCATTGTAACACAGCAATTCTCTCACCTCTTTGTCAAAGTTAGCTTTGGTAAATTCCAAGGAGTTCAGGAGTGCATTTGTTGCAGCTAACTTTACATTGTTGCTGGGCTCCTCCTTCCTCATGCCCTGAATAATAGCGGTCAAGATTTCATTTGATTTGTCCTGCAGTTGTTCAGGGTCCTGAAAAAATAAACATGACGTTACTTTTGGTCACATCGAGGTCATCATACAGACAAATATTATTTGTTTTACACATTCCCATTTTATTGCTCGTTAATAATAATCATCTTTGCATTTGATATAGCTCCTTATCATGTCTTTGCTTCACAGAATATAGTGTAAACTGAATTGACTGTATAAATTTGTGGGCGAAACACGGCAGCCACTTGTGCACAGCAGTAGATTGAGTGAGCAAATTATTATTTATTTTTTTAATTTTTTAAAAAAAGTTTTTAGTTATGGCGCAGCACCACATTGGCAATGCTTCACACTTGTGTTTGGAATATTGAAAGATGGAACTGTTAAACTCTTTCTGTATTTCAAACGGTTGACCCCTCATCCCCCCACAAACAAATCGAACACCCGCCTCAAAATCTCCATCGTAATAAACTCTGTGGTTTAATGTTTGTCGTGGTAGTCTGTGCCAACTGCTACAAAATATAAAAAATTAGATTGATACCACTTTGACATCAACATGCTGGTTTCCGGGGCAAATCTGCCACAGGAAGCGAGCAGGAATATACGTTTTCTGGATTCAGTTGAAGCCCGACAACAGCTGCACACATTTATGTAGCGCCCCTCACGCAGGGAGGAGCATGATCCTGAGCTGAGGGAGGTGACCACAGGCACGGTTGATGAGGAAGGTCTTCACGTGCAATCTGAAGATGAGGAATGAAGGGGCAAGGGGGAGGGATAGAAGAAGTGTTCCAAGGGTTTCAGAGCATAGTGGCTGAAAGCGCAGCCACCAATGATGGAATGGAGGGCATGAGAGACAAGCAGGAGGCCGGAGCCAGTCGAGCGGAGGCAGCAGGTTGGGGAGTAAGCTGGTTGGAAAGGTAGAGAGGTGCCAAGGCAGGAAGGCATTTGAAAACAATCAGTTTGTCAGCCTTCAGAAGTGCAAAGACTCAGACCAAAGTTGCATAGCACTTTTACTATATTTCTGGGCAAGTACAAGTGTGGTTCCACGGGCGCAATGGTTCTAAAAGGACAACTATTTCCCACATCACTCCAGGGTGCAATCAGTTGGCTGAAGTTTTTTTAAAAAAAATCACAATGAACACAACATAGCAAATTTCCAATACTACACTCTATTCAAATGGCTGTGTTTTTTGGGAAACAAGATGATTGAAGCAGAAATTAGACATTAAATACTTACTATATCCTGGCAAATGTAACCAATAGCTTCCAAAGTAGCCTCTTTCATGTGTTCAGTACTATTCGGGTTTGTTACATTTGCAACCAAGTGAGGAATGAGTTCAGGCCATTGCATGACTGGGATCTCTGCACATGCAATTCCTGCAACACACTGAGATGCAGAGCTGGGTCTGTAGGTCTCTGTTCCCAGCGTTTGCAAAACCTGCAGAAGCAAAAAAAGTTTAAGAAGTTTTTATCCCCAAAAACAGAAAAGCTATACATGGATGTGTGCGACAACACAAAAGTTTCTACTTTAAACATTTCTGTATTTTCTTGAAATTAACAGGAGGAGGCCATTCAGCCCCTTGAGCCTGTCCTGCCACTCTATAAGATCATGGCTGATCTGTACCTCAACTCCAATGACCTGCCTTTGCCCCGTATCCCTTGATATCCTGACCTAACAAATATCTACCCATTTGGATTTGAGTGGATAATGGTTAAAATCTTTCTTAAGTTATAAGTTGGTTAGAAACACAAAATAGCGTAAGCCATTGATCTACTTCTGAGAGCAGAGATAAGTTTTACACTGCAGATGGGTGGCGTTTAATGTGGGAACAGAGAAGGGACAAAAGAATGCAGACACTTGCTCAAGACCATAAAACAGCTTCAGAAACGTCTCTCCAATAGCAATATAAAAACAAATAAAAAAGCCGATTTTAATTCCTAGATAACTGGCTTCAAAAGCATTCAGAAATATGTCAAATACTTTTGAGTGGGGCCGGTCCTACTTGGGAATCGTAGAGGAAATGTAACATTACGATGAACCGAATGGATTTGCTTAAGGGTATGAATTTCAAATCACTGCTCCAGTACCAACGTCAAAGTTCCACGGCAGCGGTTAGAACATAAAAACAATTGCACTGAAATTTTGCCTTAAAATTTGTAATGTTCACCCAATGCAACTCCATGCATTATTCTATTGAAATTGCCGTATTATTGGTAAACGTGAGACACTGTCCATCATTTAAGTTTCAGAGACACTGTTGGTAAATGCAAAACACAGGCTTCAGCTACTGTTTGGACATGTTATGCAGCATGTTTTATTGTTGCAATCATGTTTAACAAGCGCTTATATGGAAAACTCACCAGCTTTATCTAATCTACATTCAGTTATGTTAATACTTCAAGTCTCAGACTAATGTGCAATGTACAAAAGGCAAAAATAGGTCGATAATGACCTGAAACATTAATTCATTTTCCTCTCTCCATCGATGCTGCTTGACCTGCTGCAGGTTTCCAGCGACTTCTCTTTCTATTTATTATTAATGTGCAATTTATGTATCCAAATTTTCTCTAAGCGTTAGCTTAAATTCTCTTTGCACAATAATATTTTAAACTTGAAGACAAATGACCAGGTAAAAATGGGACCTGAATCAATTCAAAAAATAGATTTTCATGTCTAGATCTACTGTATAATTTATAAAAACCCATTACTCTAGACATTTCCCGTGTACAATACAGCCCTGAGTGAAATGACCTTGCATTCCAGTGAATCCTGCATTACATATAAAACAAATTCCTGTACAAACTTTAACAAGTTTGTACAGTCAATCAATCCTATTGTGAGAAATTTGCAAATTTGAAACAATCCAAAAATATTTATTTAAATATTGAAAACACTTTAACCGGCGATATTCTCAGCAATAGTTTTGGAAAGACTAAACCTCCCCCCCACTCACTATAATTTAATTTAACAAAGTCCGACTGAGCTATAAAACAGGATTTACAGTCAGCATATAGAGGATTTCTTTGGTGCCAATTGAATTGCAACACAAGAATGCTGCAGACTAGACTACTGGGAACTGGGATACTGTCCAACTCATTCTAACTGGGACATTTTCAAAGTTGTCAGAGACTAATCTGGGCTGTATTCAAACCTAGTGGTAAAAACAGCAGTCTACAATCTACAGCATCATTCAACTCCTACAATAGGAAATGCCCAATCTACTGAGGCTACACAAATTGTAGTGAAATCATTCTGTAAACCAATAGAACTAACCTTAAATTGCTTTTTAAAAAAAAGTAATTTAAATGTAAAACAATTCATGGAGCTTGCTACAAGCACACACAAACATAAGTAGGCAGGTTAAACAGGACCTTAAATAATTAAATGATGTCATGATCAGCTCAACACGGATTTTACTCATCAACATTACTTTTTTTAAAGTTATGTAATGGGAAAAATACAAGAGATCACTTTCTCCAAACTCCCGCGCTGAATATAAATAGAATTCACTACCCGCCAGACTGAACATATAAATAAGTGTTCTTTACAAGTTAACTTACAAAGTTCTTGATTTCCTGACGAGCATTACTGTCGATGGCCAGCCACCTCTGCTGGTATTGTGTCTTGACATCGAGGTCCTTGGATGTCAGCGAGTTCTTGATCTGTAGACCAGACGCAACTCGGGCAACTTGACTGTTTCCTGGGTTTGCTAACACTTTTGACAGTTCCACCAAGAAAGTAGGCTAAATAATTGAGAGAACACAAAAACGTTACTCAAACAGTCTACATTCCCAAAGACACTGAACAAAGTTTCTTGATTTCCCCCATTTTAACAATGGTCTGTTGGCACAGAACTACAAAGATGTCTCTCCACTCTCCGTGGGCATTCTATATTTGACACCTATTTTTATTTTGCTGTGCTGACAATCCTGCTAACTTAAGTCACTTTCAGCTATCAAAAGCTATAAAACTGATTAAAAGGTTCAAACCTTTCTATAATGGCAGGTTAAACGGGACCTTAAAGAAATTATTTCCCAATAAGTAGTCTACAAATACAAGTACGATATACAAGTAGAAGTGTACCAAAAAGTATATTCCCACTACTAAAAATACAAAAATATCTGAGATTAATACATTGGCAGTTAACTAATTGTAGCCAAGATACTGTGATTATCCAATACCTGCAAACTCACACCGAAAATCCTCCATTCTTAGGACTTGTGCATTTTAACTAGCAGTAAATTTGTTTTCAGTTTGTATGTTCAAGGAGTTCTGATTTAGCTATAGCACAGAGTTCAATAAATAAGTGCCAGTGCTGCATGTGTGTAGGGCAGAAAGAAACTGCATCAGTGTAACTCCCAATGAACATTTTTGGTCAGTACAATGAATTTCTCATGTTCACTTGATATCAACAGTGAGTTCACATGTACAATGGGGTCAGTCTCAATGTGTGGGATATCGAGCACGTTACTCTATTATCCTGCTTTTGTTGCTCAGAAACCTATAGCCCTCAAAATGGTAATGCTTTTGTATTCACCAGTGCGCATCTCGGTCCATTTATTTCAGACAATTAATTTCAACAGTCATGCTGGAGTCACAGAAACTGTTGACACTTGCTAAATAGTTACACTAAACTTTAGATTAGCTCCATAACTTCATGTCCCACAGTACTCTTGCACTTCGAAAATAAAATGTCAGTATTAACAGATGCATCGTCTTTGGGCAGGAAATGCTGAATGGGGCATGTAACGTGTAACAAAATCACACAGCAGAACAGATTTCATTACCATTAAATGGAGATCCATTGAAAATATTGACATGGCTATGCTTGAGTGAGTTAAGTGCATAACTGGGCATTTATCCCCCTTTTGAAGCAATCTTTGTCAGGCCTACTAAAAAGCCACAAGATCATCGTTACCCTAAATGTACATGAAATAGATCCTCACTATGGGTCGAGGCGGTGGGGGTAAGAAAAAAAAAAATCAGACCTAACATAGTTATGCTGAACCTTTACAAATTGTTGATTAGGCCTCAGCTGGAGCATTGTGTCCAATTCTGGGCACCAATTTAGGAAGGATATCAAGACCTTGGAGAGGGTCCAGAGGAGATTTACCAGAATGATACCAAGGATGTAGGACTACAATTATGTGGAGACTAGTGAGGCTGGGATTATTCTCCTTAGAGCAGAGAAGGTTGAGGGGAGATTTAAGGTCTTCGAGGCGTTTTGATAAAGGGAGAAATGATTTCTTCTAGCAGGTGGGTCGATAACCAGACGACACAGATTTAAGATAATTGGCAACAGACCCAGAGGGGAGAACAGAATTTTTTTAAATAAACACAGGGAGTTGTTACGCTCTGGAATGCACTGCTTGATTGAAAGGGTGGTGGAAGCAGATTCAATAATAACTTTCAAAAGGGAATTGGATATATACTTGAAATGGAAAAATGTGCAGGATTATGGGGCAAGAGTGGGGTTGGGACTGGTTGTTAGCCCTTTATAAGACCCAGCAAAGGCACAATAGGCTGAATGGCCTTCTTCGGTGCTATAAAATTCTATGATGGCTTTCAAAGTTAGTATAGATGCTTATAGTTTCGATTTGATCCATTTGTAATGAGAAAACTACATGGTTTAACTCTGGTCAGCTCAACAGAAGACAAGCACTCAGGCTACCTGCAGTAAAGAACAAAGCACACCACACAATTAGAAAGGGGCTGGAGAAGTGACACCCCCACAAGAGAAAATTCTCTCTTTCATTTTAACAGATTATCTAGTATTAACAAAAAGCACACTCGCCTCCAAAGTTACCATTAATTAAACACTATATCAATCTGAACTCCTTTGATCCAAACTGTTTTGCATGTTTATAAGTGGAAGTAATTATTTCTCTGCACAACTACTAAAGGAAAGTGTAATTAGAGATGTATAGACCGCAATTTCAACAAAGGTTTTTGCTGTCTACGATTAACCTTCAAGGCACATCTCAAAACCCTCCTCTTTGACAGCCTTCGGCCACCATCCTAGCCTTCCCGATCCCAGGCCCAAATCCCTGACTGTCCAGGCCTTGGGACATCCTCCCAACATGAAAGGTGCTAGACAAATATCATTTTGTATTGTATCACGCTTCAGGTTTAAAGCTGCCAGGCTCGGAAGTAGGGATTCAACCATCATGAAATTCCACCAAAATGCACTAGGAACAAAAATGTGAGCGAGAAACAGCTGCTCCTCATTCACATTACAGCAGAGAATTTACAGTCCCAGCCGGCTTCAAACTTGCAGTTTTTAAAAGAGATAACAAGTAGCAGCAAATATCAAAAAAATTATATTTAGATTCTTGTTTAATACTTAGGATTGCAAGACTCAAAATACACTTCATGAAGCAGGTAAAAGTCCAAATAGAATTCATCTATACAGTAGAGCCTACCCTAACAGGATATGAAAACAAGAGCAGGCATGAGGTCACCACGCAGTCACTACAGTACACACATAGTAAGCCCCTCTCTTTCCCAGGTCTCCCACGGTGCCATCCCTTCTCCCCGCCCACCCCCATGTAATCTCTTTGTACGTCTCTCTCTCTCTTCATGTACTTACCCAGATCAGATCTCTCCAGCCAGAGCAGAGCTGCTGCTTTACCTTATCAAGTCACATTGTAAGACATTTAATTTTTTTTTAAAAACCAACATTATTTCTGTATCTCAACCGCGATGGGAGTAGTTCACAGGCAGCTATCTGGTAAACGGATAAGCACAACTCTACAGTATAGTTCATGTATCTGGTGCTACAGAATTTTCTCATAAAATATCCAACTCCAGAATTAGTTAATGAAGGAATGCTAATTTTCCAGAACTGCAAGTGACCCCCAGAGGTGTGTGTTTAAAGTGCTTCACAGCATACATTGTAAAGTGTATTCTGTGGGTGAAATACAGCAGCCAATTGCACGCAGTAATGTCCCAGAAACCGCCACGGAGTGACCAACTTTATTTTGAGGAATTGTTGACCAGGACACCGGGAGAGAGAAACTCCCTTCTTTTTTCGAATAGTGCCACGGGATCTTTAACATCCACCTGAAGCTTTGTGCATTTCTGATGGCCACCATAGTCACCAAAGAGGAAGAACATACACGCCAGAGCAGCTGGTTCAATCAGCTGGAGGTGACCCCAAGAAAGGACAACACCAGGGACCGATAACAACAGTCGCACTGCAACACAGGCGCCCCGTGGACCACCTGCAAGTTAAAAATGGCCGACTTCCAGGTCGTTGGGTCGTCACAATCACTTCGTGTGTGCTACACCCAAGAAGTAACGACGGGAAGTCGATGACCTGGAATCCGGAGAGTTTAAGTGCGGGAAGCACTGAATCCAAAAGAAAATCTGTGTACATGTCGTGTGATCGGTGGTATCACTGCACAGGCGAACCCCAGTGCTGAGGCCCTGACCTGCCATCGGGCCTCGTCAGCAGATCAGTTGGGACCACCTCATTACGGGGCTCTACTGTACGTACCAAATATACAGCTGCTGTTACCCCCCAACCCCCACCCCAGGATCAAGCACCCACCAAGAAACTGGGTGTCAGATTGGTCAATGGTTTTTGTTCCTATTGAAGTAAGTGAAACCATCCCATTTACTGGCTCCTCCCTGTTGGAAGCCATTGGACCAGCAGAACATGGTCCTTCCTTACAATTACATTCACTTCAAAGCAATTCTAGTTTAGCACCTTTAAAAAGACAAAGCTAATGAATTCAGAGGACCCACAATAGTAAGGTACACAATAGTAAGCCCAAGTCGTAAACTGAAAACCAATGTCTCCCAGCTCCCATTTTGAAATATCTAGTAAGGAAGTTAGATTGCTTAGCTCGTCAGACCACCTCGTTTCTGTGATAGAATTTGTAGGCAAAACTTTCTGCTTTACAGTAACCGTGAAGTTTTTCACAATTTTATGTTTGTGCGTTCCTACAAAACAGGTGATATTTATTATGCCAAACAATTTGATCATTGCTTAAGTGATTAAAGCAAAGTTTCCAAATTTCAGCCCATTTTGTACTACCTGAGAATCAAATACTGACTGGGAAGATTTCCACATTAACCTGATCTACTTAAAATTGTACTAAAACAAGATCAGATTTTTCTCACAAGATTTAGGATTATAGGTGGATTTTTCAATAATACTAACCAGTTTCTAAGATTATTCCACTTATTAACCCAAGTGTTTCAGTAAACTGCTAAATGTCAAACCGCAAAATAAATCTGAAGTGTATATTATTTCGCCAAATGAGTTAAAATAAAAAGTGCAACAGACGTTGAAAGCACATAAGAACATGTAATCAAACCCCCACTCATAAAATTATTACTAATAAGCATTATTATATTACTCAGACATCCCCAAATGTGTTATATGTATTTATTTAAAATCAAGAATGAAAATGGGATTAATGAGAGATGCATATTGGATGCTGGTACACAAACACACGCTATCACCGTATATTAAAGAAATGTCACACTATCGCTTCCAAAACTATTCTACAAGAATGTATCTCCCATAAAATTTAAACAATTAGCACTAAGTGGAATATCGTGCACCTTCTCCAACAGTTACTAAAAAAAATTATACATTTCACTCGCAAAGCATTTTAATTCAGGAGACTGAAACAGCGGCCAGAATGCTTCCCCCCTCCCCACCCGGTCATCCAAGCGTAGACATAATAAACCTCGCAATTTGATACAGAGCCCTATCGCGTCTTTCCAGACGCCTGAAAGCGCCTCACGGGACAAGACCGCAAAACGAGCCGGACGCACACGCCGCGGGCAAAACGCGGCAGCCGACTGCCCGCGGCGGGCGTCCCGCTCCGTCGCGGATTGAGCGACCGCTTTACGGGCGGCGACTGTGGTTTTTTTTTTGGAACGGCGCGTGGAAGAGTGTAACCCAAAACATCACCGCAAATATAAAATGAGAGAGAGAAAGAGAGAGAGAGAGAGAGAGAGGGAGAGGAGAGAGAGAGAGAGAGAGAGCGCGGGTGCAAGTCAGGTACAACTGAGCAAAATTAATAAGCAAAGCAGCACGAGGTCAGAACCCACACACACCCCCACACCCCACACAAAAAAAAAAGAAGGATTAACGCCCCAAAAAAAAAAAAATGCGGAATTTATTAATAGATGAACTCGGGATAGAATAAAAGGAATGGAACGGTTGGGGGGGGGGGGGGGGGGGGAGTGTGGGCTCGGGACACGGCGACGGGAGAGGTGGAGGGGAGGGTTATGATGGAGGGTCGGTCGGGGCGGGGGGGGGTGAGGGATGCGGCCCGCGGGCCAGGACTGGGCCGAGCCGGGAACATGCGCTCAGCCACAGGGCCTCGGCCCCGCCCCTCTCCCCCTCCCCCCCCCCGGTCCGCCCAACGTGACTAACGGAACCCCAGCCCCTTCCGCGGCCGCCCATTGGCCGCGCGCCGCCCTCCCGCCCACCCCGCCGCCGCCGCCCATTGGTCCGAAGCGCCCGTCCGTCAGGGCCGGGCGGCATTTCCGGGGCTGCCAACACGTTAGGTTTCACTCTCGATTTCCCCCCTTCCCCTCCCCCCTCTCCCCCTCCCAACCGCTCCCGCCCGGCGCCTCCGACCATTTACCCGACCCCCCCCCCCCTCCCACTCTCTCTCTCTCTCTCTCTCCTCGCGTAACAAGGCCGCGGCTCCTCACTCACTCACTCCCTCCCTCCCTCACACCGGTCACCGTTTTTGCCTCACGACGCCTCAACCGCCCGCGCCTCTCCCCCCCCCTCCCCTCGGCTTTTTTCAGGGCCTCGCGTCGGCCGAGGTGGGGGTGAGAGGGACAGAGAGAGAGAGAGAGAAAAGAGGGAAACAAGACCACCATCTCATTATATTCGTGTAAATTTTTTTTTATACACAGAGAGAGAGAGAGAGAGAGAGAGAAGAAAAGGAGAGAGAGAGATTTCTTTCTACCAACCAGATTCTCAACAGCCGCCCGTTCCAGAAACTTCTGCGCTGCTTCCAGCTCATTCCGATCTGGTGTGTGTGTGTGTGTGAAGGGAAGGGAAGGAAAAGAAGGGAAGGAGAGAGAGGGAGGAAGGGAGAGAGAGAGGGAGAGGGAGGGAGGGAGGGGGAGAAAAAAAGAAAAGGAGAAGAAAAAAAAAGGGAGGGAGAAAATATAGATGTATAATAATAATATTAATACATAAAACACTTCCGAAACTCCCCCCTTCCCCCCCACACACACACACACACACATGTACAGGTCTGAAATACCCCCTCAAACAAAACGTCCGAAAAGGATCTTTACCCCCCACCCCAACCCCCCCTGTGCCCCCTCCTCTCTCTCTCCCCCTCTCTGTGCCCCCCCCCCGCCCCCTCCCTCTGTGTGAGTGTCCCCACCCTCTCTCTCTGTGTGTCCCCCCCCACCCTGTGTGTCCCCCCACCCCTCTGTGTGTCCCCCCCCACCCTGTGTGTCCCCCCCACCCCTCTGTGTGTCCCCCCCCCACCCCTCTGTGTGTCCCCCCCCCACCCCTCTCTGTGTCCCCCCCACCCCTCTGTGTGTGTCCCCCCCCTCTCTGCTCTTACCTGGGGAGACGGTTTTCTCTAAAATAGTGATGAGCTCCATATTTACGAATCTCATGTGGAAACGACGGTGGATTCTTCAAACAGAAACTGCCATATATATATATATCTACATATATATAAAAAAAAACCTCCCCCCTCCTCCTCCTCCTCCTTCCTCTCTCTCTCTCCCTCCCTCTCTCCTTCCTCCTCTGCTTGGAATTGGTCGGAGAGAGAGAAAAAAAAATAACGTTTTTTTTCCCCCCCTTTTTTTTCTCTCTCTCTCTCTCTCTCTCCGGTTTAATATAATCGATCGCTGGTTATTCTCTCTCTCTCTCTCTCTCTCCCCCTCTGTCCTCCTCTCCAGTCGGCCACGGTCTGTCTGCCGCCCGGTCTCTCTCTCTCTCTCTCTCACGCCTCCCACCGCACCTGCGCACGCCGCGCGGCGGAGCAATATACCGCCCCTGCAGCCGCCCGTCCCCTTCCCTTCCCTTCCCTCCCCACCGCGCGGGGCCGCCTCACACCGACCGCCACACCACCCTGGGGCCGCTCCACCACCAGCACCCCACCCCTACCCCGCCCGCCCTCCGTCGGCCTTGTAACGCCCCTCCTCATTGGCCGGCCCTCGCCACCCGCCGCTCGCCAACGCTCCGTCACGCGCTCTCCTATTCGCCACCCGCTCGCGACGCGCCTTCCGATTGGCCGCCCGGCTCTGACGCCCGCCCCCACCGGCCCGCCTCCGCTCCGCCCGCCGTTCTCTAACGCGACGCCACATTGGTCCGCCTCTCCGTTACGCGCTCCCCTATTGGCTCGGACGAGCCGCCCGGCTGCAACGCGGCTCCGGATTGGCCGGTGGCCCCGTTCCGCGCCGTCGCCGGGGCCTGAAATTCAACGGTCGGCGTCGCGCCCTTTGCGCCCCTTTCAATAATCCCCGATAGCGTTCCCAAATCGGGGGCCGAGTTTCCCGCACAAAGTCCCCCCGGTTTCGGCAGCGGCCGACGGTCGGGGAAACCCGCGAGGTGACCCGCGGCAACCGCGCGCCCCCGGGACCAATCAGGCGCCGCGTTTCATTCGGCGATTCACCCCCACACCCCCTGTCCCGATGCCGCCAAAGCCGCCGCCCCCCCCCGCCGCCGCCGCCATCTCAATTCGGTTTTAATCAACTCCGGTCCCGTCCAAATCCGATTAAAGCGTTCGCGTCACCGGCGGCTCCGTTTAATGTGATCTAACGGAGGCGGCGGTCGGTTTTTGGGGCTTCGGAAGTGGTCGCGGGGGGTGGGGGAGGGGGGGGGACTACTTTCTTTCAGGGAGCGGAGGGGGACCCTGGGCGGCGCCGGGGGGTGAGGCGGCTTTGGTTCGTACTTCCCGCCCGTTTCCAAGGCGCCGCCAACGGCCTGAGAGGGCGCCGCTCATCTTCATCATCATCAGCGCCGCCGCCGCTCGCGGGCGGTTCATGTCGCGGCACCGCTTGGGAAATAGATGTAATAATGGATATAAATATGGCCGCAGTGTAAACTAATGGGACTTGTTATTATCCCGCGCTCTCCTCAAACCACCGCCATCGTCGTCGCCGTCATCTTCATCACCGTCACCTTCGCAGTTGAGAGAGGCCGCGACTCCCCCGCGTGGCCGAAACGCCTCGAGAGCGCTCGGCGGGACATGACCGCGCAGTGTAGTGACTGTTTCGTGGGCGAGACCCCGGCAGCCGAGTGCGCCCCCACCCCTCGCGCCCTCTCCCCCCCACAAACCGTCCGGGGTTTGAGGCGAACAAGTTTTTGTGGGGAGTCGTTTTTTTTTAGGGTTTTCCCCCGACCCCCCCGACAGGACCCGGACACTGACTCACTGTCAATGTGTTGTAATGTTCCAGTGCAGTGCTGGGGGGGGGGGGGGGGGGGAGAGCGGGGGTGGGGGGAGCGGGGGGTGGTGGGGGGCAGAGTGGGGGCTGTGTTTTTTGGGCGTTGCTGTTCTTCAGATGAGAGGTTAAAACCGGTTCCCAGTCTTGAGCTCTGCTGAGGAGGGTATGGAAGGTCCCTGCGATGCTGTTGGGAGCGAGGAGGGGGTTTCTTGCCCCCCCCACCCACCCACCGCCCGCCGCCCCCGCCGACTGACAGCCCCCACCCCCCCCCCCCCCACCGGATAGGAATAGATCACAATTCTCGAACGCAAAAGCAGTTGCTACGCGAGACGGCAATTACTGCCGTAAGACGCTGCAAAAAAAACGTGACCCCAAGTTCCCGGGACGCGTTTTCCCCGTTGCGATGCACAGAGAAAGCGCTTCTCTTTCGGCGCATCTCCCGTTTCCGCTGCGAAGAACCCGGAGGAGTCGGGTGTCTGGTGGGCATTTGTGACGCAAGTCACCGGCAGAGAAGCCAAAAAGGGGGGGCAAAAGAGAGGGTGTTTTTGTGCCCCTTTCCCAAGCACTTGGACCAATTCTCGCAGCCGAGAGCTGAGGTTCCAGTGCGGTCCTGGGGCTTCGCCGCCTCGTTGGAAATGCGGTCACTTGGATGAGCGTTTGCACTCGGGTCACGTCTGACTGTTCAGGTGGACTCTAATGAATCTGATGGCACTTTTTGAAAAGAAAACGCAGTTTCTTGGCCGGTGCCCCGGCCAACAATCCCCTAAAATAAAATTGGTCGTTCACTTCACGCGGGACATCGCTGTGCGTAAATGAGCCGTTGTGTTCTCTTAAATTAAAACAGTTGGTAATTTACAGGAAAGCCCATGAAGAGATCTTTGAGATGACCTGATGTGAAAGGTGCTATACCAAGTGAAATAATAATCCAACCCATCACGGCGGCTGAACAAGCTACGATAGCGTAGACATCGTTGCTGGTTGTTTTGGGCTCGGCAGCATTACCAGCAGTTCTACTTAGCTGTATGTGGTTACAATCATTAATAATAATAATCCTTACATTTGTTACAGGGCCTTCGAGACGTCTCAAAGTACTTCGTAGAATGTGCTCTAAAGTGAATTGACTATATTTTGTGGACGAAACGCAGCAGCCAATTGCTCACAGCAGCGTCCCACAAACAGTCGTGGATGGAGTGACCAAATTATTTCTTTTGAAGGAATTATTACCCCGGAAAAGCGTTCTGCCAATCGACCAACAACCAGGTTCCTACTTACTGCTGGATAAACAGGCATGTGGTGCAAGGAAACATGCCTAACTTTTCGCCCGGTCCGGGAATCAAACCCAGGTCCTCGCTTGCGAGGCGAGTGCTCTAACCACTGAGCTACAGGGCTCCACATTGAATTTTACAGCAAGGAAGGAGACCTTTCAACCCATTGTGTCTGTTTAAGCCCCACTCCCCAGCCCTTTTATAGTTTTTTTTCAAGTGTTTGTTTAACTCATCTTAAAATCTTGATGAACGTATTAGCTTCATGGTACAAAATGTGAGATAGGAGAAGCAACAAGTAACTACCTATTTCTAGATTAGTCTTTTGTACTTGTATCACATCATTGACAAATCTACTCACAACACTTATCTTCGCGTAGAAATTCACAGCACAGTAGAAGGCATCCTGTCGCTTAGTGGTTAGAGCAATCTTCTTGCGAGCAAGAAGGAAATGTTGGGAAAGTTTCCATACTCCACACACCTCCGTTTACCGGCAATAAGTAGGAACCCGGTTGTTAGTCGATTGGCAGATCGCTTTTCCACGGTAATCATTTCTTCAAAAAAAAAATTGTGGTCACTCAATCCACGACTGTTTGTGGGGACACTGCTGTGCGCAATTGGCTGCCGTGTTTCACCTACAAAATATACAGTCAATTCACTTTACAGTATATTTTGTGAAGCGCTTTGAGACGTCTCAAAGATGTGATAAAGCGCGATATCAACTGCAAGTATTATTTTTATAAAGCGATTCGTCCCATCATTGCCTGAGCTGGTTACAAATGTTTTTTTTTAAACTTAAGCCACTTCCTGTATCTCATCCAGTTGCTTGCCACATCCTTCTAACTAAATTAATTTGACACAACAATAATTACCGGATCGAATTATCGCAAAAAAATAGGCAAGACGTTTCTGAAGTCTTTGTGCTTCTTTGGCTCAGATGCTCGGCTGCCATTTTGTGAACTGTGGAGGACATTTTGTAGAGTGCGCTTCCTGATGTCATACACTTGATTTGTTAGCACTTTGGTAGTTATTGATGAATATGTAACACTATGTCATTCTGAGACAGAGTAGGAACGTCACATTTCAATGGAGTTTGTACAATAACTTCATATATTGTCCCAACGCAATACAGTCGTGCAGCTGAAATGATAGTTCCTGACACCTGCATTGTAATAACTAATCTATAACTTACGGTGAACTTATTAGAAAAGTTCCAACCCTAACCCATTAAGAGTTCTGTTTTCTGGTATTGGAAAATGAGGCCATTTCGGTTCAGTTGATAGAAATCTTGGCACTCGGTCAGAAGGTTGTGGGTTAGAGCCCCATAACTGAAATTTATGAGGTCAAAGTCTATACTGACGCTCCAGTTGCAGTGTAGAGCGCTACATTGTCAGAGATGTGGTCCTGCGGCTGAGATAATTAAACTGATTAATGCCTGTTCAGTGGAGGTTACAGATCCCTTGCCACTTCGAAGAAGGAAGCCCGTCCTGGTGTCCTCGTCAACAATCCATTGGATGATTTGGTCATTCACTTCATAACTGTTTGTGAGAAATTAGCTGCGATATTTTTCTTGTTAGTTATAATAATAATCCTTGCATTTGATATAGCGCCTTATCACGTCGGGAGAACGTCCCAAAGCGCTTCACAGAATACATTGTAAAGTGAATTGCGTATTTTGTGGGTGAAACGCGGCGGCCAATATTGTGCACAGCAATTGTCATCGCACTTCGAAGCAGTTTCCAGTGAAGTGCTTTGAGGAGTTGTCGGCAGAAGTCAAATGAAGATTTATTATTTATTCATCACGATTTGATGATAATTAAATCATGTAAGAAACCTAAGGAACATTTTATAAAATGGTATTAAATCCTGTAGTTTGATTTTTTTGGATGGGTTTAAGGCAGTGTCGGTGAAATATTTCGATATGCTTCACGTGCAGTTCAGTTTTGCACCCACACACAATGTTAGTTTCAGTGTACGTTGGATCCATCGGCTGCCACATCACCGACACAAAAGCCTCACTCGCTTTTTTAAAAAAAAAACTCGGGGAAGAGAACATTTCTTACGTTTTACCACTGCTCAGAACACTAAATATTGTTGGACAACAACAACTCTGCCTTGACTGCACACCTAAATACTAAAGGAGGGTGATGTGGACTGATGGGTTGTGGCTGAAATATTGCCCATTGCATTTAAATACTCTTTTTAGGCTTGGTGATGTGTTTCCACACATATATATATATATATATCAGACGCCTCGCTAACTAAAAAAATTGTTTTGAGACAAACCAATATTATGCTGAAGGCAAAGGCAAACAGAAAGTGTCCTGACTGACCACAGACACAGGCAGAGGTGTGATCTGCCAAGAATTTATTGAGGGGCTGAGCTGAAATTGTGCCATTTCATCTTCACTCTGAAATATAGAACTCACACACGTAGAATTGTAGAATGTTACGGCACAGAAGGCGGCCATTCGGCCCATCGTGCCCGCGCGGGGCGGGCTCTTTGGAAAAGCCACCCAACCAGTCCCACTCCCGCGATCTTTCCCCATATCCTTGCAAAGGTTTCCCTTTTGAAGTATATCTATCCAATTCCTCTTTGAAAGTTGTTATTGACGATGTGATTTGTGTAAAGACCACACAAATATACTAATTTTTATCAACATTCCAGGAGGGGTCCCATGATGAACAGCGGCTTATCTGACTGAAACAGATGAGAGCACCGTTAATACTCATTATGCAGTGAAACTCTTGGTTTGTGTGGTAAGGTTGACAAGACCATTGATTGATCATTGCAGTATCATTTTTCGCCAATGGATTGCCGGGCGATTCCTGCGTTGTTGGAGGCGCCTTCATCGGAAAAGACGTTAAGACAAGACCCCGTCTGCCTGTTGGGGCGGATGTTAAACGATCCCATTGGCACTATTCAAAAAGACGGGAGTTTCTCCCTCCCGGGGTCTCGGGACCAGTAACATTGGTCATTCACTCCATGGCTGTTCGTGGGACATTGCACAAATTGAATGATGCATACAGCTTAGAAACTGAGTTTAGGAGAGTTTTAGATATTACGTAGTGTCTCAAATAATAATAATCCTCGCATTTGATATAGTGCCTTATCACGTCTTCGAGACGTCTCAAAGAGCTCCACAGAATATACTGTGAAGTGAATTGACTGTATATTTCGTGGGCAAAACACGGCAGTCAATTACGCACCGCAGCGTCCCCACAAACAGTCATGGATTGAACTGACCAATCTATTATTTTTTTTGGAACAAACTATCACCTCCAGAAAAGCAATCCGCCAATCGACCAACAACCGGGTTCCTATTTACCGCTCGGTAAACAGGTGTGTGGAGTAAGGAAACTCGCCCAACGTTTCGCTCTGCCCAGGAATCAAACCCAGGTCTCCCGCTTGCGAGGTGAGAGCTCTAACCACTGGCTGATTGTGAGATATTGCTGTGCACAAGTTGGCTGCCACATCATGCACACGTATACACAGTCACTACACTTTACAGTATCCTGTGAACGCTTTGGGATGTCCTCCCGATGTTAGGAACATTATAGTTGTATGAATGGGGGACTTTGCTGGTCAACATATAGGGTTTGCCTACACACTGTCAGTCGACATTTGACAGAAATTACCTGTGAAATGATTTTAAAAGTTTCAGTTTTATTTAGGCATTAAAACAAATGATCGTTGCATTTTATATCGGCCACAGGGCAACCAGTTTCTTAAGACAAATGTGAGATCAATTAGCATCCAAGAGAAAGTACTGCGTTTGTCAAGAAATCAACAACTGGAATAGTTTAAAGGCTCAGTGTCCTGGGAATTATTGGGCACAATGAAAAACAGGGAATTAGGATAAGAATAGTTATCTCCAGTGAGTGAGTGTGTGTACCGAATAACCTTTTATTCTTGTCCCAGATTTATTATGTTCTGCGATTCAAAGTGTGTAAATCGGGGAATCATAAATGAAAATCAAATGTAAAAAATCTTGGGCGTGTTTCTTATCGAGTCTCGTGGGGCTTCATAAACCCACCTACGTTAGTACCACCACCAACAGTTTGACAGAATTATGATGATTCTATCCACTTATTGAGATATAAGTTGTCTGCCCTCAATCTGTACTGATTAGTGAGGCTCACTGTCAAAGCCGAGACGGGTTTTACCACAGTGTGAAAATATGCTTTTAGGAATATTCCAAGGCAACTGGGTAATAGGACACAGGTTTATCTTAGGACAGACACCAGGAAATATTTTAGAATGTAATAAGCAGCTGTAACAGTTTACCCGGGAGGATTGTGGAGGCCAGAACACAATCAATTATAAGGAATAGTTGGAAAGAGACAATAATAATAATCCTTGCATTTGATATAAGCGGCTTATCACGTTTTGAGCGTCTCAAAGCGCTTCGTAGAATACACTGGAAAGTGAATTGACTACGTTTGTGGGGAGAAACGCGGCAGGTGATTGTGCACAGCAGCGTCCCCACAAACAGTCGTGCGTGGATTGAGCGGCTGAATTATCTTCTATGTGCGGGAAGCGGGAAGTCAGCGGGGCAGATATTTGTAAGGATAACATCAGACGGCATGCGATCGGGGCGGTGGTTGCGACAGCACTCGGCCGTAGGCGGCGCAACATCACACAGCGCCGTTGAAACACACGTCCAACTCCAGGCTTGAGATTCGTAACGTTGCTACTTCCTGATCTCAGCCATCTGTGCTGTGAGGAGATTGCGTTGGGCGCTAACTCGGCCTTTCCTTCCCTGCAAGGAAACTCGGGGAACGGGCAAGAGAATAAACACCATTGAACAGTGAAAATGGAAGCCGACTTCCCTCGCAGATGTGACCTTAAGTACAGCAAAACAGTACAAGGTGTTGGTTTTAAGGTTAATCTGATATCGTCTCAAGTCGAAGTTTGTAACGTGCGCTTTCTGATCAGAAATCAGAGGCAACTCCCACATCCCTAGAAAAATAGGACTCGGAGGAATCCATGGAGACAGGAGGCGGCTGTTCAGGCAGTCAAGTCTGTTCCTCCATTCGGTGAGATCACAGCAGATGCTTTCATCCTATTTTAACACCATTTTTCCCCATAATCCCCATTTCCAAAGTGTTAATTCTTCCATTTTAAATATCCCACTGGGTTCTGTACCCACTGCTACTGTGCCCTGAAAGGCAAAAAGTCTTCAGTTTTACTCTTCAACAAGACTTTTCCCCCACCATATCCCTCCCAAATATCTAACCACTGTAATTGTGGTTTTCTAACCAGAATATCAAACAATTTTTTGAAAAAAAACCTACTACCTATTCCTCTTTTCCCCTCGGATCTCCCTTTACAGCTCACGTGCCAACAGATAACCTGCTACTCATCTGAATCCATTAATGATCGTTGCATTTTGATATAGCACCTTATCACGTCGTCAAGATGTCTCGATGTGCTTCACATGATTTTACTGTTAAGTGTGATGACTGCATGTTTGATTAATACTGATTAGTACTGATTAAACCCGGGCTTGTACAGCACACCCCCCCCTCACACATACCATCACACAAAGGAAAAGTTCACTTTGACTTTTTTTTATTAACACCAACTGTATTTTAAAACAAAAGCACAACAAGTATTTCAGGGAAGCAGTTTGACAATTAGTTTGATGACCTTCTCCAAGTCAACTGAAGCCACACTAAAACACCACATTTCCGTTAAAACGAGGTACAGATCCTTCCTCTGAATGCTTTATGTATTTTGCAGGGTTAGTATGTCTCTCCTCTCTCTTGGAGTTAATTCTACCATTTACATTCTTTTTTCCAATTACTCACCAGTTTGTACCAGTTTAAGGCTTTCAAATGGTTTACACGTAAGCATTGGAATCAGGAATCACATGTTTCTCCTTCTCAAGCAGTGTTCCCAAGTGGAGGGGCTTAAACTCACGTCTGTCTGTTGTTCAAGTATTAAAGTTATATTATTTTTTAAACAATTTCAACTTCAATTTAACAGTCAAAATGGCCCTTGGTAGTATACACATCAGAAATGCGTGCGTCCTATTCTCGCAAAGGTCCCTAACCCATTGATTTTAAAACGAAAGCACTTCTAATACATCTTATTTATATATCCTATTTTATTCGATGTGGCTGCTGTTACGGAGATGTTTATTCCTCTTCATGAAGGACATCAATGGTTAAACTGAGGCCTAGAAATCATTAAATAAGAATTAACTCACCTCTGCCAGAATTTTTTTTTGGGGGGGGTGGAGGGGAGGGAGGGGGTGTGGGGGGGGGGGGGGGGGAGGAAGGAATTACATTACCACAAAATAACCAGGTGTCCTGCTTGAACACTCGAAGATTTCACCAACCTGATATTAAATGAGACTGCGCGCCAGGCCAATATCTGCAAACACAACTGGGGAACTTTAACCATTCCAAAGAACACACTTCAGATCAAGTGCTAATAGTTTTTTTTTCTCTCTTTTCAAAATGAGGTATAAACTACATTCATTTCCAATCACTGCAAAAGGTGACACAGGTTCTAGCTGTGAAAATATACTTTCAAACTCCCCTCCCCGTGGCAAGGCAGTGGGTATTGGTGGTTCAGGATCTTGTGTTCAGACTGTGGCCGGTAGCCCCTTGCGCTGCAGCAGGTACTGATGGATTGCTTCGGCGTCACGTTTTAGCCACGCTCCATTCAGCAAGATGTTCTCACAGGACTGTTGGATGGTGCGTTCTGCAGCGGGGGCGTGATGAGTCTCGAAGAAGCTCTGAAGCAGCGAGAAGAATGAAGAGTATAAAATGTGACGACAACGGGGCAGATGAGAACCAACAGTAAGTTAGCAGGCAGCAAAAGCCGGCACAGGACAAACAACAATAAACACAAACGTCGCTGGGAACAGTCAGCGGGTCAGGCAGCATCTATGGAGAGAGGAATGTGACTTAACATTTCAGGTTGAGCTCTGACGAAAGGCCATCGACCTGAAACGTTAACTCATTTTCCTCTCTCCGTAGATGCTGCCTGACCTGCTGCGTGTTCCCAGCCACTTCTGTTTTTATTTCAGGTTTCCAGCAGCCTCAGTGTTTTGCCTTTTGTTTACAGGACTAACAACTGGCACTTTGCAAAGGGAAACATTTGCATTTATTTACCATATAAGATGGAGCACATGAGATGCTGGCGGCTGGAATAATTTGCAGATTAATTTACAAACTTCGTGGCAGTATGTCAGAAATGACCAGCAACTTTCTTTTTCCCCCCAGAGGGAATCAAGGGGAATTAGGCAACATTTGTAAGAGGGCTTTTTTTAAAAAAAAAACATTTGTATAGCGCTCTTCACATCGGGAGGACGTCCCAGGGCACTGGGTAGACAGAGATGTGGACCAGAGCAGGGAGTTGGGATCAGGAGGAATGGAGGGAAAGGCGGGTAGGGGTAAGAGAATGGCGGAAGGCACCGTTGAAGAGGAGGGTCTTGAGACGGGCTTTGAAGGTGGCAACGGAGTGAGCGAGGCAATGGGACTGGGATGGAGTTCTAAAGGGTTGGGGCAGAGAGGCTGAAGGTCTGACCACAGACAGTGGGACAGGACGGGTGGGGGACAGACCAGAGCCAGCTGAGCGGAGGGAGCGGACAGGTTGATATGGCGTTATTAGGTCAAAGAAGTATGAAGGAGCAAGGCCATGGAGGGCTTTGAAGGCGAGGACGAGGAGAGGTGCAGTAAGGCATAAAAATAGGCTCCACTTTTTTCATTTCATTCCTTACTGATGGTCAGCGTCTCTTTAAAATGAATCAGCTAAACAGGAAATGCCACGTCACCATGAGAGTTGCTGGTGTTTGACATACCCCACCCCCCCCCCACCCTTCCCCGAGACGTGTACCTCATGTTGACACCAGAGGGAGGCACCTCACTGCAGGTCGATTTACCCAAGAGTGTGTGTCCTGATTAATAATAATAATAATAATGATTTGTCCTCAATAAGGCGCCACTTAACTGCCCACTGCAATTTCTCTCCTTTAAAATTAAGATCGACGACTTAATGGATATCGGAAAATGTCACTGAAGTCTCATCACCGTTTAATCACATTTAAAGCAACGATTTTACTGAAACATCGAACCCATCAATTCATTAAACGAGAAGGAAAGAAAGGTTAAAAACTTGTATTCTTATTGCCCTGATGTTAAAGTACTTTACAAGCAATTACTGACGAGCGAAGGGGACTGACTGTTCGTAAACATTTGCGCTAACCAGGAACCACAACAACCATGAGGTGAACAACCGATTAATCTGGATACGAAACCAATAATGCTTCATTATAGTTATTAAAATGCACTGTAACATTTTCCGAATTGTGTAGATGAATTAAAAACCTTCCGTTTCCTGGTGCTGTGTTTTCCAGTCTCTAAATACATACATATTTTAAGTTAAAATGGGAAAGTTTGGAAAATGGAGACAGGTTGAGCCATTCTGCAAATTTGGCACATTCACAGCCAACGCAGACAACACTCGTTGCTGACAAAAGCTCATCACGAGAATCAGCTTCTGTGGCATTTATGAACCTCAACTGTGAATGATTTAAGCTGCTAGACGAAAGGTCTTTCTCAAACTGCCCCAGGGAAACGGAATACAAATCAATAAGCAAGCAATGAATGTTCCCGTTATTAATTTACCCGTCACTCGTTGGCCAGCCACTCCAATTTCTCTTAATTAAGGCTATTTAATTCAGTTTGCAGATAATGTCCTGTCCATTGGGGCTTCGATCCTGGTTAAGTCCAGGACATTTGCTGAGAATCTGACCAGGGCTCATTCAATCATCACAACAAGTGTTCATAGATGTCATCAGCGTAAGTACAACCAATCCACCGCAAGGTATCCTCTCCCACTGCGGTCCTCAAGAGGACCCAACTAAAGCCAAATACAGCTGCATTAAGGTACTTGGGTGGATACTCGTTTTATAGGTTTTCAATCCGCTTGTAAAACCGTTGGTTTAGAATAATGGATTTAAAATGGGGGGTGAGGGGCAATAAGACATGTGAGAACTAGAGACGTACACTGGTGACAGATCAAAAGGAAATCTGCAACCTTCCTGTGAGCATTTAGTGGCTGTAAACAGATTTCTCCTCCTTTCCCTTCCCCTCATTGAGTTTACAAACAACTGTTTAATGATCTAAAATGCGAATGATCACAGGTGTAAAATTCAAACCAAGTCCAATGCAGAATAGAATAATAATCCTTGCGTTTAATACAGCGCCTCATCATGTCGTCGAGACGTCTCAAAGCGCTTCACAGAATATACTGTAAAGTGAATTGACTGTATATTTGTGGGCGAAACGCGGCAGCCAATTGCGCACAGCAGCGTCCCACCAACAGTCGTGGATTGAGTCACCAAATTATTATTTTTCTTTCTTTTTCTTGAGGGTATATTGAATTGCTAAATTAGTAAAGTGGAGTGACTGTGTATTTTTTGCCCAATATGCTTTTTCTAGAGTGAAGCAAAGTCGCCGATCGTTAGCCAAATACAAACATATACAAACAATGGAAATCCATTTTACCTTGACTTCAGCTGCCATTTTGTCACCGGCAAATCCTTCAACCGTCAACTAAAGGTGGAGAAAGAAGAGCATTCAGTGTTACCGTACAAATATTTTTTTGCGGGAGTACGCTGTTGTAGAACCCCATTATAAAATGTCCGAGAAGACGCTTTTGCTTACAAAAAAGGCCCTGTCCTTCACACGCTTAAAAAAAAGGCTTCCAAGTGGTTAGGTTACCAGTGCCGCATACACGCTGGACGCAATGCATTATATACAGGAAGTTTCCTGCGCACAACAGTGTACAAAGGAATTGACGTCAGCAACAGGAAGCCACATGGGCAGTACTGTCCCTGGTCAGTGACCTCCCAATGCGGAAGGAACTGCGGTTGCACTTGATAGCGCTCCGTTATAAGGCAATTTTGAGATTATGGATCTGAACCACTGCCTAAAACAGGGTCCTGGTGGAGTTCACCATTAGTTATATACGACAATACACTGAGTTTGTGTTTAATAGCAACAGTGCAGCTTGAGACTCAAACGGTCCCACCTTGTTCCAGTTCAGCTACAGAAATAAATGATAGTGAGTCAGGCTCCTGATATCTCAGTGAATCTCATTGTCCTCGCAATCAGCTGCAGGATGGGAAGATTTCCCTAATTAACCAGCCAGCCACAAGCGTCCTCAAGCCAAACCTGGGGGGAAGGGAGAGAGGGGGCGGAGAGAGATGGCTCGATACCTGCCCACTCCTGCGCTCTGCCCAGCGAGGGGTCACTAGATAATGATTAGGCAAAGATCTCAAGGCGAAAGAAATTTCTGCAATTACCTTAATTAATCTTGATATTAAAAAGCCTCCTTGGTAGCGATTGTACAGTTCATCCCAGTTATCCTTTACGAATTTCCAGGCAGCTTTCCTACCCATTAGATTGCCACTCGATACTCCACCGAGTACAGAGACTGTATCCTGGGGACGGACGTCCTCCTGTAAGAACAAGGGACAAGACAGTGTGGTTAAGAGAAAAAATAACTATCGTACAATATTTGCACATGTTGCACATCGACTGGGGAAGGAGTAGAGAACTGAAACGAATACATCTTCAGGGTGTCCACAAAGCCCTGTTACCCTCATGCTTTACTTCTACAGTGCACTGACCAACAACTGAAACATGTGGAAGAATGACGATCGTTCTATTTCGAAGCACTTGATTGTATTCAGTCCAAGTGTTTAACTGTATTTAGACGTCCAGAGGATCAGTGTGTGTGAGTGAGTGCCATCATTCTCATGGCAGATAATGATCCACCGCCTTGTTCAGTGGCACATCTTCCGTAACACGGATGGGGTGAGGAGGCAAAATGCATCTCTGACAGTTTGTTTCAGCTCCTCTCAGATCACTGTTATGTAACCGGGAAGTTGGTGGACTTTGCGGACACCCTGTACAATTCTGAAAACCACTGCAATCCCACAAAAAAAGTGTCCCCTAAAGACAGTGATGTGCTGGAGTACAGTTCCATTGGCACTGGGAGTCCCTTAGTCTCCCACCCATTCTTATGCAATGAAGCTGCAGATCGTAAAGTTGCAGGCTTTGAATCACAGGACCACCATAACCAGCTTGATCCTCTCCTACTGAACAGCATCCCGAGCGTGAAGCCAGATTGATTTCTTCTCCTCACTCGGGCCAGTTGTATTTTTGTGCCAATTATCTCCAATGACTCACCCAATTGGCTATTTTGCCACATATGAGCTCAGACTGTGTAGTGTGTGCAGGCTATTTGATCAGTGTCCATATCACAGCCATTGCCACACTTGTACTCACTCAATGTCCTCTCCCATGCACTGAAAGCAGCCCTAACTCAGAGGCACTGAGCCCCAATGCAGGCCGCCCAGCCCCCACCCCCGCTGCTGACGGAGATCAGTTAGCTCAGCATACACGGAGGGTGAAACGGGATCTTCCTCGTCAGTGTAGTTAGACACAGGCAATGCAGTTAGTCCGAGTCACCAGGAGGAGCCCCTCCAACATCACAATGGTTTCCTTTGTCACCAGAGACAGTATTATGTGCCCGAGGTCAAGGTTACAATTCACGGCAACCTGAAGTTCCTCCTTTCTTCAACAGCAACATGTGAATAAATTATGCTGTGATGTGCAGAATTTAATGTGAGATTTACAACAAGTTTAACTTGGCCAAGCTGAAGCAACAGAGACAAATTACATCTGTAAAGGGCCTTTCACGTCGGGAGGATGTCCCAAGGTGCTGAACAGTTAGACATCAGGACCCGAACGTGGGGGGGAGGGGGGCAGAGGAGATAGGAGAGCGGCTGAAGGTACAGTCGAAAAGGAGGGTCTTGAGTCGTGCCTTGAAGGAGGCAAAAGAGGGAGCAAGGCGAAGGGATTGTGGGATGGAGTTCCAAAAAGTGGGGGCAGAGATGCTGAAAGCCAGGCCACCAATAGTAGGATGGGTCGGGCGGGAAACCTGGAGCAGTCCGGAGCCTGCTGAGCGGAGGGAGCGGACAGGTTGATAGGGGGTCAGCAGGTCAGAGATGTACAAGTGGGCAAGGCTGTGGAGGGCCTTGAAAGCGAGGAAGCGGATTTTGAATTCTCTGAGGGATGGGGAGTCAGTGGAGCTGGGCGAGGATTGGGGTGACGGGGGTCACAAAGCCAGGTGCAGGAGAGGACACAAGCTGCAGAATTCTGGATGATCTACAGCTTGCGGAGGGAAGAGTTGGGGAGGCCGACAAGGAGGGAGTTTTCCACAGCTGAGCCTTGAGGTGACGAATGGGTGTATGAGTGTTTCGGTGGCCTGAGCGGCGAGGCAGAGTCGGGCAATGTTGCGGAGGTGGGGGAAGGCAGAGCGGGTAATGGCACGGATACGGGGGAAGAAAGGACCGCTGAGGGTCGAACAAGACGCTCAAGTTCCTGACTGGCTTGGTGAGGTGGAGTGTGCAATCGTGGATGCTGATGCTGCCAGTGCCTGAGGTGTGTAGGCATTGGCACGAACCCATCAGGAGGGCCTCAGTCTTGCTGACATTCAGTGGTAGAAAGTTGGCTCTCATCCAGAACTTGATGTCAAGACAATCTGTCAGGACGTCAGTGGTCCTGGAATTGAGGGTGGCGGCAGACAGATAGAGTTGGGTGTCATCTGCGTACATGTGGAAGTTGACCTCATGTCTCCAGATGATGTCACCAAGGCGGAGCATGTAGAGGTTGGAGAGGAGGGGACTGAGGACAGAGCCCTGAGGAACACCACACAAGACTGTGCGGGGGCTGGAAGAGAAATTGGTGGAGACAATTTGGAGCTGATGTGAAAGATAAGACCTGAACCATTCAAGGACAGAACTTTGAAGGTTGAAGTGAGAGGAGAGGTGGTGGTGGAGGAGGATGGAGATGTCCATGGTATTGAAGGCAGGAGAGAGGTCAAGGAGGATGAGGAAGCAGAAGGAGCCCTGGTCACAGATGGACAGGTTGTCATTTGTCACCTTGACCAGAGCAGTTTCCGTGCTGTGAGCAGTATCCCAGATAAGCGGGAAACTGCTTCACTAGAGGTATAGAAAGGCAGGAATTAGGCCTCCACAACAATAACTCGCATTTAAAAATAGTCTTTCACTTTCACATCTCTCGGAGCGCAGTCCTTGGTATTGCGACACCTGTAGTGTTAAGAGTAACAGGAAGCCACATTTATAGATCTGCTTTAGTTAAAAGCCCCTTTATTGTGATTCAGCTGAATTGCTGATATTCATAGTGGAGTCCTATAGCTTAGTGGTGAGAGCACTTGCCTCGCATACTATTGTATGTTGGGAGAAAGCTATGTCAATGCTACATCAAGAATCCCAAACCCAGGAAAAAGGAGGTAAGTCTTTGCCAAAACAAAGTAAAGGTTTAGCCCTGAAGGCAAATTTGCCAATTAAAAAATTTGTCTTGCATCGGTGATTTGAGAAATAGTATTTATGGTTAGTTTGTGTGTATGTGTTCAATGTCGGTTCCAACTACCCAAAAAAGTCTTGAGCAGAGGCTTCTGTGGTCAAAGCACATGTATTTAGAGGGCAAAGTGGTTTTCTGAAATTGTCTGAATAGTGATGATCTTCCTCATGGCTACAACATTACGACAATTCCTGCCACTTCTGAATATAATGCAAATCACAGAGACAGAGCACGTTATCTTCAGGAGGACCATCGTTCATTTCTTATGTTTAAAAGAAAACAACCTACCGACATAGCAAAGGTCAAAACTTTCTGAATGAGGTCAGGGTGCGAGATGGCACCTAGTACTCGTTCAATTCGAACCCTTTCTTCCTGAAGATCTGCTTGTTTATGGAGCTGTAACAGAATGAGTTTTCATTAGGCATATTACACATTAGCATCTAAAAACAGATCCACTATTCTGCACTTATTGGTCATAATAAACCTCCACCTCTTGGGGCTGCTGTTCATTGCCACACTGTTCAGCCCAGGAGGGGTGGAGGGCAGCATATGAGCTTGGTTTGTTTTTGTGGAGGAAAGGGCAGAGATTGTGTCTCACCGAGAGTCCCAAATGTGGTTCATTTCCACTCTAAAACCTGCGTCAGCCTACGAAATGTTTCAGTCCTTGAGATGCTTTGTAATACACAGCACACGGAGCAGTAAGTGACATTTTTACTACACTTTCATCATGAGAACTGCACTGCCAACGCGGAGTCAGATGCATGCTCTAGGTGGCGATGCACTTCCGTACCTCCGTGCCACCAGAAGTCATCGCAGCAGCTGTTTGGACCAAACGTTGTTCCAACTAATACAATATTTTAACCGACATTACCAACGCTTGTGCACAAAAATAAAACAAAGCTGTCGTAAATTGATAAACCCATTTTTTTTTCCTCCAGGAAACAACACCCAAGCTTATATGTAAATAAATTCACGATAACCCATTTAAAAAAAATAAGATTAACTGAGGCACAAATCTCCATCTATTCAAAGTAAAGGGAGATTTCTGCCCTTGGGGCTTTGCTTTTGTCACTGATGACTCAGTGGGTAAGTGGGGCTGCCCAGTGTGGTACTAAAGCATACAGACCAGGAAGGACCCAGTTTCAATCCCCAGTCTATGCTGAGTTAGCTGATCTCAGCCAGAACAGCAGCAGGGAATCTACAATTGGCCTCAGAAGACCCTGTGCTAAGGAAGGGGAAAAAAAAACACAGCCAGAGTTCCCACTCCTGATGGCTATCCAGTGACCCCTGCTGGAAAATGCACATGCAGATGTCAGGTGAGGGTAGATCTGGGCTCGGCTGTGATGCACCCCCCACCCCCTATGGTCTACTAGGCTGCTGACACTCACTGTCTAGGCTCAGACATCAAGAATGGCCAGTTGGGTGAGGTATCGGAGGGCTGCCGACGCCTGTGGAACCATAACCCAGCATGAGTCAGTGCCTTCAGGAGAGGGGGAGAAAATTACAGAAAATTAAAAAGAGACAGACACATCTGAACCCCCAAAGTGATCCAAATTTCAGGAATTTCCAAATGGATCCCAAAAAACAAATTTAGTCCATTACTGGTTTTCCCGTGTGCTATTCTATTTAACTCTGAGACACCTCTTCAAAGATGTTTGCATTGATGTAACTGAATATCTAATTATACTCATTGAAACAGAACGAGCAAGTCTTATGAAGTATCAGACGTTGGAGGTGATGAGTAAGCCACTTATCTGTTCACCAACAGCTAATGCTGGCTTTGTGGTGGCCCAACTCACATTCATATAGAACTTCTCCAAAAGCTTGGAAGGTAAATGTATTATGTGACACAACACTGAGCAGCATGCCTCAGGATATCAACAGGCTAAGAGCAGAGACAGAGAAGAACTCCTGATTGCCGTTGAACCCTGATAGAAGTGCCCCTGTTAACAGGATTGAGCTTGGCCTGCAAATGTTCTGCAAATGTTCACGCCTGTCCCACGGTTGAACAGCCTGCTGACACTCACCATCCAGATCCACACCTAAAGAATGGCTTTGCAAATCATACAGCACACTTTTGGATGAAGAGCGCTCTTTGGCTCATTTGATCTCATCTTTCTAGAACAGCCATGCGTTTCCCATCCTCCCTTCACAGCACCAATCTGTTTCTTAAATGAGCCAGCACCCTGGCCTCACCCAGCCTTATTACCATCTGGGTAAAGAAATACTTCCTGGTGTCTGTCCTAAAATTGCCTTCTGTAACGGAACCCTTCTCTTGTTCTGCTGTCTCAGCGCATCCAAGAGTATTGTTCTGAGTTTATTTTCACAATCCCATTTAAAACCTTACACACGTTATATCTATAAACCCTGCTTTGAGATGTCTCCTTTCGAGGCTGAAGATCCCCAACATGTCTAATTCTTCCTCATACCTTATTCCTCTGACATTCATTCTCATTGCCCTCCTCTGCACTGCCTCAAGGACCTGGAGCCCCCTTATATCACAGCGACCAGGCAATACTCAGTATTCTAGGTGCAACGTGACCACAGCACTACACAGCTCGACTTCTGGGGAGCTGAACTCAATTGATTTGGCAATATAGCACGGCACCCAGTTTGTCTTGTTGAATGCTGCCTTTACACTGTTTTGACCTGGTGAACAATGAGTCAACTGTTACTGCTTCTCTGTTGGCAAGTTCTGGTCCATCCACAGAGTACACGTGGTGTCTTTTCTTACTCTAGGCATACCTTGCACTTATCTATATTTGAACTTCATTTGCCAATCTTCAGCCCAGAAACACAGGGTCATTAGGAAAACTGAAATGGAAAGGGCCATTCAACCCATTAACCCTGTTTCATCAGTTTATTAGATCTTGGCAGACTTTGTAAGCTCAATGCTCCACCCCTTCACCATACCTGATCAAGCTCTCTTTGTAAGTTCTTTGCTGCCTGTTCTGATTGCAGTGTTTAAAATAAAGGGATTTGATAGAGTAGATACAGAAAAACTATGTCCTCTGGTGGAGGTAACATCTTAAAATTGGAGCTTGGCCATTTAGGAGTGAAATCAGGACAGTTTTTCACCCAAAAGGATAGTGGAAATCTGGAACTCTCTCCCTGAGAGGCTGGATCCATTCACATTTTCAGGACTGAGGTGGATAGATATTTGTTACGTAAAAATTTCAAAGTATATGGGGCAAGGGCGAGTAATTGGTCTTGAGATACAGATCAGCCATGATCCTATAGAATGCCAGAAGAGGCTCAAGGGGCTGAATGGCCTACTCCTGTTCCTACATCTTCGTGGATTCCACAGTTACCCCCACAACTTGGTGTCACCTGCAAATGTAACTACCTCAAACTGGGTTTGCAAATCCAGGTCAGCAGTTTATAAAATGAACAGGAAGGGACCCAACATAAGAATCCTGAGGCACACGGCTTAATACCTCCGTACACTCTGACCAGAAGACTCCTAGCACCTGTGGAACTGTGTGCCATCCCAACCTTCAGGAAAAAGGGAAAGGGGGAGGGGGGAAAGAGGCATCCATAGCACCTTCATCGTGTGATGGAACACGTTAAACAGGCTGCATGATCTATTTTCAGCTTTGGCCAGCTGAGTGAGGATTTCAGAATGAGAGCCATCATTTTGTAACCTGTTCAGATGAAGCCAAACAAGCGTTTAAACAACAACCCCTCCTTTTGTTCTTCAAACAATCATGATTTTGTGCTTCACATTTATCAGGGCTGAGAAAGCACGGGGGTGGGGGGAGGGGAGGGGGTAAAATCCCCCACAAAAAGTACGGTTTTGCGGAAAATTCCTAGATCCGTGGCTTTGCTGCGTTCAACCTGAATAATTTGACTGTAACAAATTACACCAGGTGGAAGAAAAATCCAAGATCCTCATCCAAGATGCTGGAGCACCCACCCACTCACCTTCAACATTGTCTCTAGTGTTGCGGCATCACCATGCTTCAGAACGGTTAAATATACCTGAGGACAGAATACAAAACACATCACTCTTGATCAAAGAGAAAACTGCAGAACTGACATTCCTCTGTACTACAAAAAGCTTGTTACTCAAACAGCAAAGAGACAATCACTTCAATTTTGCCCGAGTACAAATTGGTGCTGGACCCTCCAGCTGTTGTTCAAGGCCACAAAACGCTACAATTACCGTTTTTTCTGAGAAAACATTCTTTAAAAACATTGAAGGAAAGGTTCCCCATGATGGTTTAACAAGTTAATTGAGTCGGTAGCTGAGCCAAACATTCCAGAAGGTACGGGGCAAGGGCAGGTAATTGGATTTGAGGTACAGATCAGCCATGATCTTATAGATTGGCGGAACAGGCTCAAGGGGCTGAATGGCCTCCTCCTGTTCCTAATTACCACTCTCAAATAACTGAGGTGCTTGGGCGATATCAAAGAGCACCCCATGCCAGTGGAACCGAACCCCTAGAAGAAATAAAAATCTTTCAGCGCCAGTAAGCCATAGTGACTTGTGGTCACAGCTCTAATCCCGTGTTAATTTACTGCAGCTCCTGTTATGAGTGGGTGCGGCAGAGGGAAATAGAGAAGGGACAAGTAGTCAGGGCTCTTATTCTTAGAGTCTAGTTGACATGTACAACAAAATCACCAAAGGGTGATCACAAGCAGTTGCTTGTTCAAATACTGGACTACTGTGGTGTAAGCCCAAGATGAACCAATTTCCAATGTAATTAGGTCAGTTGAGGCAGACATGAAATAACACGAGTGGAGGTAGACAGCAGAGTGAGACTGCAGGAAACATTTCTCTTTTGTAGTCCTCTCGTCTCCGCCACCATTATTTTTATTGACATATGAAATGTGGTCAGGTGCAAGGACACACACATGCAGAACAGAACCTGTGATTCAGCAAAGTGCTCATCGATAAGAGCACGACCCACTAAGAGCATCTCTGCTTCCCTTAACGTTAGTCCTTAACGTTAGTCCTCAGTACAAATGCCTCAAATTGCTTAGCTCCACAGAAGCTGAATGAATCTAATGCTTACATATCGTCCTAAAAAACTCACTTCAACCAATGTTTAAATGTTCTCATTAAAACCATTTGAGAGAAACCGTCAATAGTGAGAGTAAGATTTGAAAACTGTCAAACACAACGCCTGGATCCAAACGTGTGCTATTTAGCCCATAATCACTCAGCCACAGTGGGTATACAGAAACTTACAGTACAGAAGAAGACCATTCGGCCCATCGTGCCTGTGCTGGCTATTTGAAAGAGCTACCAACTAGTCCCGCCCTTACCCCAAAGCCCTGCGATTTTTTTCCTTATTAAGTATATGTCCAATTCCCTTTTGAAAGCTATTACAGAATAATAATAATGAGGAAAGGTCATCAACCTGAAACGTGGTAACCTACTTTCCTCTCTCCATAGATGCTGCCCGACCTGCCGAGGGTTCCTAGCAACTTCTGTTTTTATTTCGGATTTTCAACAGCTGCAGTATTTTGCCTGTCTTTTATTTTGTTTACCGCCCCCCACAAAATTTATCTAACTTTAAATCACCTTCATAACTACTGTCGCATGATTCAAGGGTATTTCTAGCCTATTTTCTGATTTGTAAGAAATGTGGAATTAAAAATTCATGTCAGCAATTATTGCTTTACTTAAAAATAAGTTATGGCCTACTTATCCTCCACCTTGCCCCTTCCTTCCCCATTTTCAGGTCACGCCTGATGACCTTCCTATTTGACCGTGCCTACGGTCACCTCCACCTCCCTCCCTGGCTTGGTGTTGTGCTCCCCCCACTGTCAAGCGCTCTGGTTCACTCTCCTGCATGAGGGGCACTGTGTAAATGCAAGTTGCTGTTAAAACAAAAATTGGAGAAAATGTTCTGAGAATCTCACCACCCCAACCCCACCCAGAATATATATTTTATTTAGATTTTCATATGAAAGTGGTGATTCTAAAGACTTCTCTTTTTCTTCTAAACCTTCTTCTCTCTTCCCTCCCTCTATTCCCATAAAACAGAATATTTTCTAAATGGTGAGAAACTAAGAACTGTGGAAGAGCAAAAGGATTTGGGTGTCCACGTAGACAAATCACTAAAAGCAAGCTCGCAGGAACTAAAAGTTATCAAACCGACAAATGGGATGTCAATAATAATAATCATTTTCAATTATCGCAAACCGGCTGGAATACAAAGGAGAGGAAATGATGCTTCAACTACACAGAGCCTGGGTCAGACCCCATCTGGTGTGCTGCGTTCAGTCCTCCAGATGGAGTCTGTTTACGCGCTCTGAGAAGCTACGCTGCACGAGGGGGCGCTATATAAACACGAGTTGTTGTTGCTGTCCAGTTTTGGCCACCGCACCTCAGGAAGGATATACTGGCTCTGGACGGGGTGCAGCACAGATTCACCAGAATGATACCAGGGATTAAAAGGGTTAAGTTATGAGGACAAGTTGCATAAACTTAGTCTCTATTCCCTTGAGGTTAGGAGGTGATCCGATTAATGTTTTTAAAATAATAAAAGGATTCGGTAGGATACAGAGAAACTATTTCCTCTGGTGGGGAATTCAGAACAAGAGGGCTTAACCTCACAATGAGAACTAGGCCATTTAGGAGTGAAATTAGGGGGTAGTTTTTCCACCCAAAGTGTAGTGGAAATCTGGAACTCTCTCCCCTAAATCGCTGTGGATACTGTTCACATTTTCATGACAGAGGTGGTTATTTGTTAGGTCAGGGTATTAAGGGATAAGGGACAAGGGCGGGTAATTGGACTCAAGGTACAGGTCAGCCATGATTTTCTGGAATGGCGGAACAGGCTCGAGGGGCTGAATGGCCTCCTCCTATTTTTATGTAGCAAATCTAGCAACTGTACGGAAAGGGTCTCCTGAAAACTTAAGGAAGTCAGACTTACAGGACTCCGTAGGTCAGCCGACAAGACTTGCTTTCCCTCAACGTGATCTTTAAACCTGCGCCTCGCTTCCTCTAGCGTTGGTGTGTGACCGGCTTTCCCCAGCTTCCCCAAAACCAGGCCTCGCAGGAGCGCTTCTAGGTGACCTAGGACACAGGACATTAACAACAACGTTAAGACATTCACCACACTGCACAGGCAGGTTTCTCCTCAGCAAATTCAGGTCAGTCCATTGCCAGAACCAACTGAGCCATTGTGATGTGGTGGAAGAGCCTCCAGATGGGAATATGGAGATCACACTGTTAGAATGGCACACGTCCACTCAATTGTCCCTACAGGTTCAGTTCCCTTAATGCAGCATAAATGAAGCACATTTCACGAGTGAAAAATGTGCCTTGAACAGTATTGTTAAATCTTTTAGCTGTGAGGAGTGGATGGTTGAAGCTGGGAATCTGTGTGACGAGACCAAATGGCCACATTTGCTCCTCCTTCGCTCCTCCTCCATCTGAACTCACTCCCACCCACAGATCACACATCTACATACAATAAAGGAGGCTTACCAATAATATGTGGCTGTGACTTATGGAACCATAGAGATTGACAGCACAGAAGTACCTGTCTACTTCCCTCTTGAAACCCACAATGACTCTGCCTCTACCGCCTTACCAGGTAGGGCGTTCCACACCCCAACCACTTCTGTGAAAAAAATCCTCCTAAACTCATGTTTCACTTTTCTTGTGACGAGCTCATATCTGTGGCTCATAGCCACTGATTTGCCTACCAGCGGAAATAGCTACACCTGATTTGCCGTGTCGAAACCCCTCGTAGCTTCGTGCAGCGCTATCAGGTCCCCTCTGAACCTTCTCTGCTCCAATGAAACCAAATGGACCTTATTCCAGGTACAACAAAATTACATTTGTACAGTGCCTTTCACATCGGGAGGACGTCCCAAGGCGCTGGACAGTCAGGGGTTTGGACTTTGCAGGTATTCTTGCATCCGGATTCGATAAGCTGTCCCAGTCTCTGCAATGTATAGATATTCTTCTCTCTGCATGTCCCTCCCCCAGTCCAGTAGTCACCTAATTGGTCAAGTCCCCAGATTTTCACAACACTGATACAGTAGGACACAATATTTGATGGAAAGTGCAAGATCATATCTTTTCAAAACGACGTACCCTCAGTATGTCTCGGGTCCCAGCCCAGCTTCTGTCCAATGGGCGAGAACAGACATTTAACAAATTCTTGAATTTCTTCATGGAATTCAGTGTGGGATAATAATGTAGAAAGCGTTCCCAGATTGCAGCTTAAATCACTCCACACTGTGTAATTTGGCTCATTCACAAAGGCCTCCATGATTTTCAAAACGTCCACAGTGTTGACAATGCCAGCCCGAGCCTGAAAACACACAAAGGAGCCATGAGATCATTTATTAAACCCAGCAATTTATCTAACCAGCTCGTAACGGGCACTGGATTATAACAGGATCCTGTTCCAAAGAGATGAGAACCCGTTTCTTTTTCAAAGCTACGAAACAAATATTCGTCTACCGATAGCTAAAGCAGCATTAGTGCAGGCTCCAGAATGGAAGCGCTCTGAGACGCTGTCCGGCGTGGAGGGCGCTACATAAATCCAAGTTGTTGTTGTTGGAAGTAATAATCTCATACTTTATTCCAAATGGAGTTTAAATTCAAGTGCTAATTGGGCTGAATCACAGGATCAGTCTTCAATATGGGATTTTAATAAATTAAGTTTCTCTCTCATACATTAACCAATCTGGTGTAGATATCAGAGTGAACCGTAGCTATTTCTAGGCAATGTCTAGGTGAGGTCATTGATATCACTGAACACATTTGTGATTTTGAAAAATCAGGCTTTTGCATTCTCACGACATGCCTAAACCTGCCTGAACCACTTGGTCAATGGCTAAGTGAGTAAATTAATCACGTTTGATGCTTTCCTAAATGCTCTCTTTGGAGCATCCCATTCACCAACACTGATCTGTCCGTGATGAGCAGCAAAAACACTTTTTTAAATTAAATTTTAAGTCCTTACTTTGGCTAAAATGAGCTGGTTCAGCAATGAGGAGAAGGGAATAGATAGGGGGAGAATGATTAGGAGGGGTGCAGGGAGGCTCAAGTGGAGTCTAACCACCAGCACAGGCTAGTTGTCCATGCTGTATAGTCTGTGTTCTTTAGTGTATCTCAGATAGGATTACATTTCTCAGGAGGGGAAGTTTCAATCAGTTGGTCGATATATTTTCCAAGAGATCTCTGCCACAAAGAAAACAAGAATTAAAAATAGGAAACCAACTATGTCTCAATGCGCTGTATCAAATGTGAGGATCATTTATATATTTATTTAATGTGAGGCTGTGGGTTTTGTCTGAAAACTTGAAGGGCATTCAAACCACTCCCATTCTCTCAGTTACTAGTTAGTTAGGGAACCATAATTAAACGCTTAATGAATGAGTAGGCATGGGAAAATTGCTGACTGATAAAAATTATAATTTATAATCACATAAAGCTGAACATCAAGAGCTCCCACATGACTTGGTGCTGAGGATTTCCAGAAACACGAGCCGGTCACGGTGTGATGGGTGAGTGATAATAAACAACAACAACTTACAGCGCCTTTCACATCGGGAGGACGTCCCAAGGCGCTGGATAGTCAGGGATTTGGAATATCCCTGGACTTCAGTCAATGAGAAAAGCAACAGATTATAAAGAATATAATATAGGATTATAAAGAATCCTAAGTGCAACAACTTTGCCAGGTTTCCGAGCAGCACACTTGGAGATATCAAAGAGATATCAACACCAAAGTTAGTCTGAAGACAAAAGACTGAGACTTTGAACTGAGCTCCCGTGTGTCTGTTTGAGGGAACTGTAAAGATGTAAAGGAGAAGGGAGTTTCTTTTAACATCAGAAAACTTGAGATTTGAATAAAAGTTCTGTTCAGACTAAAAAAAATGGTACTAATCACTTTTAAATTTAGGCAAAATGCTGCAATAATAATCCACAAACATTCATGGATTGAGTGACCAATCTTTTTTGTGTTTTTTTTAGGGTTTATTACCCCCGGAAAGCGATCCGCAAATCGACTAACAACCAGATTCCTACTTACTACTAGGTAAACAGAGAATTGTCTTCATTTAAGGTGTCGACGCTTCCTCAGAGTCATCCCCATCTCTCTCACCCCACCCCCCTCTCTCTCATACACAGTCTCTCTCACACACTTTCTCTCTCTCACACATACACTCTCACACTCTCTCTCACACTCTTTTTCAAAAAAAAAATCTGCAGACATCTCAAGTCGAATAGTTATTCCTGTTGGCCAATATAAGGAGGTTCCCAGACTGTCTATTAAATCATAAGGTACAAGAACAAGGCAGGACTCAGACAGATAACCTCCCTTGTAACAGTATTACACAGTAATTCAGATTAAAAGCAGTCTTTTAAGCAATAAATGTGTTCTCTTTGGAAAGTCAGAATTTAATACAATGACAGAGAGGAAGAAAAATCCACGTGAATGAGGCCAACCCGTTTCTTCAACTCTCAAAGGCCACTTGACACGTAGCTAGGACGTAGCTAGGGTGCAAGGGGACACCCAGGTGGCTACGTTTGATTCCGCTTCCACCCTGGGGAAAGCACCCAACCATGACTTGGAGACTCCCAATTAGACAAACTGTGATGAGCTGACTGCGGCAGATTGGAGGGCTCTGACCCACATCCCACCATGCCATGGCACACACAGTGCATTGGAGAAGCTCTAGCTGCGTCACCAAGGCTACCATTAGCATTTTATCCAATGCCTTTTCATTGCAATTGACTGGGTGGTGCTCTTTACACAAATTCCCTTCACCTCCACAATGTGAACACTGTGACGCTCGTATGGAGAAGTGCCAGTGAGAAGAGTTGCAATTTGGTTAACTTCCAATTATCTCAAAACAACTCATCAGTACTCTAGTCACAAGACAGCAATTTAAAGCTTCTCTTACACAAGCAAAATAATCATGATTCAACTATGCCAATGTCTTAGTGAATAGCAGGATGTCTCCATTTTTAACTGAATTAACAGTTTTCACACCCAAGGAACCCCAATAGCAACTACACAGCAATGGAGATTGACTTAAAATACTTTTTTTGGGTGAGTTTGTGCTTATCGTGGCAACTAATGTCAATGACATGCAAACAAACACCTGGGCACCCATTATCACACTCTCTCAAATAAGGTACATCAAAGCCAGATAAGCAAAACACTGTCAATCCTCTCGCTATAGTTTCATTTAACTTGGTCTAAAATTCCTCTGAATTTCTTAAAGTATAAAAAAAATGAGATCCCGGGGGGACATTATAGAGGGCAAAAGGTTATAGGTTAAAGGGTGTGAAATGTCATGATATTTGGAAGCATTTCTTCAAACAGATGACAATCAACAGCTGGAATGGGAACACAAAGAGGTGTGATTGATGCCAGGACACTGGATTTGTTCAGGAACTGGCATGACGCAGAACCCAAAAGATGGTAGGGTAGATATTCTGGAAGGATAAGATCAAATGGGTCAAGAACTCTCTCTTGTGATCTTGTGGACTGCTTTATTGGGAAGATGTAGCTTTCAGAGCACAGCTGTAATAACACTGTAATGAGAATTCTGTGGGGTTGGTATTCTGGAAGGACAAGATCAAATTGGCCAAAAATGTGATCTTCATGGGAGACTAGAAAATAAACAGTACTTTTGAGATATTGACAATGTGCTATATCAAATGCAATCATTATAACTTTTAACGTGACACTATAACTTTTGAGAATGTTACTTTCTAGTTTAGAAAGTTGGAAACAATTTCGAACATTTGAAACTATTTCTCTCGGAAAACAAAGAATCTCAAAATCAAAGTAATATTAAATGACCAATTCATTAAGTCCCCCAGCACCAGGTTGGTCAGCTTTAGAATTGGTGCATTTTTACAGTGCGCAACACACACTAAACATCGTTTTCCTGCCGTATCCTCGCAATAGCGCTTGAGCCTTGTCCAATTGGAGTAAAACCATCTTAGGAACATGCAAGGTTTCAATGTGCCACAGAAACCACAAAGTACATGTGCACTTCTACCAAACAAACCATCTGCCAATTTAGCTGAAGTGTAACCTTGTTAACGAGCCTGAGACTGGTAAACGTTGAGTAAATGACATCTAGTCAAAAGTATTCCAAGAATTTTGATCAGTTAATACTTCATTCAACTGTACAGGTAGAAGTGGGAAACAGTTTGCAATCTTGAATGTTATTAACTAATGTTATTAGTCTGCACCTTCTTAAACCCAGTCAACTTCTCAAAGCTCTTTGAGATGTGCTCCCAACATGAAAGGCACACTATATAGTTATTGATCTTAGTGATCTACGCCGTAACTATTTAGGGCAGGACTTGTACCCATTCAACATCCATCTATCCCATCATGTAATAATCCTGGATCCGAATATCCCTAAAGAACATCTGCTTAGTTTTGAAACATTATAGCTCCTTATCCGATCTACCATCCACCCTTTTCCACCCTAAAACCAATTCTCCTGTGTTTCCAAATTACTTTTGTTGGGAGTTATTGGGAAAATATGACCCCTTGAATGTCATTCAAATAATGACAATGACTGTCGGTACAAAAATAGGTCCCAAGCTGAATGAANCCCCCACTGAAAACCATAAGTTATGGGAGCCTTCAATGTTAAGACTAATAAATCTTGATTGTAATAAGGTCCAGGATCCTTGTTAAGGATTACAATAAAATTGTATTCACTCTCAGACAGAGTTCCATGCGTACCACTTACAAAGCAATAAAAAAACACTTCTGCTTAACGGCTCCTCTTTATCCCTTCCTCCTCCACTTACCAGCGAGAACAAGTCGTTCTGGAGCCCTAGTCGATCTACAGGAGGGAGTGAAAGGTCCCGGATGCTCGGCAGTAAGTTGTCCAGCATTGGTGTGCTGTACTGGATACGACAGAATCCCACCGTTCCTGGGTTCAACTGAAGTTTAAAAAAGAAACCATTACTCTTCACATCGGCAGAGCTCTCAAAAGTACACACACGGCAAAATGGTGAATATGACTTACACACAGTTGAATAAACAGCAAACGCTTAACTATCAAGGCCACCCATGACTGACACCTATTTGGGTGAGGCACTGGAAGATCACCAGCATTTATGGAATCATATCCTCAGAGAGTAGTTGACCAGAGATTAAGGATTTTCTCTAATACTTTTGAATTATTCAGGCAATACCACATTTTAGAATAGTCCTAAAACAATCTTATTACTGCAAGAATCTTTTGCAATTTTGTTGACAACACCTTGCACGTATATAGCACATATAGCACCCTCCATGCAGAATAGAGTCTCAGAGCGCTCAACAGTGGCGGAGCCTGACTCTGAGTCGGGGGGGGGGGGGAGGGAAAAAGAGAGATGACCGTGGCACTTGAAAAAGGGGAGGGGGGCAAGGCGGAGGGATTGAGAGGGAGTGTTTCAGAGTTTCAAGGCATAGTAGTTGAAAAGGTGAGCTCCAATAGTGGTGAGGAGGGTGCAAGGAACAAGCAGGAAGCCGTTGCCTGTCGGGCTGAGATGTTCTAAGAGGTTAGTTTCCACGACTTGTCCCACAAACAGTGGCGGAATGAGTGATTTTTTTTTTTTGAAGGGATTAATACCTCAGAAAAGTAATGCGCCAATCGACTAACAACCGGCTTCCAACTTATTGCTAGGGGAACAGAGGCGTGTGGGGTAAGGAAACTTAAAGTTTCGCCTTGCCCGGGAATCAAACCTGATCCTCTCTCTTGCGAGGCGAGTGCTCTAACCCCGAAGCTACAAGACTTCATATGTAAATCCAACATTCATTTTGTGAATTAAATGATGCAAATGATCTGCAAGCTTACCAGGACCCAATCCAGCACCCTGAATCTGTCCCCTGAAAGTGCCAAATTTTTTCCTGGTGTAGGTTCCAAGATTGAAATCTCTCAGGTACTTTTTTTTAATATGATTTATTCCAGATTTCTTCCATTAGTTCCAGGCAGGAAAAGTAAAGAGAGAATAAAACCATGGCATAGGAAGACAGACCAGCTAGAGGAAGGGGTGAAGCAGTCACACTGATGGTAGCTTCCTCTCCTCCACACGCTGTGTGAAATCACCCCGAGCACAATCACACTATTTTGTGTGTTGGAAGCAAGATATATGTCAGATCAGATTTCTCAGACTTCCAGGATATTAACCAAGGGACAGAGAAATGAGCAGTTGCAGAACATGCAATAGTGGAGTGGCTATCACTAAAATAGCGTTAATATAAATCCAGCACATCAGAAGCAGTTAATCGCTTGCTTCTTAGACCTTCAAAAAAAATCCCTTAAAAAAAATTATAATTTGGGTACTTAATCCACAACTGTTTGTAGGAGTCTGCTGTGGGCATTTGGCTGCCATGTTTCGCCTACAAAATATAGCAAATTTTCACTGGACAGTATATTCTGTAATGCACTTTGAGATGTCTCAACAACGTGATAAGACTCTATATCAATTCCAAGAATTATTATTTTGTTATTACACCTGTGCTTGGTGCAGTGTTACAATGAATCATGAATATGATCAGAAAGGCAGTTTGCTTTTTAATTGGTTCAGCTGTAGTTTAGCGATACAGGAAATGGTTCACTACAATCAGCGTAAATTCAGACAAAACCACCAAAATTGATTTGATATATTCTCCGTGTAAAAATCTCACATTAATACTGCCATCATAAACACAGCGTTAGGGAGCATGATGCAGTCTCAATAAATAGGCACAACCATGAAAAAAATGATTATCTATAAATCCTCAGGTATTCTGGATCCTTACATTGTGCAGCTCAGAAAATAAGCTTCCAGTCAGTTATAGCTATAAAGTCAGCAGAGGATTAGGTGAATGGATGCCAGAATCAGAGTTTGTACACCAACAACACCTTGCATTTGTATAGCGCCTTTCACGTCAGGAGGATGTCCCAAGGCTCTGGACATTCAGGGAAGCGAGGCGAAGGGAATGTGGGATGGAGTTCCAAAAGATGGGGGCAGAGCGCCTCACTGTAATGCAGCAGGTTAGGATCCATAAAATCCCAACCCCCGGCCTGCTGCTAACTCAGCGCAGTCACTATCAATGCTTCCATGTTCACACTCATTTCCAGAGGACGTCTCAAAGCACTTCACAGGACATACTGGAAAGTGTAGTGACTATTTTCTAAGTGAACTTATTCACCTTTCGTGAACGGTAATGGAGTCTGAAATGACACACCGTGTTTTGCATGGGATGCAAGCTTTTCAGAGCTCCCCTGCCCATATCCTCATCTGTATGAAACCGTGCAACCCCATCACCCTAGTGCTTGACGGGCTTCACTGTCAAGTGATTGAAATGATTTCAAAGATCTTCACACTCGCGTTCAAATCATTTCATGCTCTGTCACCTCTCTACCTCTCCAACTGCTCACACCCACTCCTCTACCTGCCCCCTCGCTTGGCCTCTCCCGAGTCCCCGCTCCACTATCGGTGATCATGGTTTCAGCCATTATGCCCCAACCTCTGAAACTTCTGGTCTGAATCCCACCACCTTGCCTTCTCTTTGCGTTACGATTCCCCGGCAGGACGAAATGTTGGGCAAGTTTCCTTACTCCATGCACCTCTCTTTGCCTAGCAGTAAGTAGGAACCTAGTGGTTAGTCGACTGGCGGATCGCTTTTCCAGTCGTAATAATCCCTTCAAAAAAATAATAATTTGGTAACTCAATCCACTGCTGTTTGTGGGACGCTGCTGTGCGTAATTGGCTGTTGCGTTTCGGCCACAAAATATATGGTCAATTCACTTTACAGTATATTCAATGAAGCGCTTTGAGACATCTCGAAAACACGATAAGACGCTGTATCAAATGCAAGGATTAATAATATTATTGTGCACCTGAATCGGGTGTCAACAGGATCTGAAGTGGGGTTGGGTGAGAGTTACATAGATTAATGCAGCACATTTAACAGGCCATTCAACCCAACAAATCTGTGCCAGTGTTCATACTCTGCATGAGCTCTCACTGCTCTATTCTTTTCTTCCCCATGTATGGATCGTGGTTTCTCTTAGATACTTCACTTCAGCAGTGAGTTCCACATTCTCACCAACTTCAGCATGAAAATGTTCCTCCTAAATACTCTACTAAATCTACTACTAGATATCTTATATAATAATAATATGCCTAATAATATATTTATGGCCTCTTGTTTTCAGGCTCACCAACAAAAGAGAGGGGAAAAAAAACACACAAGCTGTCTTTTTTTCTTTTTTAAGGTAATTTGGGTTGCAAGAACCTAAAATAAAGGATGATTGTGAGGGAAGGGTACATTTAAGAAGCTATTTCTGTGGGAACGCTCTGGTGACATACCTTTATCCACTGGTCCGGTCTCACATTCTTCAAAGTGACGGTCATCTCTGGCTGATCCAATAACACCTTCATATTAACACAGGTGGGATCACTGCTGCAGATACTAACAGGGACCATCCAGTGAATTTGATCACTACCTGAGAAACACAGGAGAAGCCAACTGACACAAGGATTGATTTAGAAGTAGAGTGCTACCATTTTTTCCCCCCCCCCAATCGGTCAGAAAAGAAAACCTCAACAAGAATGGAATGCAATTCTAAAACAAATGTAGGCTGATTCCCACCAGCGTTCTCACTTTCTCTCCCCAAGGCACTGACTCGCATTGTGGCCACCGAACCCAAGTGGCTATTTTTTATTTTGGAACTCAAGACAGTGAATGCTGTCATGCTTCTGAGCCAAGGTTTCAGAAGTGGGCGTGGGGGGGGGAGGTGAGGGAGAGAGAGAGAGAGTGGGGGGGGGCATAGCATCTTAAGGGAAGCATGATTCTGGACACCAACACACGTGTGTACAAGACAAGCAGGAGTCACTGTCCAGCTAACTAGACCAGAGAGAGGGTGGAGGTGAGGGGGTAAAACCAAATGTAGCATCCGACTGCTGTGTCGTTAGATGTAGGACTTAGCCCCACGTTGCAGTAAACCTACCAATAGAGCCAATGGGTAGCAAAGGTAATTTAAAAAAATGACCAGAACGTTTTGAACTTGATGTTTGTCTGTTTGTATGTATCTCGGTGTGCCGGCCTGTCTCGGTGTGCCTGCCTGTGATGTGCATCTGTGTGTGTGACGATGACCGTGTGCGTGTCACGTCTGTGACGTCTCCGTGTCACGTCTGTGCGCGGGTAACGTGTGTGTGATGTCTGTGTGACATGCTCGCGCAACCGACGTCTGTGTCTGCGACGTGTGTGTGTCTGCGACGTGTGTGTGTGTGTCTGCGACGTGTGTATCTGCGTGCTGTGTGGCCTTGTTCTAAGAGTTTAACACCGAATAACAAAATTTTCCTTTCAATCGTTTCAAAAAGCAACTACAAAAAGCACCACAAATCCCTAAATAAGTTAACTAACTTGCTTCTCGACCACTTCCTTCACCTTTCTTCAGCCCTCAATAACCATCACCAACGTGCAAGCTGTTTAACACAAACCCAAGCTAAACAACTCATATTAAAGTATTCTTTTGCTACATTCCAATTGGGTAATTCAATTAGTTTTAGGAGAAGAATGCTGCCTTAGTCTGGCCCCACACGTATGTTACCAAACTGCCTGGATCCCAAGGATTCTCACTGCCTGTCCAATGGACCCCAGACCAAGTGCAAGATTCTGTATAAACCAGCCAAAAGAAAAGAGGGTGCTCAGCAATCTATAAATCCTGTTCGGGCCTACAGTATAATTGTTTTCTCAGTCAGTATTTTGCTGGTATAATGCCTCTTGATCTACTGCAGTGTCAACAGACATTAAAGAACACTCAGTATAATAACTGGCTGATAAGCCAGCCGTCAACTATCCTGGGCTGAAGGACGAGAGTAAGGAATGGAAAGAAAGAGTGGTTTCAAGTTTTCCTTCAATCTGCATGAATGGGTTAACCAGCCTACTGAGCGATAGCTAATAACTTCTGGCCACTAACCAATTCAAACTGGTCCGTCAGGAGAGTGCAACAGTGAGATCCTTGCAATTTAACCATTCAAGTTCATCCTCATCGTACACGCAAATAGTGTTTGGAAAAAAATGATGGTAATGGTGAAGGGCACATGCCTATTGGAGACAGCACGAGGCCAGAATGTTTTTCAGGCAGGAAAAACAACTGAAGCCTCAGGGGTGTGGCTCACCTTATACACGGCGTGGGAGCAGGAAAGGTCATGTGGGCGACGTTCACGATGTCATTGTCCCTTGTGACCTTTACCCAGCAGAAATGGTACTAAGGTGCAGCCTCTCTCCAGCGCTGTGTGGATAATGCCAAGAATGAAGAATAGCATTGCAGCAGAGTTAGTATTTTTTTTTTTTTTGAATTGGGTTTTGAGCTTTCTCGCTTTCTTTTCCAAAGGGAACTAAACATAAGTAGTGAAGTCAGTTCTTCATCACATTTCTCCCAGTTTTCTCTGCTGCATTTTTCCCTGTGGTCAAAACAGTCTTCACTCCCTATTCAGCCTTCAAGCCGACATGAAATATTTCCTACCAGTTATTGTGGGTAAATATTGTGAACTGCTGCTTCCTATGTGAATTGTACTCTCCAGCGAATCCATTTAGACAGAAATAGTGATATTTGGATTGTCTACATGGTTTAGAGGGCAATGGTAACATTTACTGTAGCACTGAGCTGTACAAACCAGAAGGCCCCAAATTCGATCCCTGGTCCGTGTGAAATTAACACTTCTCAACCAGTGAAGTTGTTCAGAAGTTATAGTTGATCTCAACACTCATGGGCTATTGAGAGGGGGCGGGGGGGTGGGGGGGAGAGAAAAGAGGAAATCAGCCAGTACTCCAGCTCTATTCAGTGACATTTGGTTAAAAAGTCAGCAAGTGTATAAGTCAGGTGAGAAATGATTTGGGCTGTCCTTGTTTACCTACACAGTCAATTAGCCTACGGTCAACCGCAGTCATGCGAGTCCTGCAGACTCACACATTAAGGAACAGCCACCTATGACATAGAGATGGCTGTGGAACTGTAACCCAGAGACGTCAAAGCTTGGAGAGGTGGGAAGAAAAGTGCCAAAATATGATCACAGGCTTCAAATACGTCAATTCTTTGGGAGGAAATTGTTACATGGGTTCAATTCCCCTCTTAAGTTGGGCTGGTCAACATTTTGGATTACTGATGAGTCTTCAACCTTTCTATACCCACTGTATTGAGGTAAACTATAACCAAAGAACACTTTCTTAATCTTGTCCAAGAATATTATGCATGAAATGTTTCTTTTTTGGTATAAGCCTTACAATCAGAAGTTTAAAGTATCACTCCTGAAATTGGATTAGAATCGAGCGTAAAGCTTCTCACAATCAGTACAAACAGCAACCTCATTGTGAGAGTGAGATTACGTGGCCATTATATAATTTAGCAGTGCATCTTGTGTGGCTGGGATTGTTGGACTACAGTAGCAGGAAATAACCTGCATTAAACCCGTGTAACAGCTGTTCTGAGTACTTGAGGCCAACAATGGTTTCAATAAGGACAAAGGTTTCATTTTCCAAGCACCAACATCACTCACGTCATCAAATGCAACCCCCCTTCCCCAAGAAGCGTTTTCAGAAGTGTCAAGTGTGTGGATTTGAGAAAGCAATCTGGTAGAGTAAAATACTGTCTGGCTCCTTCCATTAACCAAGCTGTATATGGGTAAGCTACCCTGGACTCCTCATGCTGGCATATAAGAGCAGCAGCAGAGGCTTTCCTACTCTCTCCATGCAGTGATCAACAGCTGAGTAGAATTAAACATGGGCAAGGAGAAAGATGAGAAACTCAATTCCTTGGTTCAGTGCATTTCTTCAATTCTTCTTTACACTTTTTTAAGCAGTTCTAATTCCATTGAGCATCTGAAACATTTAGATGTCCACAAGAGATAGCGAGGGATTCAGTAATCGAGGGATTTTAAGAAATAAAGCTTTTGTCTGTTTAGATGCTCTTACCTTCGTTACATCCACTGGCACAGAATTTCGTCTGGGAAAGCTTCAGTATTCTGTCTTCACCTTGCTGAATAAAGGTTTATATGGTTAGCTGCAATTACTAAGTATATACTTTTATATTTATATACACACACTATATATACTAAATATAACGTTTGATACAATTGGTTTACAAAAGGTTCCTGCTCCAAACGTTCATACATAAAGCAATATTTTACTGAAATTAAGTACATTATTATGAAATTATAAGATTATGAATTCTTGAACAAATTTTGTGTGTGTAATACACAAGGAGTGCTCTATGCCCCACTAAAAATGGGAATAGTACTTATTCTATAAATCTCCTCCTGAAAAGAACCAGTCATGCTGAGATACAGATTCATGGGGAGAGCTGCTGGCTGAAGTTGATCTCTTGAGATACTGGAAGTCAGTAGAACATATTAATCATGATAATAATCCTTGGATTTGATATAGCACCTTATCATTTCTCCGAGACGTCTCAAAGCGCTTCACAGAATATACAGTCAAGTGTAGTGACTGTGTGCTTTTGTGGGCAATGAAAAGGATTGAGGTATTGAGCCTGTGGATGCCAGTGAGAAACATTAGGAACAGAAACATCATACATCCTGAGGCATACCGCCGTTTTAAAACTGTACCCTTGAAAGGTTTCTCCTCTCTGCAGCGCGGCAGGTTGCAATTCCACTGATGTTGATTCACTTATAGCAGATGACAACTTGTAGTGGTCAGTTTAAATGAGATTGTTCCCAAACAGTTTGGAAACTGCTCGAGTGCCATTAACAATCATAATAATAATAATCCTTGCATTTGATGTAGCACTTCATCACGTCTTCAAGACGTCGCAAAGCGCTTCACAGAATACACTTTAAAGTGAATTGACTGTATTCTATGGGCGAAACATTGGCAGCCAATTGCGCACAGCAGTGTCCGACAAAAAGTCGTGGATTGAGGGACCCATTTATTATAATTTTTTTTGAAGGAATTATTAACCCCAGAAAAGTGACCCACCAATCAACTAACAACCAGGTTCCTACTTACTGCCAGGTAAACAGAGGCGTGTGGATCCTCTTGTTAATGACACTCAAGGTGCACCAGCGAACAAACTGCAACTGGATAACTGCCTGAATATATTGAAGCACCCACTGCAAACAAAACTTCAGTGAAATGTGGTTCTGTGTCCCCGGACAGTAAGTGTTACTCGGATCTCAGTGGGAGCTGGTTGTCCCATGCCAGCTTGGCCCATATGCACACCTTAGCCAGTGCCACTAGGTGGCGACTATGAGACGGACTACTGGCCAATCTTCCTCTCTCATGTGGAGGGGCACTGAACTGAAGTGCCTCGAGAGCTGCTGAAGCAGTGAGACAGCAGTTCACTCCGCACAGACACCAAGGATTAATCCCAGCATCTCCTTGATGCATGTGGTTCACTTCCATACCCAATTATTGTTGGGAAGGTAGACAAGGTGCTTTGGAGAACATAAGACTGTAAGTTTCTGCTGAGCGAAAGAAAGAGCAAGGTCCACAATAGTTCGCCTTCCACCATCCTGGCAGCCACTTGACATGTCGTGTCCCAAACTATATACTGTATCCTGAGATTATTATTTCCTAACAGAAACAAACAACACTTTTTGCTTCCACCTTCTCCCGAGGGAGTCTGTTCCACACGATTTACTACTCGCTCATTGAAGTAGTCTTTCTGCAGATTTGTTCTGAACTGAACCCCCTTCAATCGGGCAAATGGTGTGGACCATATTGTAATGTATAAATACTTTAGACCAATGTCACACCTATCTGTAGCACCGCTTCCCCCCCAATTAGCAAGTTACCTGCTCTTCTTCAACATAAATGAGAGGGAAGCCCATCTGTTTGGTCCACGAGCTCATCACAGCATCAATAGGCTTTCCACTTACTTTCTCCAAACAGTCCCATAGATCCTCTGATGAAAATGAAAAACATTGTTTTACTAAAACAAACTGACTCAAATTTAAAGATCAGCGTTTCCAAGATTCAAGGCCCAGATCTGGAATTACATTGCACCGACACACACCGGGGAGACAAGGAAGAGCTTCGAGCTGATGAATGATGAGGCTACTTGAACATTTTCTTTGCAAAAAAACCCACGGGATGTCATGAGAATATAAAGCTCATTCAGATGAGTTTGACTCAAAACCTGTGAAACCTATACGTGGTTCGGTTAAACAAAAATATGCAATATGCTGGGGAATGGAAAACCTGTGACCCATTTTGAGCACCGCCTTCAGAGAAGGTACGCAAAGGCACGAAGGGGTGTTAAAGCAACCGTTAACCATGTTGCAGAATCTGCACTTTTACCCTAAACTCATACAAGCAGCGCACCCTGCTGCAACAGTCCAACATTTCCACAGCAGCAATGCAAGACTGACATCTCCGTCTGTGTCGTGGCTCTGTACTGCATCAACTGTGGATTTTTCAACCTATTAGCGTGGATCGAAGTCCCATAACTGAAAGGACTGGAACTCTCTCCCTCAAAAGGCTGTGGATGTTGGATCCATTCACATTTTCAAGACGGAGGTGGATTGATATTTGTTAGGTCAAGTTATCAAGGGATACGGGGCAAGGGCGTTTAATTGGAGTTGAGGTGCAGATCAGCCATGATCTTACAGAATGGCGCAACAGGCTCGAGGGGCTGACTGGCCTGCTCCTGTTTCCATGTATCTAACTGTGCGCGAATCCATTCCATTGGCCATTTCCTCCTAGTGCTGTGAATTTTATTCGTAATACAAGTTAATTGGCACAAACTCAGAAAAGGCCTATATTTCCAAACAACAGGTACCCTGGCGTGATTTCAAGCCAGTAATGTAATCTCACGGTTCAGATAACAATTGGAATCCCTCAATTGGACTACAGCCTGGACCTGACGCTCAACAGCCCACTGTTCTCTAAACATGTGAAAACGGATACGTGAACACAAATTAAAACTCATAAATGTGGGCAAGGCATTTAAGACACCAATGAGCCATTATGAACAAAACAATCACCAGGTTTCACTGGAGATAGAGTAACAGGCTGGATGGGACACAAGTTTGTGAAATCAAGAGGGTGAGAAATTCAGGTACAATTGGTAAACTTTGTGAAGTTCATCTGGGCTCAAGACAACAAACACTGCAGCAGAAATGAGTTTCTAAACGTGCAGTAGATGTTATTTTGTTTTTATAGCATTGGAAAGTCTAGGGGCTACCCAGTCTGCAAGAGTGCCATCTTAAGATATCAGCACATTTTAAGTCATCCAACAGAAGACCAATGATAAAGGAACAATTTTGTTTGCAGCAGTATGGGTCTAAAGCAATATTAGTCCCAGTGAGTTCCTGATCAGCCCAAATCATCTGGAGTGGTCATTTTCAAGGCAGGGAGGGAAATCAGACATGTTCAGTAAATTATGCTGGACACTCAACCAAGTCTTTGGTTCCAATTCCACTTTCCAACTAGGATTTAATCTCAATACAGAACACTGCTTGAGGAGGATGCACAAAACAGTGAAAACAAATCTCCAATTAATCCCGCCAAAGATTTCAAAAGGCTTGGATTTACACATGCATCTGATAGCTTTAATCTTTCACAATCCATTATTTTCTAGCACTTAAGCTGTATGATCAATTGTTCCTAAAAACAGCCTTTTCATTAATGTACTGAGCAGATAACGTTCAGTGTGAGAGCTCTTGCTACTCTTTCTTGATTTCCCTCCACCACACACCAAGCACTGGCTTGAGGGTACAAAAGCAACCAGCTCACATATTCCTGCCATCACACTCTAAAGGCAGTCACTAAGAGGTGCAGCAGACTAGGCTTTCATGCTTTCTCCTTGTCAAGCACGTGACTTCTGCTCAACACATCCCCACAGCCAAGATCTTTGTATATGTCAGGAAATCACTTAATTCAGACATAGATATTCCAGTGTGTTGCACTATCAATCTGCCATCCTTGAGGGTCAAATTAATAGATGGACTATGATACAATACAAAATTACATTTGTATAGCGCCTTTCACGACGGGAGGATATCCCAAGGCGCTGGACAGTCAGGGATTTGGACCCAAGCTGAGGGTCGGGATAGGGGAGGTTGGCCGAAGACACGGTTGAAGGAGGGCTTTGAAACGCGCCTTGAAAAAGGCAAGGGAGCAAGGTGAAGGGAATGTGGAATGGAGTTCCTTAGGGTTGGGGCAGAAAGGCTGAAGGCCCGACCGCCGATGGTGGAGCAGGCCACAACATGCTGAGCGGAGAGGTTGATATGGGGTCAGCAGGTCGCAGAGGTAGGAAGAAGCAAAGCCGTGGAGGGCCTTGAAGGTAAGTACAAGAGTGAGGGTGGAGACTGGTGCAGGAGAGGACACGAGCTGCAGAGTTCTGGATGATCTGCAGCTTGTGAAGGTACATCAGCATCTGAGCTTCTGTCAGCACCTTGGGACGTTCTCCCGATGTGAAAGGCGCTATACAAATGTAATCTTGTTGTTGTTGGAAGAGCTGGAAAGGCCAATAAGCAGGGAGTTGGCGTAGTTAAGCCTGGATGTGATGAATGTGTGGATGAGGGTTTTGGTAGTCTGAGGCAGTGGTGGAGTCAGGCGATGTTGCAGAGGTGGGGGAAGGTAGAGCAGGTCACGGTGCGGATGTGGGGTAGAACCGACAGTTGAGGGTCAAACAAGACACCAAGGTTCTGGACTGGCTTAGTAAGGTGGAGTGTACATCCCTGGACGGTGATGCTGTCAGTGCCTGAGGTGAGGAGCCAATCAGGAGAGCCTCGGTCTTGTTGACGTTCAACTGTAGAAAGTTAGCTCTCATCCAGGTCTTGAGGTCTTGACAGACATTCTGTCAGAACAGCAGTGGTCCTGGAGTCAAGGGTGGAGGCAGAGATAAAGTTGGGCATCATCCACAGACACGTGGAAGTTGACCCCATATCTGTGGATGATGTCACCAAGAGAGGGCATGTGGATATTGAAGAGGAGGGGATCAAGGACAGAGCCCTGAGGAACGCTGCACATGACAGTGCGGGCCTAGAGGAGAAGCCGTTTGTGGAGATGGGAGTGGAGACGGTGTGAGAGGTCGGCTCTGACCCACTCAAGGACAGAACCATGAAGATTGAGGTGAGAGGAGAGGCGGTATCAAAGGCAGCAGAGTTCAAAGAGGACAAGGAGGCGGAGGGAGCCTTGGTCACAGATGGACAAAATGATAGATTACAGATTACAAGGCCTGGCAATAAAACCACTTAACAAGGAAACATTTTATAGGGCCTGAATACACAATTTCCCCACAAAAGGGCAGATCCTCACACAATGAACAGATGCTTCCATTGATTAGAAACAAACTTACAATCGGCAAAACTAGTTAAACCTTATCGTGTTTACCTGTTGCGGCGTTTTTATTTTGAAATTTTGTTAAATACAAGTTCATTCCCTTCCTGAAATCCTGTAAAGAAAAGTGTGTATTTTAAAAGTACAATTAAAACATTCAAGTACAGAGTGGCACCAAAAGAAAACATTTCTGTTAAATATTTAGTTAGTTTAAGTCCGGTTCACTCCTCTCCTGCAGGTAATAATGGCTACCGTCGGTGAGCAAGCTTTTAGCTATTCTGTCTGAAATCTCTGTACCTCCATTCTGGAATCCCTCTGCCTCCATCGCTACCTCTGAAACCCACTTTAAAATCTTTTGTTTCCAATCCTGCTTTTGGTGACTTCTCTTCCCCCGTCTCATTCCGTAATTCCTCCCACCCCCGGCTCGAGCTTCCAGCCAATTCCGCGAAGCCTTCAAGATGTTGTCCTGGCAGGAATTGCGCTATGTATAGATGTAAAATTGTTGTAGGTGGGAAGGGAACTTTCCCCACATTTCCCAAATCTCGCCTTACAAGACTTGGCAATAAAACAGCTCATTCCTTCAGTGAAGCTCAGCTATAAACAAGCATACCCTGGTTGATTACTGAGCCCAAAATGCGGAACATTGGAAAGATGACTGCACCAATTTGGAATCCAGCTGTAGCATGACAATACATAGTACTTTTCCATGACTATTATTTGAATCTAAACTTTTTATTAGAAAAGTACTATGATTAGAATCAAAACCAAAGCGCAACTTGACCTTGAAAGCTCTCTGCCTGACTTGCGGATGAGCAGGGTCTGTTCTGTGGCTAGGAAGACATGTCCATTCTTTACACATTTTATGCCGAGTTGCTCTGGTCACCATGTGGTTCACAAGAACTACCTGCCATCCACCTAATGAGAGCTCAACCTGTCTAATGGGGTTGAGTTGGTTCCAAGGTGACACGCCTGGCACTGGAATATCACAATAGAATAATTTATCTGTGGCAGTCTCAAATGTCCAGTTCTTGAACCAGATGGGTCTGCAGGACTTTAGGGACACTGCTGAGATGGACCAGCCTGGGCTCATTGGCAGGTCTTGGGGCTGGGATTCTTCCTACTCTGTTCCTGTTAACCCTCTCAAGCCAAAGCCCTAATGGCTGGACAAGCAGTGGGCAGCTTGCCAGTGTTCAATGGTCGGCTGCATGGATTTAGCTGGCATTTTTTAATACTTTGTTTTAATGATGTAAAAAGGTTGAGTTTGAGCAGCGATATCCTAACTAAATCGTAAAATAACTTACTTTATAATCTACATTTGTTTTCTCAAATCATCAACCAAGTGAAGAAAGCTATTCATAGTCTTTAAGTCTCCCTTCTTTCCACCGTTATTACTGATATATATTTTACTATCGTCTTGTGTCCGAAACCAGATCATTGGCATGCATTACACATGATTTTGTACAGCAATTGATGTGAACGCCTTTTAATGAACACGAAAGCAGTTTAGCCATGAACCTATCAACCCGATACGACTTCTGTATGTTGATCTTTCAAAGGCTTTGCCTACAGTTTGCATTGCAAAGGGCAAATTCAGGACAGATATGACAAAAGTTTTTCTTTACTCTGGAGGGTAATAAACGACTGAAACAGATGGCCAGGAGGCATGGTTGAGGCCAGTACACTGAACCCATGTAAAAAGCAGCTTGATCCTCTGCTGTGCTAACCCCATACTGGCCTGTCTGCTCCCTCTGCACGGCAGGCTCTGGCCTGCTCCATCTACCTGCCCTGTCTGCCCCTCGATCGGCTGGTCAGGCCTTCAGTCTCTCTGGCCCCCAACCTTTCGAACTCCATCCCAGTCCCTCCGCCTCCTTCAAGGCCCATCTCAAGACCTACTTCTACAACCACGCCTTCGGTCATCCACCTACCCCACCCTTCCTGCCCTCCACCTCTCCTGATCCCAACCCCTAACTCGGGTCCATAACCCTGAGTGTCCACTACCTTAGGATGTCTTCCCGACGTGAAAGGCGCTCTGTAAATGTAATTTTTTATTGTTGTTGCTGGGAGGGTGCTAGAGTGGATTTTCTTGAGATGAGATCAGTTGGACTGAAGGATCTTCTTCACTCAAAGTAATCTTGTGACCCAGGGCAAAAAAAAAACTTCTCGTATCCACGGATACATTTTAGAATGGCAGGAATATGATTAACAACATTTTTAAATCTTCCAAACATGTCTGATTGGTGGGAACAAGGAATTTTAAGTACCCATCACATTTCCCAATAAACTGTAGCTTACTTTTCAACACATTTGCAAAGAGCCATCATAAACAGTTCAGACTATTTTTATAGGGAGATTCCATGGAGGGAATTTCAAAGCTGCCATTTAATTGAGTTGAAATGGATCTGCGCAGTTTCCGCCTGTAGCTTGATGGCATTTTCATTACATGCAAAGATTAATTTATAAGCATTCAAATGTAATAACCCTTATCACACAAAAGGCACACACACATACTTTTGAAGTTAGATAAACATTACAGAATCTTCAAAGCTGCATCTGATGATGCTTACTTGTGCCTCAGAAACTGTACAGGGTTCAGGTTTTCAGACTCGAAAAGAAATAAATTAAACTTTGAACCAGAATCCAGTATTGTATTATACTGCCTTGCTCCCTCCCTTGCCTCCTTCAAGGTATGTCTCAAGACCCTCATTTTCAACAGTGCCTTTAGTCACCCTCCTACCCCTCCTGATCCCAAACCCCCTGCTCGGGTCCAAATCCCTGACTGTCAGGCGCCTTGGGACGTCCTCCCGACATGAAAGGCAGTGTACAAATGTAATTTGTTGCTGCAACGTATATCCCCAAGTGTTCACGTATGCTCCTGAAATCAGTCCTGATAACCGTGATGTAATAACTCACCTCATCTCCAATATAATCATGCAGCATTCGAATAACCGAGGCTCCTTTGCTATAAGAGATGGCATCAAATATTTCATCCACTTCTGCTGGATGTCCTACTTTGACCTTTTCAAAAAATAAATATATATTAAATCTTCAGGCCAAGAAACAGTTTAATTCAGATTCAAGGATACTGAATTAAGTCTAACTGCATGAGCTCACATGTGAGCATGCTGGACACAGAGCTAGGGTATTCAACCCATCTCTAAAATGGTTGCTCACGCCACACGGTTTCTTTATTTCTTTTATTTTCCTTTAATTTCCAATTTTCTTCCCCTTTCCATGAAGAGCCACCAGATGTGTGTATGTGGTGTGTGTACAGATCTTTTATAATAAGAATCCTTGCATTTGATATAGCGCCTTATCATGTCTTCAAGTCGTTTCAAAGCACTTCACAGAATCTAGCGTAAAGTAAATTGACTTATGGGCGAATTATAATTCAAGGCAATTTTGCAGATGTGGCTAATATTTTGGGGACTTTTCAAATGTAAGCAAACGATTGACCTCTGCACTGCATGAATACTTGTCATCCTGACTTTCTGCAGCACTTGGTCTTGTATATTTAGTGTCGCGTCACCAATTCAGGTTCGAGTCCTGTGACTATATATAATGCGTGTTTTACTTCATGTGCAATAAACCAGCTGCATCAGTCCTCGTCACCCTACACCACATCAGCTCAAACATATGCATCAATAAAAGAAAATGGCAATTCTGAGATGGCACAACTTTATTTTCTTGTTAAAGTGAAAGCTAAATGTGATATCGAAGCATTCCTGTGCTTCCACACAGAGACCAAGCACCCAGGGAAGCTTCCTTACCTCAATAGGATGGCTGTTGTCCAGAGCATCAAGTTCAAGTGCCCGTGTGTAGTCTGCAGACACAAACTGGGTCCAGATGTCATATTCTGGGAAGCAGTGGTCAACGCAGAGATATTCAATCCAGGAAGCAAAGCCTTCATTTAACCACAGATGGGTCCACCATTCCTGCAAACATCACCATCAGGACATTACAATATGCCATTTTTTGCAGAAATATACAGCTCACACATTTTATACATCTGTTTGCCAAGATGAGATCAACATTTCTAAACTACAAAGTCATTTTCCACATTTATAAAAATTGCACTTAATCTCATCAAAACCACTTAAAATATTTTGCAAGCAATCATTAAGTATAGGCAAATGTATCTACTTTTGTAGGCAAGCTCAGCAGCTATTAATGCACAGACAGGGTCACACAATCAGCTGTGAATTTAATAACGCGATGAAATTCATCCTAACCCCCATCTAATTTTTGTTTCAATAACTTGAGACTACGCCCTCGTCCCCCATTCACCAAATAAAGTAAATAGTTGCCACCCCCCTCTCAAAAATGCCCCTTTTGTACCTTAAACATCGCCATTATGTCACCTCTCACCACCTCTGCTGCGATAGGAAAAGTCCCAAATTTAGCTAGCCTCTCCCTCATGGGGTAGGAAGTGGAAATATTCACAACTCTGCTCTGGGCTTCAGTTTTAAAATCAAAATTCTAAATTCTTTGCAATAAACACGTTAGCTGAAATGTTAGCATCACTGTGCTAGATTCTATATCAATAGTTCAGTTGACACAAACATTTTTTTAAAAAAAGCATTCGATTATATTTTGAGACTTCCAAGTTTTTCTTCCCCAAAGTGCTTTTGTGGAAGCTAATGATAAACTCCTGGAGGTCTCACTGGGAAGCTAAAGTTCAAATACCAGTCTGATTTGTGATTCGAGGCTCCAAGAGGGTTTTACTGTAGATCCTATGGTAAAATAAAAGTTGGTGAACTACAGACATCTTTACATTGGTACAGGGATACACTGTAAAGTGCAGTGACTGTATTTTATAAGCGAATGAAACAGTCAATTTGTTCACAGTAATGTCCCACAAATAAATTTGAAGTGAATGCCTAATTTTATCTGGAGGATGGTTTTATCAAAAATAAAATTCCGAGACTGCCCTACTGAAAGTCCCAATACGGTCTTGAGCCCACATCCTCTGACTCAGAGGTGAGAGAGTACTACCAACTAAGCCAGGCTGACACCAATATTGACAATACTGGGTGAACTGTCAGTGGGAGGACAAGATAGCACTTCTTCCTCCAGGAATCAAACCCATCAACTGTGGAACTCCTTCCCACATTCCCTTCGCCTTGCTCCCTCGCTCGCTTCCTTCAAGGCACATCTCAAGACCCTCCTCTTTGACTGTGCCTTCAGCTACCCTCCCACCACCACCACCCCACCCCCACATGCTGGGGTCCAAAGCCCTGACTGTCCAGAGCCTTGGGACATGTTCCCGACGTGAAAGACGCTGTACAAATGTAATATTGTATTGTATCAACAGCATCTACTGATGTTAACGTCTTATTCTCTCAAATATGCCAAGAAAGAGGATGCTTCGCTTTCTGAACGTGCCCAACAGCATTTGCCAAAATCACACAGTTATCTGGAGCCATCAGCTTCCTCTCTGCCAATGAGATTCAGTTCATTCTCAGCCTAAATTAAGGCATTCATCACACCTTTTACTGCTGATGACACAGAGAGACAGAGGCAAGTGCTGGAATGCTGCCAGAGTAGTTAATGAACCACAAAAGCAGAGAATAAGTGTTGTAACTTTAAAGCACAAACCAGCCTCTTCAAATCCAAAATCTAAAATTTTCTGCCTCCAAGAGCTTCGGGCACAAATGGCCATAAATTTATACTGTTATTACATCATGCTGAGAGTGCTTCAACTCCAAAGATCAACTAATCCACTGCAAGTCAGATCCTTGGCACAGAAAATAATTGTTTCTTTAATAAAGACAGTGGATGGATTTACAAGAGATTGCAATAAACTTGATCACATTTGCAAACTACTAACGGAAGTTTCAGTCTTAATGCCTCACACGGCGAGTTGCTGATCTCATGCCATCAAAAGGAACAGAACAGGCACTTCAAAACAGGACAGGGAGGAAGAAAACACAGTTTTCATACACCTCAAACTTCATATCTGCAAAATGATTGGTAGAGGTATCATTTTGCAGATGTGAAGAGGTTTGAAGTCCTTATCTAAATTTGGATAGTATCATTTGAAGCCCTTCCTCTAAGCTGCAAATGATACTGTCCAAACTTAGATAAAGACATTTTAACCAAATAGGTGGCAGGTAATAATTACCCACACATTTTTAAAAATTGCATTCATATCAAAAGTGAAAATTGCTTTTGGCAATAGATTAAAATAATTCTACATCGCTAGATGCAAATCACATGCAAATGTAATTAAGTAGCTGCTAAGGAACAGTCAGAGATGCTACAGTAATCATTCATATTTATAAGTTTAAATGATTCCAATTAGTGAAGGCAGAGGATTTTTAAAAGAGAAATAAAAAGGCATGAAAGGTGCACCACCAGAGCACCGAGCAACAGTCCCCAGATATGGGCTAGTGCCCACAATGCGCTCAGTTCTACTCTTCAGTAAAGAAATTAAAGACTGTGCTTCCATGGAACTCCGGAGAAAAAGTCAAAGGAAAAGAGTTACTACAACAACTTCATGTCCATCCCGCAGGCACATCAGAGCTTCATCTGCAGAGGCTGAAGGAACAAGCTTCTCAGCCCACCACTGTCCAGGTGTCCCATGTCATGATGTTGGATAGCAGTAGATTACCAAGAGTAGATCATACTTGCCATCACTTGTTGCCAAAATTAATGACCACTCCTCCCCCCCAAAAAATGATATGCAGTGGAAACAAAAAGGAAGGGCCGAATGGAGAGATTTGGCACACCACTCCTTGACATTCGCAATCAAATAGGAATGAAGAGTTTTTTTTAAAAAAAATTGTACGCTGGAACAAGCAAGCAGCGATGTTTTGAAAAATCAGGCTTTCCTAACAGTATATGGTAATGTGGGCCAACAACATAATAAAAGTTGGTGAACTACAGACACCTTTACATTGGTACAGGGATACACTGTAAAGTGCAGTGACTGTATTTTATAAGCGAATGAAACAGTCAATTTGTTCACAGTAATGTCCCACAAATACTCACATTTATATCATTCCCTTCACTCAGAATAGTTTTGTAGAGCTGCATACTGGTGGCGTTAGACACCAAGCGAGGGAGGGGGGTGACCATAGGTGCAGTTGAGGTTTTAGGGAGAGATTTAAAGATAGTTAAAGAGGGAATAGATAAAGACTATGAAAATAGAGAGCCAGATATGACATGTGAACATCCATCACCATGTTTAAGAATATCCAAACCGGACAGAATTCCACATGATGTAAGCCACCAACAAATTGAAATGTCCTGATATCTGGAAGAGAAATGTGTACTCTAATGTTTGGAAGGATGTTCACCTTGCTTTCCTGATTCCAGAAAGTATTAGGTGTAGGTTGAAGCCAAGACACACCGCAGGCCACCGAAACCCTCATTCAAAACATCAAGCCTTGACTTGGCAAACTCCCTGCTTGCCATCCTCCCCAACTCCTCCCTCCATAGACTGCGGTTCATCCAGAACCCTGCAGCCCGTGTCCTCTCCCGCACCAAGCTCCGTGTCCTTATCACCCCCATCCTCGCCCGACTCTACTGAGCTTCCCATCGTACAGAGGATACACTTCAAGATCTTGGTCCTCACCTTCAAAGCCCTCCACGGTCTTGCTCCACCTTACATCTGCAACCTCCTAAACCCCTACCATCCTGCCCGCTCCCTCTGCTCAGCAGGCTCCAGCCTGTTTCATGTCCCCTGCCTCACTTGCCTCACCATTGACGGGTGGGCCTTCTGCCACTCTGCCCCCACCCTCTGGAACTCCATCCCACAGTCCCTCCACTCGCCCCTTCCCTTGCCTCCTGCAAGACCCATCTCAACACCCTCCTCTTCGACGGTCCTTTCAATTCCCCGTCCTCCACCTTCCCCAATCCCGACCCATAGTTCGGGTCCGAAACACTGACTAACCAGCGCCTTGGAACGTGCTCCCGACATGAAAGGCGCTATACAAATGTAACTTTGTTGTTGTGGTGGTTGTTGTAGTAAGTTGAGGTACTGCAAAGGTTTTTAACCAGCTAAAATCATGGTCATCCTCATAGCTCATCGTCAATAAAGCCATCCCAAATGGTGCTTCTCTCCCTTTCACTCGTCACTTCTCTCGGGGTCCTCCCAACACAAAAAATTGGGCATTTGCTTTGCTCTCATTCCGTCATTTCCGCCAGGCCAGCAGATGATCAAACTACAAAAAAGTTTTCAGGAGAGTAACCAATCCATCGAGGTCACTAAGGGTTAAATAAATGCAAGACACTCGAATCAATGTTAAGTAAATGCAAGACGTTCTTCTCATTAGCACTTCACTAAAGGAGGGACCCCCAGCATTCAGATTGGCAAGGAAGAGCTTCTTTAATTCCAAATCAGTTTAACATTCAGGGGGATAAAGCCTACTTTGCACAGCTCAGCCGTTTCCTTAGAAGAACATTACTTCCAGTCCAGTGCTCCTATTTCAATTACTGAACCCTTTCAAGCACAAAAGCACTACTTCATAGAAAGCTCTTCACCATAGATAGCTTTGAATCTGTGAGGTAGGTCAGCTGAGAAAAGTATCTTTTAGCCGATAAATAGGCCACCACTCCTTCTTTCCAACTGAAAAGACTATGTAGGTGTCCCTACAAAAGTTCTTTTGAATTTCAAACATTCAGAAACAAGCATCAGGCCCCACGCAACAGTTGATGACAAAGCTTTTTCAGGCACGCAGCAAATTTCACCCTAATCCCGAGAGTTCAACCACAAATGAGGGGGAAAAGGGTCTTATTGCTCAATAGAAAAAATGACCCTTCATTTTGCCAGCTGTCTGGAAGAAAACAAGATCTACTGACTAAATCTAAGTCAATTTGTACATTTGTTTTAACTCATAAATCTTCCAAATTTAATATTTGGAAATATTTTAACTGGAATATTTCTCCGTGAGGAATTATGGAATGATCCATAATAGTATAAGTAGTTAAATTTTATTTTAATTCAGCCAAGTATCTGATACATGTGAACACCCATCACCATGTTTACGAATATCCAAACCAGAGAGAATTCCACATAATGTAAGCCACCTACAAATTGAAATGTCCTAATGTCTGGAATAGAAATAATATAATAATAATCCTTGCATTTGATATAGCGCTTTTCACGTCAGGAGGACGTCCCAAAGCGCTTCACAGAATATACTGTTAAGTGAATTGACTGTATGTTTGTGGGCCAACGCGGCAGCCAATTGCGCACAGCAATGTCCCACAAACAGTCGTGGATTGAAAATGACCAATTTATTATTGTTTTTGGTTTTGGAGGGATTATTATTAGGCTCTGTGTGGAGTAAGGAAACTTGCCCGAGGTTTCGCCCTCTGCCGGGAATTGAACTCAGGTCTCTCACTTGCAAAGCGAGTGCTCTAACCACTGAGCTACAGGACTCCACGCACACTATCTTTGGAAGGGTGCACCGTGCTTTCCTGATTCAGGTTGACACCCAAAGCTTGGGGAACCCAGAGTGTAAGTTGAGGTACTGCAGAGTTTAACCAGCTAAAACCATATAATAAATTTACCTAGCGCCTTTCAAGTCAGAAGGACACCCCAAGATGCTGGACAGTCCAGAATTTGCACCTGTGCTGGAGGGTGACTGAACTGACTCAAGCTTCCTGCCAAAAACAAGCAGCTGGCAAATTATTATTTTAATTTCACGAGTTTGAAATCCTCATCTTCAAAGTCCTCCATGGCTTTGCTCCTTCATATTTGACCTACTAACGCCATATCAACCTTTCCGCTCCCACCGCTCAGCTGGCTCTGGTCTGCTCCATGTCCCCCACCTGGCCCGCCATCAGCGGTCGGGTGGGGGACATGGAGCAGACCAGCCTCTCTGCCCCCACTCTTTGGAACTCCATCCCAGTCCCTTTGCATTGCTCCCTCCCTTGCCTCCTTCAAGGCCCGTCTCAATACCCTCCTCTTCAACCGCACCTTTGGCCACCCCCCTACCCCTCCCCTCCCTGCCCTCCACCCCACCTGATCCCAAAACCCCTGCTCAAGTCCTAATCCCTGACTGTCCAGCGCCTTGGGACATCCTCCCGACGAGAAAGGCATTGCGAAGCGCTTTGAGACGTCTAGAAGATGTGAAAAGCGCTATATCAAATGCAAGGATTATTATTATTAATAAATGTCATTTGTTGTTGCTTATTGTATTAAATTAAACATCTATACAATGGACCTGAATGGGCTTTCCAAAAACAAATAGCTAGCAAATGGCTGCCTACACGGTTATTATTATTATTAATTTTCAACTTCTGATTTTTTTCCAGCTGCAGAAGCTTCTCTGGCCAGCATCAATAATTCCTTTGAGATAATTGGAGGAAGAATTTATGCCAGCACACTAATATAATGCACTAATGCATCACTGAACTTCCTCTGATGAAAGTTCAGGGAAATAGAATTTAATTTAGCTTTATTCTTTTTAAAAAAATCATTTTTCATTTTAAAACCTCTGAAGAATCACTAATACTAAAATGTAGTGTTATACATTTCCTTTAAGCAAATAGTAAAATGTTGGGGAATTGAGTCTGCATCTGGTTCTAATGAAATATATATATAGTTTCCGTTTTCCACTCCTTAAAGTTCCGTGCACAAAGAAGAAAGTCCGCCTGTTAAGGGACAATATTAAATAATAAACCTACAAGTAGGAAGTTTGTAATTTTTAATGAATCTTGCTTCCTTCCAACATTACACTCAATGTTATTAAATGTACTCTGGGGATCTATTCGTGTTTTTGACTTGTATGCACAAGTCTGTTGCAGGAACGGTGGAAAGCTAAATGCTGAATTTTCTGTACTTATCACAAGAATCTTCAATGAAGCGCCGATCAAAATTCATACCTCAGTCCAATACATATCGATTTTAACACAGAAATATCCCACAAACAGCCATGAAGTGAATGACCAATTTATCTGGAGCACTCTTGATCAGGACACAGGGTGAAACTCAAGTTGAATCTTTAACGTTTATCTGAACAGGTTGGACTAGACCTCAGTTTCGTGTCTCATCGAAAATATACACAGGGAACATTGCCCCTCCCTCTGCCAGCAGACTTTATTATAACCGTGCAATATCAGGTTTACCAAACACTTTCATCGGGATGGAATAAGGAGATACTTTGTAAGGCAACAACACGTGTGTATTCATTTACAAACAGCATCAATGGAAAACACACAAAGCCTATTGCAAGGAGAAAAATCCACCTGCAGTTTTTTTTAAAAAAACAAACAACACCAGACAGCACACTCAACACCAACTTATCAGGGCTTAAATAATAGATCATTCAAACATCCCCAGTGTATTATCCTACAAGTACACGGTCATTACACTTCATATTAAAATCCTACGAAGCACTTTGACATTTTGACGACGTGATAAGGTGCTATATCAAATGCAAGGATTGTTAGCTACTTTTAGCATGCTGACAAGAAAACCCCTTGCTACTGTTTATTCTCTATGTGAATAAAACCAAATGCCGAAAATACCACCAGAGACTGAATAGAAGTTATCTGCAAAGGCTGCTAACATGCAGTGCGACTTGGCCATGGAATTTCACTGGTTTTCTGACAGATCTACAGTGAACTTGCAGAATGCAACCTCTCTGATCATCCTCAGCCCAGAGACTCTAAAGTACACAGACAACACAACGCTCTGAAATGCTCCCACAAATAGTCGTGATAGAATTGTTACCGGGCCAAAAATAGCAGTAGTAATCAATTCCTAAAAATAGCAGTGTTCACTTCAACTTGATATCTGGTACACATTACATTTGGAAAAGCTATACCAAGGAGTGAATGGAATAGGAGTTAAGAGAAGGTCACATGAGCAGAGTTTAGGAAACCAACTGAATTCTGCAATTAGGTTACAATCTCAAAGTTCATTTCCAGAAACTCCATCATATATGTTTAACGGGTTGGTTAGTGGTGATGCAGAAATCTATACTGGTTCTGTGTTTCACTTCCAGAGGCAACAGAGGACAATGGGGAGTAGCAAGAACATTTTTCAACTCAAGTGCGACATGAAACCAAGTAAAAATCCAGCAGAGCACTCAATTAGTAATCAACACGTTTACTTGTTCTTCCTGCTAAAGACATACGATTCAAGTAGCATTCATGCCTTTATACAAAGAAATGCACAACAAAGCTCTATTGCATAAATGCGGCTAGAAAATCTGATCGTAAAGGTGATGGTTCAGAGTCCCTGGGTTGCTTCTGTTACAGGGACTTAACACGCTGATGATTTGGCAGTGGTTTAGTGCCTCACTGCTCCGGTGTAAAGAGGAGCAGTGACTAGAATCCAAAGCCCAGCAATGTTGTGTACACTTAGCTATTGGCACAGGATGAGGTTAGCAAATCACATCAAATATATAACAAACACGAGGTCACAATCGCAATAGACAATGGCATCCAACTTTCTTGAACATGAAGTCTTCCCCCATCACGGGTATGCATGCACATAAACCACACAAAATGATGTTCCAATTTCAAAGGAAACCCGTGAACCCAGTGCCATTACAAGTTGGTTATAGTTTGCAGGACAATAATAATAAATAATAATAGAAATGATTGTGTCCATGAGCCTCACAGACAGCCCAGATATAAATCGACCAACAAGTAAAAACATGAAAGCTCATTATATAATCTGTGAAGCGGGTGGGGGTGGGGAGAGCTGTTTCAGTTTCGAATTAAAGGTAAAGAAAAGGATCACATTTTGTAAGAAGTGTAGAAACATAATCTCTGAGACAGCACGTAATTATCAGGCTACTGCATACATCTGCTCAATTTCATGAGTGCATTTTGCAACCAAATATTCCACACACCATTAAAACCTACAGGGAGCCATTCCACTATAGCTAATTAACTGTTATCTTGAAAACATAAAGTAACAGTGTATTCCTTCATTGCATTTAAAAGGTTCAGATAATCTACGATTAAAAAAAGTTTGCCAAACATTTGAACAGGGCAAAGCGAAAGTGTTCATTTTGACAAAAGTGCTCCCCACAAATGGGACATTACCATGGTGACGAGATTTCCGAACCACTGATGAGCAAGTTCATGGCCGACGACCAAAGCCACCCACTGCTTGGATGATGCGCAGGAGTTTTGGGGATCGATCAAGAGAGCAGTTTCTCTGAAGGAAAAAGAAAGTACAAATTAAGAAATAAATTTTTAGTAAATAATGGCACACATTAAAGGCAAGCAATCAAATGAAAAGCAGTTTCATCTTGTCCAGAATAGAAGAATCAAAGAACACGGTTTGCGATTGAAATGGGGGGTGGATTCAAAACCAATCTGCGGAAACACTATTTCAGTGAGTAAGCGGTAAATCTGTGGAACAGGCTCCCTAGGGAGATGGTGGAAGCAGAAAATGTTGATTCATTCAAATGCAAGTTGGATAGATTTGTTTTAGAAAATAATATTGTGAGATACAGTATGACTAATTTGGGATGTGACGTAAGTGTAGTATGCTTGGAAGAACCAGGCAACTTTGGATGTCAGGTTCCCAAAGCTTTTCGCTGGGTTGGTAGACTAATCCATATAGAATTAATAAAATGCAAAATGCTGCAGATGCTGGAAATCTGAAACAAAAACGGAAGTGGCTGGGAACACTCAGCCGGTCAGGCAGCATCTATGGAGAAAGGAAAGTGAGTCAACGTTTCGGGTCCACGACCCTTCGTCAGAACTGGGGCATGTTGGGAGGGAGAGGCTTTGTTTTGCATTGTTTTGCATTATTAACACCTCTATTCCCCTCTTTTGTTGCAATTCCCCCATTTGTTTTACATCATTAATGCCCCTCTAACCCATAATCCCCTGTCCTCTACCCCCATTTTCTCCTTTGTCTTCCTTGCCCGGCCTCCCCCTCTCTGTTAGCCCTTAAAGGCCTCTCGCTCCCAACATGCCCCAATTCTGACAAAGGGTTGTCCACCCAAAGCGTTCCTTTCTCCGTAGATGCTGCCTGACCTGCTGAGTGTACCCAGAGACTTCTGTTTTCATACAGAATTAATTACTATCAATATCTCCATTATTGCAGCGTGGGACAGGATAATGATAATAATCCTTGCATTTGATACAGCGCCTTATCACATCTTCGAGACGTCTCAAACCACATCACAGTATATACTGTAAAGTGCACTGACTGTATATTTTGTGGCAAAACGCGGCAGCCAATTGCACCCAGGAAAGTCCCACAGACAGTGGTGGATTGAGTGACCAAATTATTATTTATGTTGTTTGTTTCAATATGTGAGACCAGCATCAGTTCAAATATAGAGCCTACTATTAATATTATTATAATCCCTGCAATTCCCTTTGTCTTGGGGGACATCTCAAAGTGCTTCACTGGATTTACTGCAGATGCAGAATGAGGTGACTGTATGAAATACTCCTTTCAGCAGTTAATTTACCTGCTGTGTATTCCAGGCCAGGTTCAATACAAAATATCTCAGTTTTTGAATTCTCTTCCCCTCTTGAAGAGATTCACTTTTCTTTTTCCTCCCCAACTGAGGTTTTGGTAACTCAGGCACTGGTCACCCTCCAGGAACCTGTCCAAAAGGCTAGTATGTACATAATAATCCTTGAATTTGATATAGTGCCGTATCACATCTTTGAGATGCCTTAAAGCGCTTCTCAGAATATACTGTAAAGTAAATTGACTATTTATTCTGTGGGCAAAATTCTATCGTAAATCGCCACCTTAAGCAGAGGATTAATGCGAGAAAGTGGAGGAGGGGAATCTTCCAAATTTAGAATGCAAAAGAATGGCACCTGACGTTTTGACAAGCTTTGGGCTGTCATGGGACCGTTCCTCTGAGCTGCTTTACATCTAACATTTTTTTGCGAGCAGGTTTTAAAATTATTTTTACATCAAACCAAATATTCCTCAATCACATGCTGAAACAAGTGTTTCACCATTATACACAATCGTGAAGAAAATGTACACAATACCTGTACGTTACAAGGCCCCAATTTTCCATGGCACCTGTGAGGAATAATATTAATACATTACTTTTGGTAGCTCGAACAATGCATTGTACATCTCAAGCCTCAACGCGGGCATAGTGTCGTGCAGAACCTCAAAACGAAATGTAGAATTCATGTCCATGAACCTTTGAAAAGAAAAACTCAGCCAAGCTACTGAGATAAAAGCCCAAATGGAAACTAGGCATTTCCTGTACAAAGGAGTAAGGGAGAGGAAGAGAGAGAGAGAGGTGGGGGGGGGGGGGGGGGGGGGGGGTAGGAAGGGAGTAGAGAAATAATAATGATCCTTGCATCATTTGATATAGTGCTTCATCACATCTTCGAGAGTCTCAATGCCCTTCACAGAATATACTGTAAAGTGAATCGATTGTATGTTTTGTGGACAAAATGTAGCAGCCAATTGCGCACAACAGTGTCCTACAAACAGTCGTGGATTGAATGACCAAATTATTATTATTATTTTTTTGAAGGGATTATTACCCCCGGCCTGCAGGCCGCATCTGAGAAGTAAAGTAAGAAATGGTCCAGCTATGCTAATTTCAGCTACCACTCAGTATCAGAGTGGCTTTCATCCCATCTAAAGCATGGATTAGAGTTTGGAAAGACACACAAGGTAAAACATGTGGACTGCTCCATAAATTAGTTATTTAATAGATCATTGAACAAGTTTATTAATTTTATGATAATAAAAAATGTCCGTACAACTATTAGAATGAGTTAAAATGTCATCTTGGAGGTACCAACCTGCTGCAAAGTCCGCAATTGCTATGAGGTCAATTTTTGGAAGAGGATAAGGAACATCAAAGTAGTCTTTATAAAAAGGTAGAGTCTTGACAGCAACCTAATGAGGGAAAAACAGGATGGCTTCCATTATTAGTGAACACATCAAAGAATTTATAGACACATTTGTAAAATATTTTGGCTCATTCCACACACAGACTGGTGTTGGGGGGGGGGTGGGGAGTGCACTGCTGTGATCTCTTTTAAGGTCTTGCTAAAAGAAATGGAATGCAAGCGTTTCAAATTATGCTATAAATTAAAATGTGAAAGAAAAACTTTTTTTCTCCTCTCTTAAAAAAAAGTCAAGCTTTTACACGTGGCCAGTGACATTCTTTCTTCCTGATGGGCCTGCAGGGAAAAATCTTACTTCGCGTCTTAAGAATCTGTCATTTAAAAAAAATGAAACAAAGCATTTAAAAATCTTGGTTGAAAAATCCTCCCGTATATCTATTAGGAAGAATATTTTGAATCTGATACTCTAAATACCATTTGTCCCAGAGAGCCTTTTTTTACCTGAAACCCTGGCCCTTATGAGGCAGCAGTTACAGCAGGAAGGATGGGTAATGTCACTGCTGATATAGAGAGAAACAGTAGCGTTACAAGCTTGATTTTTCCATAACACTGTTAGCACATGGTTCCGAATACTTTGGTAGCGGATTGCGTTTCAGTATTTTTTTTCTTAAAAAAAAAGTAAAATGTGTTTCGCATTCTCATCACTTACTTGAAGCATGACATGCAATCTTACTCTAGGCCTTTTACAATGTATTGTATTTCTATTTACAGTACAATTCTTCCATCTGCTGTGAGGTTTACTCGTTTTGAATGATGGACTTTAAAAGAAAATTTATTTGCTTTCATTCATTTAAAACCTTTGCATGGAATTGTTTTTTTTTTCTTCTTTTCACGGCTACCGTTACTCTCTACAGCGGAGGGGGCAGGCTGGAAAATCTGCTGCTGTGCAGCTGTCTGTAGTCATCAAATCATATGCTCACAGATAATAAATAATAATCCCTTTAATGTAACGTCTCTCACATTAAGAATCTAGTCTTGAATCGCCCTACCTCAGTGAACTCCTAAAATCCTAGCAATCTGTCTGCTCAGCAGGCACTGGTGGCCTGCTCCACGTCCCCCATCCTGCCTGTTCCTTCGTCAGAAGTCGGGCCTTTAACCTTTCTGCTCCCACCCTCTGGAACTCCATCCCAGAGCCCCTTCCCTTCACCCCCTCTCTTGCCTCATTCAAGGCCCATCTCAAAAACCTTCCTCTTCGACTGCACCTTTGGTCATCTTCCCAACACCACCCCCACACCACCCCCCTTGCCGTCTATCCCTCGACTCCAGCCCTCAGCTCAGATATACACCCAGCTTGGTTAAAAAAAAAAGACATCCAGTGTTACTAAGTTTTAGTCAGGAAAGACAAGGAAGGGCAAACCTTGCAGCCTTCCATTTTGTTTCATGGATATACTATATGAAAGGATACAAAAACAAAAACAACCTCTAAAGCAAATTTTCCTTGTTCCGATTTCCCAGCAGGTGTGTAGACACGGATTAGAATGCCATCAGATGACCTGGATTCCACAAAGTCATATTCACCCACAACAAATGCCACTAAGTAGGTAGACATTATCGGCGTTTTGGCAAACTGGACTTCAACCATGTTTTCATCGTCAGGATTTGGCTTACGCTCAGTCACATTCTGTAACATTGAAGGCAGAGAAAGGGTTAGAAATTTGCACTTAGGAATTCATACTTCATATGTTCCACCTGCTAAACAAACCAAAGCCTATTCACTAGAGATAATTTGTTATATGGATTAACATGCGGAGGGAGGGCTGCAGAAAAAAAATCTGTATCAAATGAACTAGAAACGTGAGCAACACTAACAAAAAACTCCTGTACCACGAGACGGGTTAGTGTTGGTGATGGAAATCATTCAAGACTTCTGATTTGACACAAGGAGAGGAGAGTGAATATCGATAAGAAAATGCCACTGCAAACTAAAAGAGGCTGAATTTACAAGTCTGACACTAGCACTGGCTTTACGTTAGGCTTTGCATGACTGTTGAGCCTTTTCTGACACAGTGCAATCTCGCCTTACTTAGACACGGTAACAAATATACATCACACAGAAATTTCCCACCAAATTATTTAGCATTTCCTCCATCTTTCTCTCTCTCCCTGCCCCCACCTGTCACAAATTTTCGCCATTCTCTTCGGGTCTCAGTCCCTTACTCCCCACCATAGCACTCGAGGATATGCATGAACACGACAGGTTTCAAGAAGGAGATTCACAATTCTTTTGTAAAGTTTGGCAAAAATCTAAATGGGACTGTCATCATCTCTCAAGGCCGTGATCTGATGAGGAATGGGCACTTCTGGAAAAATCTGAGAAATCTATGAAGGGCGTTGAATTAACAAATTGAGTTAACTCAGATGACATGCACTTCACTTTAGCTGTTGCCTACACACCCTGGATCCCAGAGAGCTCAAGATGGAGCAGAATACACTGCGCTGTTCTTCCCGAGAAGATTTCAAATGAAGTAAAGCGATAACGCTTGCTTTATTTCCAAAGACATGGAATAAAGAAATCCTCTGTGGAATGGTTTAAAACTATTGTATATTATAGCTTCAGAGAAGCTTTGCAGGCAATCATAGGATTATAGGATCGGTGTTTCTATAAACTACAAAGAACATTCAATCCTCACACAATGAATGAGATTGCTGTATTGTCAAAGACCTTCCACAACACCTATGTTCATCGGGTGACTAAGGAACTTGCAGAAAATTCATACAGAATTTTCCTTTTATTTTGTAATAAGTTGCATTGTCTCCTTTTTCCTGCTTGAGTTGTCGTCAGAACTCGTATTTCACAGCTCAAAAGGTGAAAGGACGCTGGTGGTACCTTGTTGCAAATTACTAGTTATTACACGTAAGATTTAAAAGATTTTCAGCAGGGCTGTCGAAGATATTGAAATGCACAGCTACAAAGAGCTTCACTATAGCTGATGCCTGAATACCCTGGATCTCAGATAGCTTTTTTAGGCATATGGATAGCTCTTCCAAGATAGGTACCGTAGTTTTGCTCCCCGTCTGGCCTGTTCCACGCATCTGCTTCCATTCCCCATTCCACTCCAACCATTCTAGGCCTGTGTGCTTTCCCCCAGCTCTCCAATATTCCAGATTTCATCTCTCTTCTCTCACAGTGAGAAAGACTGTATTAATAGGTGGGGCTCTCCCCAGCCTCCAGAGCATAAGTAACAGGCCTAAATCATCAATAGTTTCATCCTGCAATAAATAGCTAGCTTTAAAAGAATAGAAAATGTTTGTCATAGGAACTGACCCCACTTGGTGATGCTTTTAAATGACTGCAGTGTACATACCATTAGATGGTGCTGTAACAAGAGGCCTCATTTGAACCCTGGGAGATAATTAATTGGGAAAAAGGAAAAACAGAATAGCGTCAAGTCAATAATTTGGGCTGATAAGGTAGGCATTTGGGTACATAAAACTCAAGTACTTGTCTGAAGGCTGGGTTCTCACTAGGATTTTGGTATGTGCAATTTTGGGGAGGGCATCGGTGTGATGCAGTGTGCAAATCTCATGGAATTTTGAAAAATGGGCTCGTTAAGAATTTTATCCAATTTATTTTCAAATCGAGTTAGAAATATTACTGCATATTAGCAGCTGGCTATAGAGCGGGTCTGGCAGAGATCTGGGAATTTCCGGGAATGGGGGGGGAAAAAAGGCGTATGGTGCCGGGAATCTCCGAAAGGAAGTACACCTGAAAAAAATTTTCACTGGTGGAGGAAAGGGTGCCATTCCCAAGTTATTTATAGGCGTCACGAGACACATTTAAGTCTATTGCAGTCAACTTGCTATAAGCAGGGGTGTAGATCATCCAGTGGGTTTGAACAGTTGTAAACTGGCTGTAATTAACAGTGGAATTTACCATTTCAGTGCCTGGATCCACAGCGATTGACAAACTGTCCATTAGGAGGATTTTGATAGAGGCAGAGCTAGATTGGTGGTGCAGGTCTGAAATGAGGGGATCACCAACAACCAATCTGCGTAGTGCCTGGGATTGCAGAACAAAGAGGGAAGGGAGCGTGTGGAAGGTGATATGGGTGAATAATGTTTAATGTTTCCACCAGTTTGCCAGAGACAGTTACCGAAAATGAGACTGCAATTTTTTTAAGAAATCTGACAAAAACTCAAGAGATTGGCCAAAGGCAAAGGGTCCAAGTCAGGCTTCTCCAAGTACTGACATTCCTAAATGAACACACACTTCCTGTTCATTACGGAATCCAGCACCTCCTGCAGACCAGCTGCACTAAAGCCTCATGTTGACCTGTGACGGCGCACAGCATTACTTGTTTCAAAATCTCATGATGCCAGTTTGTCAATCACTACGATGCAAGCGGCAAGCAGCAAATTGCAGCCTCGTACCGTACACTATTATTAGTAACAGCCGCCTGACGGTCTTACTGCACTGAAAGAGTCCACCGCCAATTGTGACAGCAGATATACTTACACCTTTTCAAGCCTCTCAGATGATATGCACTGATGCCTATAGCATGTTACAATATACCTAATGTACCTCAGCAACAACTCAGGAGAGCTCTGGCTCTATAGCAGCTACAAAGATTCCTAACATCACACCACCAAATATATTCCTGCATCAATGGCACTTCTCATCACATGACTTAACATACCTGAAGATTTGTGTCACAACTGTTGTTGTACCCAATCATCCTGTCACGTAACAACCATCATCTTCAAAAAGACCGTCCTGGTGGGCAACGGTGGACTCCGCAGCACCATAACCACTCGTAACTACAATAACTTAGACTCTATGTTATTTAAAACAACAGTTTAGTTGTGGTGAGCTGCGGGCTGTAACACAATCTCAGGATTCAGAGTGAAACTTGAGTGGTTTATGTTACCCGAGTTATTTGATTGTGTTGCAGCCTTGTGCGATACTCCAGCCCTCAGAGTTTATTCATACATACAACACAAGCACATACACTTTTTTTGTTGTTGGGAGGGTGCAGTGCAGGTCTTGCCAAGCCTTACATCACCTGCAGCCGACCTGCGCCCCGGCCTCCACCAGTGCAGCTTGCCAGCTGGCTAGGGGAGCTACTGGAGAGCAGACTGCTAACTGCTGCCCTCCAATTCTGCTTCCCTACAACAGAATAGCTGAGAATCAGAGGAGTGGAGCGGCCAAAGAACCAGCATCTTGCCACTCTGTGGTAGCACACATTGGTCCTTCACCATGCTGCTGAACGGATCCTCAAACTCGTATGTATTTTCCCCCATCGGTTGTAAGCCGTGTTGACAAGTCAGCAGTAAAACGGGTAAATCATAATTGAGATCTTTTTACTCAGGAAAAGATTCCGTTTTGAGGAAAAATAATAAGATTGATGGTGTTCTGCCTTACCCAGGTTATTTTATTTCACCCCAGGAAATGTCATAGAAAAGTAAGTTCAGTGACTGAAGTGCCACCGGAATGAATCATTCTTTCCACTCGGCATAGCATTGCTCTCCAAGGTCTGGTATGCTACAGGTCAGATGTAAAGTTCTGCAGACACCGGCCAAACAATGAGTCTCAATCCCAACCTAAAAATACTGCAAAGTACGACTGTACTAATCTTTGGATCATTGAGCAGGGTTGTCCAACTGGTACTAGGGTAGGCCTATAGCAGATTTGCCAGAGTGAATACACGTCCTGTAATCCCGATTCACCTGACAAATCAATTTTAATACCCTTCAAAGAAACTCATCTGCCCCTCTAACTGCATGCACCTAAAAAGGCATTTTATAAAGAGTGGGGAAGGGGAAGTTAGCTATTACAGTGGGCTATGTAGGCTAATCATTCATTTTCAAGATATGGGCTCAAAACTAGTTCCGTCTGACTGAATGAGATTTTTTTTTAAATATAGTTGTTAAGAGGTCTACATTAAATTACTACAGCAGTCTCAACTCCGCTCCTAGCAAGTGTGTCGGGGTCAGACTCTTCCACTGTCAAGCATTCTGGGACTCTACCCCACATAAAGGGCGCTATATAAATGCAAAGTTGTTGTCTAATAGCACAAAAAACATCCACAGATTAGAGCACTCATTCCAAATGAGATGGTAAATGTCAGTATAGTCAGGTAAACTCTTTGGAGATTGAGATTAAAGTTGTGTCGTTAGAGGGGAGAGCATTCTCTGCTCTGCCCTATCTGCCATGCATATTATACGTAACCTGGGAGTGCTCAATACTAACCCTGGGGAAAATGCTCCATTCCCCAGCACTCACAATGTTGAGAAGTCAGAAAGGAGGTAAACTTGCCAGCAATTTCAAGCAATTTTACTTTAAATCCTCTTCAATTACAGGTTCGATTTATGGAGGAAGAAACGAGTCATTTTTTGTTCAATTGACAAAAATATTTCACATTTTATTTTCCGATTGAATGATGCTACTGCTCTATATTAAAATCACTTAGGTCCTCCTTTCGACCACAACCTTCCCTTTATAGCACCAAAAGGGAAACAGAACACACACATCTACTTACCATGTTTGATAAGGCAACTCTGTCCTTTGGAACGATCAGGGTGATGTCAAACGTTGCTTTTATGGCAGGTTCGTCCCAACACGGAAATGCTCTCCGAGCATCTGTCGGCTGCAGAGCAACAATATCAAGCATTGCACAATGACTTCACTCTACGTATCAAGTTCTACAGATTGTACCGATTGAAATGTGAGATGCTTCGACAGATTATTTGAAATGTATCTATTAAAATAGCTTTTTAAGCCACCGAGACTTAGAAGGTGACCAAGTCCTGGCAAGTCCCTTCCTTTCCGACCTGCTTTCTCCCCACACCATTACCTCTGGCCTCCTGCTCGTCCCTTGTCCTCTGCTCCACCATCAGCGGCTGTGCTTTCAGCCACTGTTCCCCAAAGCTTTAGAACTCTCTCCCTTGATCCCTCAACTTTGCCCCCTCCTTCCCCTCTTTTAGATCACGAATGAAGACCTTCCTCTTTGACTGTGCTCACGATCACCTCCTCCCTTTCCCGGAGTCGCGCTCCGCCACCACTAAGTGCTCCGAGGTGCAGCCCCGGGTGAAGGATGCTGTGTAGATGCAAGTTGTTGTTGTCTAAACAAGGTAAACACGTTTAAACTGTAAAGGATAAATTACAATTTGGAGTTTTCAATATTATTTGTGAAATCGGTTATACTTGTTTTAAAGCGAATAGAATGTTTTTTCTTAAAGTCTGCAGAGTATTCTTTGTTGTAAGTAGTCCAACAAAGCTTTATGATGTACCCTCATTCTTTGGATCCACCCCAGAGTCTCTTCAACTCACTCCCTCATCTCTTTCAAGATCCATCTCAAGACATTTGACTGAGCTTTTGGTCATCTTTTCCTTCCCCAGCTCCCACTCCCAGCTCAGGGAGCCAAGCCTGGATTGTTAAGTACGTTGGAATGTCCTTCTGACAGGAGAGGTACGATATAATTTTTTTTATTGTGTATGCAGCACTTTCCTTGCTCTGACATCAAGTGGCTCAGGTGAGGTTGAGTACGGATCAAAGTTGGCTCAATCCTCTCCAAAATACCCAACCAGAGAAGAAGTTACATTCAGTCTGTGTCTATACCTATACCCCCCACAAAACTGTTGAAGCAGATACTAATAGGAGTTGTTTCAAGCCATTAATTGAAGCATCAACTGGTTTTGCTGGGAATCTATTCCACAAAAACTCTTCTAATCTTAGTTGGCCTCAAGTTTTGTTTTAAATTTGAAAACTACACTCTCAAATTCTGCAATTGTGGTCCAAGACAGAGTCCACCTCAGGACTGGATCATGCCAATCCCTTATCTTGCTTTTTCTAATGAAAGTACCTTCATCTCTGTAAGCCTCTCTGTGAAAATCTTATCTGAGGTCACTCAGAAAGCTGCTTGTTAAGACAGAATTTTATTTCATGGGAGTTCCATTTACTAACCTCAAACTGAGACACGGCAGCATAGCGTACTTCTCCCAACAATGTTGTATACTTGCTTCTGTAGAATCCCTTCATTTTGTCATTGAGCTCTCCCACAAAATCAATCTTCAGAGTACCATGACCTGTTACAATACATACTATGATTAACTTACAAGTAGGAGGCAAGTCAGTTGTAATGCAGGATAAAGTATGAGATGCAATGAACCACTTACACCAGCAATTTCTCTCCCCCACCCCCATCCCGAATTGCCAAGCGCCTTGGGAAGTCCCCTTGGTCCAAAAGGTAAATTTGTATTGTTTTTGTGAAGGGGGAGGTGTGTGTCTTTTTTTGGTCAGCCAGGTGTCTGGTACACGTAGAAACCATCACTATGCTAAACAACAACAACAACAAGATTCCATTTATTGAGCGCCTTTCACGTCGGGAGGACGTCCCAAGGCGCTAAGAGGATCCAAACCAGACAGAATACCGCCTGCGTTTCCTATGCATGCCACCCACACATGGAAACTTCCTTGAGTATGGTATGAAATGCACACTCTCTCCTGGGTGGAATGCACACCGCTTACTCAATTCCAGAGAGTTTTAGGGGCACATTGGCACAAGTTGAGGTTCGGGGACCCCAGAGTGTGCCCTGGGGTAACTGCTGGGAGTTTTACCAGCTAAAACCACATTGAGAGCACTGTCTGGCAAGCTTCCTTCTTCTTGTCCAGCTAGGACCACGCTACACATTAAGACTGTGGCTTCAGGATTAAGAATTCTTGCTCCAGGGGAGAGAGGAGGAGAAATGAGACACTTTCCCCAAAAGGTTGACATCAACTACAGAACAAACAAAATAGGGAAGCAGGTCACCAGTATCTTCTTTGCTCTGGGACACTGCCCTACGTGAGGGGCGCTATATACATGCAAATCGTTGTTGTTAGGCAATGACACCAAAGGGTTAAGAAACTGGACAGCAATATTTCTCAAAAGGGCATTATTATTTGTATAATTGTTAACTACATTCTTAGGCAAATCAATTGGTGATTTGTGTCAAAATACTAATTGCCAGGAAATACTTTTTCACTTCAGTAGCAATCACTCCTGGGTCGCGTACAGCAATGCCAAATGCACAGCAAGAGTTCTGCTCTGCCCTACTCTACTGATGGAAGTGATTGCTATCAGGTTTGCACTTTCAATGCAGGAAAATCAAATGCATCTGTAGAATAAGTGGCAAATTTCTGCGTCATGCCTTCAGCAACACTGAGTGCATAAGTTGCTGAATGGCTTCAAGATTTCACCTCCCACCTTTTAAGGCTTCCTTGAAACAAGCCACATTCCTCAATTAAAAGGGTTAACATGGTGTCTGCAAACAAGGGCTCTGCCAATGCAGCTCCCAAATGCAATGAAACGTTAAACAAAGTAGCTTTTTAGAGAATAAAAAGTAGAAAGTTCATTAGTAGAAAATACTTCTTTCTATATAAAAAAAACTGTTTGGAAACTGAAAGGGTAGTCTAATAAAGTTCTCGGGATTAAAAATGTTTGTAAAAGAAACTATTCTGAGGGCACACTGCACCTCATTCTTGACTTATGACAAAAATTTTCAGCTTTGGGTGTTTAATCATTCCCGTTGTGGTGGGCAGGCAGGCATTACATTTTCACACATCATTGCAAAACTCACCAACGTTTCAACAATTAATAAACCAGAACATTTGTGAATCGTATGTTAAGCAGCCTCATGGCTGTGAATATTCCATTATGCAATCCTGTTTTGAAGATTTTTCACCCTCTGAAAGCCACAGTAGAATGTAATGAGAACATTTACAAGCAGCTCATTGTTCATTGCATTCAGACAAGTGATGGATAGGTCAACGACAGCAATATTTTGTCAGTGCGGCTTTGCCTGATTTCTCTCCCTTGCTCACCCAGATAAATGCCTGTTGTATTATGCTGGACGCAGTCCCAATGTATAAACAGTGCACACAAAGGATCTAGAAACTGCATGTGCTACTAAGATTCACTTTTTGCTCTTTAGCAATAGAAATAACCTCCATCTTTCTGAAATTACCTTTTTGGAGAGCACTGGGAAATGACAGAGTCACCTTCTCATCTTCGTTTTGATAATTGAATCCAGTCGCATTTATTTCTGGAAAAAAATAGACCCAACATTTTAAAATGAATTCATTGCATTCTGTTTTGTTTTGATATGGGGGGGGGGGGGGAGGTACAGTAAGAATAAATTCCAGCAATACCAAGCCACTTAATTCCCTTTTTAAAGCGCACAATTTTACTCTCCTTTTGAGCAAGCTGCCCTATTTGTAGGGAAACGTGATGTTTCTAACAGGAAGGGGAAAACAATGACTGCCACCTGCCTGTAACCCCAAGCAACGTGCGTCATTCCTTTAGAGGTGTAGTGACTTGTATTCATAGGCAAACACGCCAGCCATTTACACACATTAATGTCCCACAACAGACAAGGAATAAATGACCAATTTTATCTGGTTACAGGCTATAAATAGTAGCACATGCTTATCACCTCAAAGTTGGGGGAGAAAGGAATGATGTGCCATTTGTTGATTTCCAGGGCCTTGGGACGTCCTCCCGAAGTGAAAGGCACTATACCAATTTAATTTGTTATTGTTGTAAAATCCTTGCATTTAATATAGTGCCTTATCACATTATTGAGACTTCTCGAAGCGCTTCACACTATAAAGTATACTGACTGCATTCAGAAACTTGGCTCCAAGTAACCCCAAATGTTGCCTACATCACTTAAGGAAATACCAAGCCTCAATTCATCTATTTTTGATAACAGAGATCAAGAACACCATCCAACATATTGGAGCAGTTTCACCTTCAGTCAATGTCAAGCTTGTTTAGATCTACCATCATTAAGTAGCCTGCTCTCCGCTTCGCTGGTTCCACATGATTCCAGGACAGAAATAAAGTACTTAGCCACAGCACCGTGTGCTGCACTCCAGGGCAATAATAGGGTTATGTCAAAAAGGTGGTTTAGGAAGATAGCTGCAATTCATGGGATTAACAGCTGAGCAAAATTCACAAACGAAAGATCAAGAGTGGCTTCATCAATGTTTCCATCCCAGGCCAGAAATTTTAATCTTATCTGTTTATTATATGAGTAGCATCACAATTCTACAACTAATTGTAGTTTTCACAGTAATAAGGCAATAGGAGAATAGCATAGGAATGCCTGCAACTAGTTACTGTCGTTCGGAAATCTAGCGAGGGAACTGCAGGAAGTAGAATTCCTTAATATTGGGGTCAGTATTGAACGCTTTAAATCACTGATTGTATTTTCCCCTCTTTTCTCCACCTGCAGAACTCCAACTCAGTTCTCCAATTAAGGAGCCAGCTATCGTCTAATAATAATAACTCACATTTAGTATAGTGCCTTTCATGTCAAGACGATGTTCCAAAATGCTTCACAGGATTATACTGTAAAGTGCAGTGATTGTTTTGTGGGCAAACATAGCAGCCAATTTACACACAGCAATGTCCCTCAAACAGCCATGAAGTGAGTAACCAATTTTCTTTGGGGGATTGTTGTCCAAGACACCGTGAGAAGCTCCCTTCTCTTTTCGAATAGTGCCCGTGTTAAACCGAGGTGGATCTTTAATATCCACTTTGGTTTAACATAGTGCTGGCCAAACCACAGCTTGGATCTCATCAGCAAGGTCATCAAGTGGCCCCTCACCAACATTCACACTAGTCTAGGTAAGTGTGTTCGATCTCGTGCTTCTCCACATTTTTCTTGATAATGATAATTTATAGCATAAATCAAGAAATATTAAATCAAGCTTTTTTTGGATGACCAAAAAGATTGGCCACCAGTGTCCAGGATGTCCCCCTGACGTGAAAGGTGCTGTGTAAATTGTTAAACGGTGTTGAACAATTTACACAGCATCTTTCAAGTCAGAAGGACATCCTGGCCAGTCAAAAATTTGGGCCTGAGCTGGGGGTTGGGATCAGGAGGGGTGGAGAGCAGGGAGGGTAGGCGGGTCACTGATCGAAGAGGAGGGTCGTGACACAAGCCTTGAAGGAGGTGATAGCACTGTGGGATGGAGTTCCAAATGGTGGGGACAGAGAGGCTGAAGGCCTGACCGCTGATGGTGGTGCAGGCAGGGGATGTCTCCATCTGAAGGACGGCACATCCAAAAAACAAGGCACACCCTCAGCATTGGAGTGGCAGCTAAGACTGTCCTGGCATGGAGCTTGAACCCACAACCTTCTGACTCAGAGGCAAGAGTGCTACAAGCCAGGCTGACATACCAAACATGAGTGAAGTGCCATGGGATGCCTTGTCTTCTGATATCGCCGTACACATAATTACTTGATTCAACAGCTGAAATTGTGAAGTTGTTGTGTGGGAAAACAGGAACCAGCATCTGCTCACTATGCTGGATCACTAATACTCTGCCTCTGCAGGACTCATTTGTCCGAAGAGGAGGAATTGGTTTCTTTGCTATTAATAAAGTTCATTCCTAACTGGTTGAAGTAAAATTAATACAATTATCAAATCTTGCATATTTCAAAGTGAATAAAATACTTTCCCTCTATTTATTCACAATATATATTAACTCATTGGACATAAGTAGAAGTCAGCCTGGTTGAGCTAGTGGCACTCTTGCCTCTGAATCAAGCCACACTTCAGGATTTTTGTGCCCAAAATCAAGGTTGACGCACTAATATAGTACTGGGGGAGGGGGGCAGAGTACTGCATTGTCAGAGGTGCTGAGCATGGGATGAGATGTTAAACAGAGGTCTCGTCTGCCTGTTCAGCTAGACGTTTCATAAAATTGGCTGTTGTTTTTGCCTACAAATACATAAACTCTACAGAGAAACTGAAGCGTTCTGAGTCGTATAGCCACAATAAGAGGCTACATTAAATGTAAGAATTATTTGTTCAGCACAGGAAACGTTTGAGTTTGACCTTCCCTTCCTGCACTTCCGTTAGGTCTTTCAAATAAGTCTAATCNTTTTTTTTATCTGCTATTCCTGTTACTCCTAATTATAATGACATTATTGTAACTGAAGCTGACAAACAACTTTCAATATCACATGCAAACAGTACAAGGAAGTACACAAGGAAGGAGAAAAGGCCAATAGGCTCAACAGGCCCTTCCTAAAAAATGTTTATACTTTTTTTAAAAAGATTTGTATGCTTTTTGGTTGATAAATCTTTTTCATCTCCAGTCACATTCTCAGTATATACCTCAATTCCTTCCTTTTCTATAAAACATCTAATTGTGCTTTGACCTATTTGCTTATATATAATAATAAATACAATATTTAAAACCCTCGTTTTTGCCACAAATTAGCAAATTAGTTCAGTCAACTTTGCTAATTCCTTCTTAACCTTGCCAAGACTTTAATTGGGTCCCCCCAAAGTGTCATTTCTCAGAGAAGGCAGCGGTCAATAATAATGGACATAGGATAAATGGTAATCTAAATGAGAAGTTTAAAACAATAAGAGAATTGGTACTGTAGATGGGGAACTGTTTTTATCTATGTACAGTAACAATTCACCTGTAACCACCTTAAAACTCTCCAACACAGTACACTTCTGAAGTTATCATTTTATGGTGAGCTATCAAAATTATGCTCACGGCTATGTATTTTCCACTATCATTCCAGCTGCACTATAATTAATGGTTTATCCTCTCACTTCTTTATTATACTGTTTGAGATTATTCAAGGCTTGGTAGCTTCTGCATAAGAATGACCCTCTCCATCGATCACCAAATTCTATTTACTCGAATGCTGATTTCACTCTACAATTTTCTTCAGATCACGAGTGGAAAGAATTCAAAAGAGGAAGAGAGTCGACAATGTTGGATGACAATTGAAGGAGATCATTGACACTGAGAAGGATCAATTGATTTCTCTTAATTGCCGAATGCTAGTTCTTCCTGGGAAATGGATTAAATCAAGTCATTGCTCGAATCTCAGGGAATAAGAGTACAAATGTATTCAAGTAAAATGATTTTATAAACCATGTACAGTAAGATAGTGTTGATTTGCAAGCCGCCTATTGCATGTTTGATGGACTTCGATGCGGAGGTGGACATGAAGGTGCGACACACCAACAAACAAAATCCAGTTTGGCTTGTGTTAAGTGTTTAAGACGCTGGCACAGGATGCGCAAACATGCTGACGTCTTCGGGTTCATTAGGTATGTAACAGGATAATGTCACTGATTCTACTAGACATTCAGCTACCATGATAATCGCTGGCAGTTCTTTCTAACTACACCTCAGATAGGATTTGTTTCATAAGTTAAGATAAAACAGAAGTTATAGAAACTATTTTGCAGTAATCAGCAAACTAAAGAAGTATCTATCGTCCAATCTATGTCCTAAAACATGACCCAGTACCGACTTGTAAACCTGATGGAAAAGGGAAGGAGGAAGGAGAAGTCAGAGATTAGGGTTAAGTGGAGACTGAAGCTGCAGCAAATCTGAAATCCGATCGCTAGTTCAGATTCCTTCAGCACTTGTAACAAAACTGCTTGTGCAGGTTGTCTCAATCCAGGCAATACTTTTTTAAAAAATGGGAGAGAGGGAGAGAATAATGAACATGAGAAAAGGCTGATCGAATTCACGTTTTGGAGGATCATGAACTGGGATTTCACTCATGAATGTATCCTGCATTACAGGGAACTTTAGGTGCAAGTATAGAATTAATTCTCCAATGCAGAAGGCTCTCACCTTGACAAGGACGGAAGGAAATCGATTTATTTGCAGAAGATTTAAGGTTATAATAAATCAGTAATTTTGGGGGGGAAGGTTGATTGTTTAGATGGGATTACCTTACATAAGTTAACCTGTCTGTTTTTTAAAAAAAATACAGGCCATTATCACTGTGCTGGCGGGATTCAATGCATTAAGTTCAGGCACAGGTCCCAAGTAATTAAAATGGTGAGATTTGACAGAAGGAACCATCTGCATTATGAAAATGACTTTAAGACCTTATCTTGAGTATACAAGCAGTGTAACGCCAATACAAAGCACGACTGTGACAACGTACAGCCTTAATTATCTAGCTGCTGAATGTCCAATTTGAACTTTGCAGACTGAAATTCATCAGGCTCCTTTCAATGTCTCTTAGCATAATATCCGCAAGAAGGAGTGGTGGATGCTTTGTAGTTGATCAGCTACATTCTTAGTACCAGATGGTGAAAGCCCCACGAGATTAGAAAACAGATTCATGTGCTCCACCAAAATAACAGGTAAGCAGTCTTTCTCAGGTATATAACACCTAGAGACAGATGTTCAACAGTAAACCAGAGCCATGCACAGCTGCATTCGTGCTTTGGAAGGAACCGTATTCCTATCAACTCAAAACAAGCTAGTAATCACTGTATCTTGTGTTATGGTATGAATGTGTCACCATTGTGACTGTTGAAGCCGGGGGGCAAACAAATGCCATACATTGCCTCCAGCGTTACTGGATGACCATTGCCAAATTGTAGAAAAAACTGGAGCCCTTCCCTTCAATGTTGACGCCACTATAAACAGAAGCAGCTGTGATATCAAAAAGGCACATAGATTACCAGGCTCTGTGGCTGACACTGCCCTCATGTGAAGTGGCTTCACTAACACTGACCAGGACAGAACTTGGGATGAAAGCAACAAATAAATTTAGATCAGCCTCTTGGCTGCCCACTTTTTTGCTCTCATACGTGTTAAATCCACTTTGGATTTTAAGCAAGTCATCTAACAAGTGTTGAAAAAGAAGTGTCACTGAGGTCTTCAGGTCACTCTCTATCCATCCATTATTTGTATAACAAGCTATACTTTACTGTGCTTTATTTGTGAATGTCTTCGACGGGTATCAAAGTGCTTCACAGAATATACTGTAAAGTGAATTGACTGCATATTTTTGTGGGCGAAATGTGGCAGCCAATTGCAGTCACGGATTGAGTGACCAAATTATTATTTTTTGTAGGGATTATTGCCATTATCTGCCAATCAACTAACAACCGGGTTCCTACTTACTGCAAGGTAAACAGTGATGCGTGCAGCAAGGAAACTTGCTCAACGTTTCGCCCTGTTCTGGAATTGAACCCAGGTCCTCTCGCTTGTGAGCTGCGTGTTCTAACCATTAAACTGCAGGACTCCACAATGGATGAATGAACTTCACAGGTAAGAAAAATTAACAATAGATGTGCCATCACTGCAACAGAGGATTCAGTGCAAAATTCCAGAAAACTGCAGACACAATCATACAATTTACTCGGAGGAAAGAGCATACAACATATGCTATAAAATAATTGCCAGTGCAATATAGGGGGTAAGAAAGAGAAATGAAAGAACACTTTAAATTTACAAAGTAAATAAACTACACATTTCTAAAAATGTTTCTATTTAAAAATACATCAACGATAAAAAAGGAGCGTCAATGGCAGTAGCTCTCTTTGTCTGGAACTGGTCAGTTTTGGCATTAACTAAAGGCCTTGTACAAACAAAACAAATTCCAGTCATCTGTGCCAGAATACAATGATCACATGAACAGAGCAGTGACACTGCAGCCAAGTGGCTTCAGCAAGTGAAACTGCTGCAACAAAATTAGAAGCAGGTGATACAAAAAGTAGGAGAGTTGCAATTAACCCCTCAACACCGCCCCCCCCACCCCAACATAAAAACATAAACCGATTAGCTGTTTTACTGGTAAAACATTTTGAACATTTACCACCAAATACAGTGGAAGCCTCTTTAACCGGACGCCAGTTAACCACGGACATCGAGTAAATCGGACAAAATGCCCAGTCCCGATTCATTTGTATTCTTACCCCATTTTAAATATAGCTATTAATTTGTACAATAATCCGGTTAATCCGGACAAAACGATGGGAGGGAGGAGGTGATGCCGCTCCTCTGCTGGGCAGGAAGAGGTAATGGCATTTCGGTTAACCACGGACGCCGCTTGGGCTGACAAAACGGCCTCCCTCTGATGTAGGTACAACATGTGCGACGGCTGTAACTGGCTACGGTGCCACTGCTCTGTTCATGTGATCACTGTATTCTGGCACAAATGACTGGAATTTGTTTTGTTTGTACAAGGCCTTCGGCTAACGCCAAACTGACCAGTTTGAGACAAAAAGCACTCCGGGACATGACACTGTGAAGGGCACTATATAAATGTAAGTTGTTGTTCGGCTTAATCTCCTTCCACTGTATATACATACCTAAATTCATACTGGGGCTTCTGATGTACACAAGAAATTACTACACAATACCAATATAGTAGATGATCAAATACCAAATGAATATAGCCCCACTGGAAAATACTTTCTCACCATCATCTCTCTCCAGGCTACATGCCAAGGCTCATGCAATATGTTCCTTGGACTGCATGAATGTTTCTCACCAACTCATCACGAGGCGGTGACATTTGCAATCTACGTTAACCACATTCCTCATTTATCTGACTTGCTCAACACCTTCTCAAACACAGTTCAACTCAAACAAGTTAGCTCTCTTGAGTGGGAACCATAGAGTGATGTGGAAGGGTTTCTCTTTATTGAGCACAGGTACATACAGTAAGTGACACTGATCTCAAGTTGGAATAACAAGATAACACAGTGGAAGACATCCAGGGTTTGAGGGTCAAAGAGGCTCGATTCTCAGCTCTACTCTGTTCACAGCTCAAACTGGACTTGGAAGGCATCACGCAGAGGCAGTGCTTCTCTTGAGGGGGGGGGGGGGGGGTAGAAATTGGAGGGTATAATATCTGTTGGGACTACAGAAAAATATATTTGCAAAAAAACACACTTAGATGAAAAAACAAATGAATTTATTTGGTTATTGCTACCAATAGGAAGAGAGTGCACTTTTGCTGCTCTGACCTTCTAAAGTTTTGTATTTGGAATGCACCAAGCAATAAATAGGAGCCTGGTTGTTAGTCGATTGGTGGATCGGTCTTTTGAAGGTAAAAATCCCTTAAAAATTATTTGAACACTAATAATTTGGTCCCTCAATCCACGACTGTTTGTGGGACACTGCTGTGCACAATTGGCTGCTGCGTTTCACCCACAAAATATAGCTAATTCACTTCACAGTATAGTCTGTGAAGAGCTTTGAGACATCTCGAAGACATGGTAAGCCGCTGTATCAAATGCAAGCATTATTATCAAAAAGAATTGTGTTATTACAGATTTTACATGGAGCAAAAGTTGGCAGAGACAAAGGAATTCAGGTCTCAAAAGATGAAAACTACTGCAGTGTTTTATAGCAATATGCAATTACTGCTTTTTAGTGGCGTTTCATTATCAAATACAGCGAACTGCCTGCTCATACTCAAACACTGTTCTGTAATCAATTTCCTGTTATAACATGGTATCTGTTAGATAAAGAATACACAGAAAAAGGAGGGCTAGAAATAACGAGAGCAGTTAGATTAGGAAGCAGAAAAGCAACAAGATTGTTATGCCAACAGCATATCAGAGGCCCATCTTGGAGAACAACAAATTACATTTACACTTGTATAGCACCTTTCTCGTCAGGAGGATGTCCCAAGGTGCTGAAAACAGATCCAGCTCCGCAGCATTTGTAATTGGAGCAAACTCAAATTCAGAAAAAAATTACTTGCAAGTAAGAAGTAAAAATCTCGCTATGTGATCCATCCATTTTATTACACTGTGTTTTTGTTGCCTAGAAGCATGCACATCTTGGCACCAGACATGACCTGTGCTTAAACGGCCATAATACCGATGGCAAAAGAATCCCCAAGTTGGAAGAAGGACTTCTGATAATAATTGCATTTAATATAGCGCCTTATTACATCTTTGATAATTGTGCACAGCAGTGTCCCACAAACAGTCGTGGATTGAGTGACCAAATCATTATTGTTTTTTAGAAGGAATTATTACCCCTGGAGAAGCAATCCACCAATCGACTAACAACTGGGTTCCTGCTAGGTAAACACAGGTGTGTGGAGTAAGGAAACTTGCCCAACTGGGGTGGGGGGGGCAAAGATAGAAAGGAGGTGTAATCTGGGTTACCATGTCCAAAAGAGCTATTAATAACTACAACATTGAATACAAGTATTGGATTTGCATATTTTAAGCTTTATCAGAAACTTGAGTGATGGTCTGATTTTTATGTTCTTTTTGAGGTCGATAATGTAAATTATCCTCAGACCATTAATTTGCCTGCAAGATGGCTAGCTGGCTATTTCACAATCTTAAAGCAGATGAAATGTTAATTTGGGTACTTTCAAGGGAAACAGTGAGGAAAGCAAGATGTTCTTTCCAGGACAGAACCAATAGCATTAGAATCACCAATGCATTTACTGTGTCTGCCACATCAGATTTGCTAATCTTTGGTGCAGGGTCAATAAACTCACTATCACATGCACCACAATTCTTCGATGAATCAGAGTATTCAAAGTGAAGGAAAGTCCTCCTGATGTCCTGGCCAACAATTCCCCAGATACAATTGGTCTTTCACTTCATTGTTTGCGCAAATTGTCTGCTGCGTGCGCCTACAAAGTACAGTCACTACCCATCGCAGAAAATCCTGAAGCACTGAAAACATCCCAACATGAAAGGACAAGATTATCAGTAGTGGTATGTAATGTTCAAAAGCGCTTAAATGGGAAACTAGTGAACTTTCAATTGTGGTAACAATACATATTGAAAATACATATTAGTCGGCCAGGCAGAACTTTCCACATCTAATATATTGTACACTTAGAGAAACAAGACTATAAAATCATCAAGCTTACCTTCTCCACCTTCTGGGACATACGAGGCTGTAATGATGTCTATATCAGCACAGTTCATAACAATCTGATTGGTTGCCTGTTTTACCTGCAAATATAGCATGAAGTAGCATTAGTAACATTTTTAGGTACAAAATGAATAGAGAAACAGTTTTAGTCAACGTTCTGTTTAGTAGATTGTTTTCGAGTTTGATCTTTCTCTTTCCAAGCTCTCCAATTTCTAAAAATGCAATATTCCCTTTCCTGAGGTCTCCCAGGCCTTGCAACTTTCTGCCTTAATCTTTGAAAAAGTTACTCTTACACCAGATACCCCCTCACACCAGTTCCAGTTAGGCTCCACCGGCTCCCTTCGTCAAACAGATTGATTTAAAGATCCTCACACTCATTTTCAAACCGCGTCATGTCCTGGCACCTCCCTACCTCACCGAACTGCTTATTCCCCAACCCACAACCCGCTGCTTCCGCTTGACTGGCTCCGGCCTTCTGCCTGTCCCTTGTGCTCTCCATTCCACCATTGGTGGTCGCACTTTCAGCCACTAAGCCCTGAAACTCTGGATTGTTTTCTCTATCCCTCCGCCTTGCCCATTCGTTCCCCAGCTTCAGGTCGTGCCGGAAGACCTTCCTATTCAACCGTAACTATGGTCTCCTCCCCCTCCCCCTGGCTCCGTGTCGTGCTCCGCCACTGTCAAGCGCGCTCTGGGACGATACCCTGCGTGAGGGGCACTATATAAATGCAAATTGTTGTTATTTGTAATGCAAGAGGATCTCAGGGCAGTCCAATGGAGTCTTGTATCTTCTCTTCCTCCTACTCTTCTCCTTATCCACTAGTGCAGACGCACAGATGCACAGGTCAAGCCCTCTCTCTGATACAATCATCTGTGCCCATTCACCATGATTGTCTAAATGAAGGCAGAATGTACAAAGATTAGGCTATTGAGAGAAGAAGCTTAGCATTTCTCCAGACAAACTGCCGGTAAAGCCAGTGGCAACTGTGAAATTGAGTAATTCAGACAAGGAAGGTACTACGTTTGATCCCACTCTCTGGTCAGATCATCTCACTGGCTATCCAGTGAACCTGGGGAAGTTGAGCAAGACCAGGATTGGATTTAGACACAGCGATAGTCAAAAGCCATTCCATTGTACAGTCTGCCACCATTTGGTTTCAGGATGAAAATGTCCTAAGAGCTTGGGTTCAAAAGAGTAGATATGTTTGGCCATTGGTTCAGTGGGAAGCTGTGCAGATTTGGTAAGAATCAGTCTTTTTTATGGAGCCGCTACCTAAAGAATGTACCCAATTACTTAATAAAAATTCACTAGAAAACTCATTAAAAATGCAGCATTTTTAATTTACTAGTTCAGTTGATAAGATTGTGTGCAGCAACAATTATGTATTTTCAGAGGAAAAGGATGGTCCTAATATTTGTTTGGTATCTGTTTGGTTTGGATTCAATTCATTAGGAGTTAATCTAAACATTTAAGACAGTATAGTTTGCATTATTAATGTACAATGAGTGTACATATTCCAGACCAAACATAAGCTCTTGTTTGAAGCATCACTCCAGATTCCTATGTACACTATTTTTATTATATTTAGCAGATAGTCTGCCATTAGAAATTTCTACAAGGGAAAGATTTGTTCAGTTTAAACTCAATGCAAAAATGTTTGTAAAGTGAATTTCTTAAGCACAGGAAACACAATCCTCACACCAATAAATACTTGATTTTAATAATAAAGGAGTACAAGTTACGTAAGTTAATTTATATAAACAAGGAGTCATAAACCAGAATTTATTAGAAAATTATTGCAAAATCTATTCCACTGCATCTTGTTTTAGCACATGCTTATAAAAGCCTTACAACAACCTAATTAACAATTTAACAGCCAGACTGCCTCAGCAATCATAATTTTTAATAAATCTATACAATATTCCCCGCACCTATAACATCAACAATTCTTAAAAAGATGTTCAGCACTTAAAGCGGTTACTCAATTTCACGAGACATTGCCAGGATTACATTTTGTAATCAGGACATCAGTAACTAGGTCATACAGCTGGTAAGCTGTTGCAGTTCGAACAATTTAAATATTTGCTCCTACAACCTCACTATGGGTATCAGTCAAATCTTACTAAAGCTGTTTTTGTTACTGTTGTGCTAGTTTAGAATGTATTTTGGCCTCACGCTGAACTTGGATTCTCCTCTAGTGATAAATGTACAGCTGTGTTACAGTTGCTATAGTTGCCGATAATTCTGCAAGAAAAAGACTAATCAGAGAGAAAAGCGATTTCTAGAAGTTGCTGACAAAATGAACAGTACCACTGGAAAAGTCTAAAAAGAAATGTCTTCAACTGCATCAGCTTAAAATTGCTCCAGTTTGGCTGAATTTGCAGCAAACAGAATCACGGAAATTACAAGAAAGGAGCCCATTTGTTCCAGCAAGCCAAGTGATGTCCACTGGTCCAACTGTGATGCTAACATCCTTCACAGCCAATGTCACCAACACTTGTTATACTCTTCTACCTCTCACATGATGGTGACAGCAGAGGATCCTATAAAAACTATCTAAGCTGAACATCAAGCAGCTCAATAATAATCCTAACATTTGGTATTGTGCCTTTCGTATCAGGAGGACACCCCAAAATGCTTCGCGAAGTACTATAAAGTGCAGTGACGGTGTGTTTTGTGAGGGAACGCAGTAGCTAATTTTCACACAGCAGTGTCCTACAAACAGCCGATCTGAAATACCAGGTACGACTTAAAACTCTTCTAAATTCATCCAGTTTCCTAAACTGGATGCTTCAGACTGGCTCAGTTGCAGCACCCTCACCTCTGAGTCAGAAGGTTGTGAGTTCAAGCCTCAGGTGAAGAGATTGAGCTCATATAGATCAGGCTGACACTCCAACGCAGTCCTCGGAGGTATTGCAGTTCCGTCTGCCTTTTCAGCTGAATATTAGATACCACACTATTCGAAAAGAGAAGGGTTTCCCCCGGTAACCCGGCCAGCAACCCCCGAATAAGAATTGGTCATTCACTTCATGGCTGTTTGTGGGACATTGCTGCGTGACAACTGCTGCTGCATTTGCATTTCTCTAAAAGCAAGTTCTACTTAGCGTCTTCAGAACAGTAAGTACCAACTCGGTCACCATAGGGACTACAGTGGCTCAACATAATGCCTCCTCATTACGAGCCGCATGTTTAAGGTGATTCAAACTAACTGCCATTATAGTTAAGCACTCTGAGATGCAGTCTGGCATGAAGGGTGCTATATAAATGGAAGTTTTTGCTGTTAGAAAACATAATAATTGAAAACAGTGTTGGGATTATGCCATTTACTTTGAAATTAAATACTGGAGTCCTGTAGCTCAGTGGTTAGAGCCCTCGCCTTGCAAGCGAGACACCTGGGTTCAATTCCAGGCAGAGCGAAACCTTGGGCAAGTTTCCTTACTCCACACTCCTAATAATAATCCCTCCAAAACAAAACAATAATAAATTGGTCATTCTCAATCCACGACTGTTTGTGGAACACTGCTGTGCGCAATTGGCTGCCGCGTTTCGCCCACAAATTTACAGTCAATTCACTTTGCAGCATATTCTGTGAAGCACTTTGAGAAGTCGAGAAGACCTGAACAGCCACTATATCAAATGCAAGGATTTTTATTATTATTATTAATGGATAATGAAACCAATAAATTGTCTAGCAATTTATAAATGATATTGATTTGGAGGCAAGTATCTTGGACAGTTGCAATGCTACATTGATAAAATGCTCCCAGCTTGATATTGCATTTTGTAGCAAATATGTAGGTCAGCAGAAAATAATGGATTGGTTTATTTTCTGCCAACAAAACGCTTGCGAAAGATCTTAAATATTAAAATCATAATGTTCAAACCATTATCTTACAAAAAAAGACCCTACAGAAATTACAGGAACAGAAGAATCATCAATCCGCATTGAAGCCTGCTAGGCAATGAGATCATTGCGATGAGGCAGGCAAAATAACGAGTTGAATTCTGATCACAACTCACAATGTTTCCTCTGATGTTTAGCTGGTCCAGAAATGGCCAGGGTGGAAATGAGATAGACAGAATAGGAAGGTCAAAGGCTCAATTCTCCTCTGTGCTATGTAAGTCAGTCTGAGCTGGGAGTGATAGCAGTGATACAATTGGCCTCTGTTCTGTTAATGCGTCCACGCTGAAAAGGGCTACGTAATTATCATAGGAAAATGCCACTGGGATAATGTACTGTTGGGAAAATGCCACCTTACGGGATTACATCCTAAGCAGAAGCTTGGATACAATGAAATATTGGAAGGGGCAAAGAATATTTTACACAAGCAAGATATTACACCTACTCTCGGGATAACATATTACACACTATTTGTTTGGGAGTAGCAACAGAAGAGCTCCACTGCTGCAGTAAAAAGAGAAAGCACTGCTCTATTTGAATACAATGATCATCATGTTTTAAGGCGGAAGCTCTTGCAGGCTCACTACACACATGGGCTATTGCCCAAAGCAACAAGCCAGAAGCTGTTTGTGTGAGCTTGCGCAATCACAGTTTCAACTGCAACGAATGCTTCAATTCTACCCCGGAATGTAAACAGGACAGAATCCAGCAAAAACACAAGCGGCTCCTATTTCAACCAGTCGTATATTTGTGGAAAGTAAATTTTTCTGGCCTCAGCAGGATTAATATTCAACAATAGATAGTGAGAACATCAACACCATTTATGCCGTCAGCTGCCACTGCTCTCCTCCAAATGCAGCCTTTACTGCTCTTCACTGAAAAGACATTTATCCAAATTCCCTGTGTAGTACTATTACAATTTAACTCAATAAAGCTTGGAGTCTTAATCACTCCAAAATCAGAGTACATTCTGTACTCGCTTCACCAAAAGTAAACACTTTAATGAATGGTAATAGTACATAGTACTAGCAGAAATGTTTGAACTTTCACCACAATAAAGTGTTAGCAAATTTATTTAATTATATCCATGCAATACACATAGAAAATGGTCCCCTTTATAAATCATGCGGGAGATCAAATAAAAGACTTCAGTCTGAAAATACCAGAAATATTTACTTTGA